CCGGGGGTACATAGTGACCCCCTCCCGGAAGGGCCACAGCAATGGATTGGGAGCTTGAGCCCCGCCCGACAGCCTTTGGGAGGTCCGTCTGGCCCACCCGCGTGGGGCCGGGGAACATGAGCGCCTCCGTTGGCTTGTCCGGGTCGATCAGCCCCGCGCGCGAGCCGTGGGATAGCTTGTGCCCCCGCCTCGTCCGGGTCGTCCTGCCCGGACATCCACTGCCGCAGCTGGTTGGGCAGCGTGAGGATCTTCTGCGCCTACCCTCGGACAATCTCGGCCAATTTCGGCCAATCTCGGCCAATCTCGGGTCGGCCAGCGCGCAGATCTGCGGTGCACCTCGGTCGCCAGCATCGTCGTGAGCGGTACGCTTGTCTAGTGTGACCTCGCGTCCTCTACGTTCTTCTCGCCTGCTCTCAGCTCCTCTCGGCTCGTCTCGGCTCCATCTCAGCTCCTCGCCTGCGGCCGCGACGTGGCGTCCATCTTGAGCTTCGCCGCCGCCTCGTCGACGAGGTCGATCGCCTGGTCACGGCGGTGCGAGCGCTGCGAGGAGGGCGCCGCTCACAGCTGGCGCGCCGTCCACAGCCGTCTCGGGACGGCCTCGCCTTGTCGGGCAGGAAGCGCTCCGAGATGTACCGGTCGGAGAGGGCCGCCGCGGCCACCAGCGCCGCGTCCGAGATTGCGACGCCGTGGTGGAGCTCGTACCTTTGGCGAGGATTCGCCCGTGGTGAGCGAGTCGTCCACTCTCTGCTGAAGGCGACGCCGTGGCGGGCTGCTCGTACCTGCACGCATCAGGACCGACTCATCCGCTCCTTCCTCCCGGAGGGCGACGCTAGTGCGACGCAGCAGGTGGAGGTTGTTGCTCGCACCGCTCCTTGAGGCCGCGCAGGATGCCGGTGGTCGCCTCCACCGTCGGCTGGGCCACGAAGACCTGCGGATGGGAGGAGGAGAGAGGCATGGACCACAGCGCGGTCGCCTCCGCCACCGGCCACGGCGGCCTGCTGGAAGCGCCGCTCGAGCGCCGCGTCTTTCTCGATGTGCTGCCGGTACTCGTCCAGCGTCGTCGCACCTGCGCACAGCGGTGGGCCTGACGGAGACGCCGCTCCCTCGCTGCCGCCGCGCCTCGCCGTCGCGCCGATGCAGCGCAGCTGACCGCGCGCGAGCGCTGGCTTGAGCAGATTGCCGGCGTCCATCGCGCCGTCCGCCTTCCCGGCCCCGACGACGGTGTGGATCTCGTCGATGAAGAGGATGATGGCGCCGTCCGCCTCGGTCACCTCGCGCAGCACAGACTCTCGGCTCATCTTTGCTCACCTCCGCGCACCTCGGCGCACCTCGGCGCATCTCGGCGCATCTCGGCGCATCTCGGCGCATCTCGGCCTCGGTCGCCTCGTTCAGCACCGCCTTGAGCCTCTCCTCGAACTCGCCTGCCCACAGCTAGAGGCGTGACGAAGCGCCGCCCACACCACCCCGCCACGAGCCGCCTTCGACCTCGCCTCGGTACTTTGCGCCCGCGACGAGCGCGCCCATGTCCAGCGCGAGCAGCCTGCAGCGCCAAGCAGGAATGGCGAGAACGATGCGACGCGTCTCTCTCCTCCCCCCACCGCGCGAGCAGCCTGCGGCCGCGCAAGCTCTCGGGCACGTCTCCCGCGGCGATGCGCTGCGCGAGGCCCTCGGCGATCGCCGTCTTGCCCACACCCGGCTCGCCTAATCATGGGTCAATCAGTCGGTCGACGGCTCGATCGCTCCTGCCTTTGCCCACACGCCCGGGCTCGCCGAGCAGAATCGGGTTGTTCTTGGTGCGCCGAGAGAGGACGGTCATCGCGCGGCGAACCTCGTCGTCGCGGCCGATGACCGGGTCGAGCCGCCCAGCCTTTGCCTCCGCCGTGAGATCGCGCGAGTACTTCTCCAGCGCCTGCAGGAAGGCCCCGGGAAGGCTAAGAGGGAAGGCTCCTCCAGGCGGCAGCGTCGGCCTTCTCGCGCGCCTCGTAGGCGGCCTCGGGGTCCTTTGAGCTGATCTTGCGCCCGCCACGCACCTCGTCCGCCGCAGTCCGCAGCTTGGCCGCGTCGAGACCCTCCGCCTGCAGAGGAAAGTTCACGGAAGGTTCCGCCGACGGCTCCCGCAGCGGACCGAGCGGCGCAGAGCCCCTCCCGCCCGCAGCGCCGCGCGGCCGCAGCGAGGCTCCTCGGCGAGCGCGATCAGCACGTGCTCGCCTGGCGGAGCGGAACGGGGTGGGAGGTCCGGGCGACGGTGTGGCGGGGAGAGGGAAGGGTGCTGGAAGGGTCTGGGAAGGGTCCGGAGGCTTCCGGAAGGAGTGAGCTCCGTCACCGGAGAGGAACTCGTCGCCGAGCGCGGCTCGCTCGTTGTTGGCGCCGCGCACCAGCGCGAGCAGCGACGCGCCGACCGACGGCTGCTCCGGCGCCGCGCCCTTCACCTTGGGCTGCCGAGCGCTGAAGTCTTCAAGCTGCCGCTTGAGCGAAGCCGCGGAGGAGCCCGCCTTGGAGAGGGTGCGAGCGACGACGGAGTCGGCGTCCTGAGAGAGGAAGGCGAGCGCTAGGTGCTCCGCCTCCGCCGTCGTCGCCTCCGCCGCGCGGCAGGCGGCAGGCAGCCGCTGGACGCCGTCGAAGCCCTTCTCAGTCCAGCTCTCTGGCGAGAAGAGCGAGGAGGGGCTGTCGTCGCGCGGCGCGGCCAGCATGACCGCCGGCCGAGCTATGCGAGGCGAAGCGGTCCATGCCGGCGTCGAGGCGAGGGCTGGCGAGCGAGGCGAAAGCAGGGCCAGCGAGACCGGCAGCACTGCGTGCATGACCCGAGGACCGGTGGAGGAGAAAGAATTTCGCGCGACTCCCGCGCACAACACTGGGCACGGGACTGGCGCGCACTGGCACTAACACAGGTACACCGGAGAAAGAAATAACGCACGGGCCCTCAGCGGAGCTGGGAATAGGACCGCCGCAAGCGGCGTGGCGTGGAGCGGTTGAGCATCCCTCCGGGGGCCCCTCTGCGCCGGGGAGGGAGGCGTTGCTGGAGGCTAGGACGCAAGCGTCCGTCGCCCTTTTCAAACTCGGGGCCCACTCCGCTACGCTCCGACCCGAATTTGGAGGGCCTAAAAGTTTAAGGTGTTGCTGCGCAAAAGGGGTCGGACACAGGGCACAGCTCATGCTAAGAGCTAGAAGGGGAGCTAGAGAGAACGACTACCCTGTCCCGTTATTGCGTACACCACTCACCAGCACCACAAAAGCTCTCTCTCTCCTGTCCCCTCACTCAGGGGGGTCACAACTACCGAGTCCCTCGACTAGCTGCCACGTTGCCGACCGAGAGCGGATCTCCTCCTGCTCCGCAAGGAGGGTGGCCAAGGCTAAAGTCTTGCCGTACCTTCGGACGTTCGGCGTGGCTCACCCTCCATGCCGTGAACAGGCGCTACCTTTATCCACCCTATATTCTTCTCTCGTTCCTCTGCCCGTGCCTTGGTCGTGTCGTTGTTTCGCACCCATGTCTGTATGGCAATCGAGGCTGCCTTCCCCACTACCTGTAGTTCACTCGTCACCTCCCCCGCGAGCTCCCCTCTGGGGGGTTCGAGGCGGCGGGCTGAGAGGCGGCGGGCTGAGAGGCACGTACCGCCGTAAGGGGCCATCATCTGTGGAGGACCCATCAGGCCGGGACGGCCGTCCCTGCGCGGGTTGGGTGGCAGCGCGGCTGTGACGCGGTGGCTGGAGGCGGCGGCAGCGTCCGGCGGCGGCGGCGGCGGCGGGCGGCGGCGGCGGAGGCAAAGGCGGAGGCAAAGGCGGCGGCGGAGGCAAAGGCGGAGGCAAAGGCGGAGGGGCGGGCAGGGGGGCAGCGACGGCGTGGTGAGGTGGTGGTGGTGGTGCGGCGGCGGTGGTATTGGTGGGGCGGACTCGCGGTCGGAATGGAAGAGGCGGTGCAGGCGTGGCGGGGGGACGGTGCGCCGCGCACATGACAGGCGGCCCTCTCATGGCGTCGTGCCTCGGCTGGCCGGCGTCGTCGCGCGCACGCTTTGGCGCGCGGTCTCGCGCCGGATTGGTCGAAAAGTGGATGTGCCACGTGACGCCCGGGAAGGGCGACGCGCCCTGCATCGACTCGCGCGCGCGCGACGCGTCCTCGATGCTCTCAAACTCGACAAAGCCAACAAGTTTGCCGTTGCGATCGTTGCGCGTCCGGCACGACTCGTAGCTGGACCTTTTCGAAAGAAAAGGTGACTCTGGGCGAGTGAGGGCGAGCCCATCGCTGTCACAGCTGTGGCAGCCGCACAGTAGGCTGTGTCAACTGTGCAGAGTGTGTGAGCAGCAGAGGAGCTGCTCTCCAGGCTTTCTGTCGCAAAGAGCTGCATGCCACCGAAGGCGCTGTCGAGGTTCGCCGAGCGCGGCGCAGGTTGGCGGGGGAAGCCGCCACCGACGAGCGCGTTGGACTTTTCACTCCGGATAAAGACGGCGACACGCACACGAGCTGCGGCCGTGCCGCCGTCATAGCGGCGAGGCGCGGGACCGTCTGTGGCGAAGTGGGTCGCGTCCCCCGATTTCCGTCAACCCAAGCATCCACACCCTCTATCCGGTGTATCCACAATCCAGTCGCCTTATGCCACCGTCGCATATCCGGATATGCGACGGTGGCATAAGGCGACTGATACACCGTCGCAACCTCCGCTTAAGAAAAATCCCTGGGCTCAACAATGATGCGCCTCTTGCCACTCTCGAATCCGCCCGCGCAGCGCGTGGTTTGGGGTGAGGATGCTATGCTCGAGCGCCTCGCCCGTCATCGGGCTCGTCGACTTGGTCGCGAGCCAGCGCTCGATCTGCTTCCGCTCGTAGGAATGGCCGTCCGTCGCCATCACCGGGTCGCTCATCACCTCGGTCGTGATGGGGCAGATGAAGTCGGCCGGCGGCGGCGGCTCCTCCCTCGACGGCGCCTCCGGCTCGGGCGGCTCCTCCTCCCTCGGCGACGCCTCCGGCTGGGGCGGCTGCTCCTCCGCCACCCGCCTCTCCTCCTCCAGCCTCGCGCTTTTTTGGAGCGCCGCCGGCTCCGCCTCCTCCGCCGCCGCCATCGCCCCCCCCTCCGCCGCCGCAACCGCCTCCGCCTCCTCGCCTTGCGGCTCCTGCGACGGCCCAGCGCCGCTCCCTCCGCCCCTGCCCTTCTTCTTCTTCTTCTTCTTGGCCTTGCGCTCCTTGGCGCGCTGCTCCGCCTCCTTCTCCGCCTCCTCATCCGCCAGAAGCGCTTCCGCGTTCCGATCCGCCGCCGCCGCCAGCTCCGCCATCTCAGCCTCTCTTGCCGCCGCCTCCGCCGCCCTACCCTGGGCGCGCATGCTCGCGGGCGAGAGGCGGAGGACGGTGGTCGGGGGGTCGAAGGCCGCGTCGCCGATCTCGCAGGTGGTTGGCACGGTGACGTTGGCGAGGGTGGAGCAGCCTTCGAAGGCGGCTTCGCCGATGGAGGTAAGGCCGGCGGGGAAGGTGACGGAGCCGAGGGCCTCGCAGGCGTCGAAGGCGCAGTCGCCGATGGAGGTGAGGGTGGCGGGGAGGGCGACGCGGGCGAGGGCGGAGCAGCCGGAAAAGACAGCGCAGCTGATGGAAGTGAGGCCGGCAGGGAAGGTGACACGGGTGAGAGAGGAGCAGCGGAAGAAGGCGGCCTCGCCGATGAAGGTGAGACCGGCAGGGAAGGTGACGCGGGTGAGAGAGGAGCAGAGGTGGAAGGCGCTGGGGCCGATGGAGGTGAGGCCGGCGGGAAAGGTGACGGTGGTGATGGAGGAGCAGTGGGCTAAGGCGCCCATGCCGATGGAGGTGAGGCCGGCGGGGAGGATGACGGAGGAGAGGGCGGAGCAGCGGCGGAAGGCGTGGTTGTTGATGGCGGTGAGGCCGGCAGGGAGGTCGATGGAGGAGAGCGAGGAGCAGCCTTCGAAGGCGTTGCTGCCGATGGAGGCAAGGCTGCGCGGGAAGGCGACCGAGACGAGAGAGGCGCGGTTGCGGAACGCCCGGTCCGGCAGGTGCATCATGCCTTCAGGCAGCACCGCGTGCCCGTCGGCGACGACGACCTGCCAGCCGCCCACGTCCAGAGTCTCGGAGCCGGTCGGCGAGAGCGTCGCCGTCTGGTCGGCGAGGTCGGCTAAAAGTCGAGTGGCGTCGGCGAGAGACATCGACATGTACCTTTACCTCAACAGGTGTCCTCTTGGCCTGCTGAAGGGGGACACGTCAAGACATACCGACGGCTAACGCCGAAATCGGTTCACACCTGCTCTTGCAGGTGTGAACACAAAGGATTCGCTGTATCTACTCAGCTGCTCCGCTTACACTTACCTGTGAAGTGTGAACAGCAAGAGTTGAGACGACCGAACGCATGCTACTTACAGCTGCTGTCTGTACAGAGATGCCAGCCACCCCCCACAGGCAGAGCGCTCCTTGAACGATATCGGTGTCGAAACAACACCGCTCTGACAGCGCTCACAGCTACGTCCTCAACAAAAATGTTGTTTTTGAGCTTAGCCTTCGATGTTAAGTAACAAAGCAAGGCGCACATGGTACATCGCTCTCGGGCCCACAGACATCCCCCACACCCGCCGCCACCCGCGCGCGCCCCGCCCCACCTCGGCCGGGAGAAAGGGGAGTGACATGCAGCGGTCTCGGCGGCGGCGTCGGCCGCCACGTGCGTGGTAGGTGCGGGTGGTGGCGAGGGCGGTGCCGACGGCGGTGGCTGCGCGCCGCCCGCCGGCCGTGAGGAATGTGGCGGTGTCTTTTGAGTCAGGCGCCGCCCGTTCGACTCTTGCTGTCGCCCTCGCCGTGTGTTTGTCGAGCTTCCGCATGAAGTGACGCGCCTCTTCCTTATTTCCAGCGCAGCTGCCGCTCAGTATGTGCGCCAACGACGCCTGTGGTGGCTCACTGTCTTCTTGTTTCCAGTCGTCCCAGTCTCTCAGTTCTCCGAGTCTCCTCCTTGCCTCGCGCGCCTCTTTTGTGGCCTCATCCCTCGGAGGGGGCCGGACGGAGGCGTACCCCGTGGGCCCCGCTCTTTCCCTCGCATAGCGGCCACTCTTCGGATCGCTGGTCGAGCGACCCGGGGGATGCCCCGCGCGCCTGACCCAGGCGCGAAAAACGAATCTGCGAGGCGAGGCCGCTCACGCGGCCCGATGGGGAGGAACGGGGCGAGCCCCCTCCAACCCACCCGCGCTAGGTCTCGGGGGACGAAGGGGTCACAGAACTAGCCGGGGCAGTCGTGATTTGCGCCTACCTTGATGACACCTACTGCGCCGATGATCCAGAGGCGGCGCTCTGCGCGATGCTCGAAGGCGACGTCATTGCGCAGCGATGCTGTGGCGTTGAGAGCAACCCGTCTAAGCGGTGCATTTGGGCGCCGGACCCTCGCTCGCTCGATTCGGTGCGCCATCGGGTGGACGTCAAGGGCACGCCGGACGCCCCGCCCCACGGCTCCTACGAGGGCGGCACGCTTCCGGGCATCCGCGTCCTCGGCGCCTTCCTTGGCGGTTTTGCGTGGTGCCGCGACAAACTGGTCAAGCGGGTCCGCAAGGCCTTGGAGCCGCTTCCGGGCATTCTCGCCCTGCGCGACTCCAAGAAGGTCCGGACGGCGCAGCAGCTCTCACAGGTGCTGATCCGTTTCTGCATGAATACCACGCTCACCTTCTTCCTCCGCACAATGCCTCCCAGCGTCACCCTGGCGGCGGCAAAGGAGCACGACAGGCTGATTGCAGACAGCCTGTACGAGCTTGTCGGCGGCGCGCGAGTTGGGCGCGAGGATGTCCAGTGGGTGCGGGCGCTCAAGCAGGCGCGTCTGCCAGTCAATATGGGCGGCATGGGCTTGACCAGCGCCGAGGACATTCGCGGCGCGGCGTGGGTTGGTACGTGGGCTCTCGTCACGCGGCCGATCCGCGAGCTACACAGGCCCTTCGCCGATCTCGACGTCTCGACCGCGCCCGGAGAGTGTTTCGACGAGCTGCGAGAGGCGCACACGCAGCTCGTCAGCAGACACGACCTCACCGACAAGTGCCAGCGGAGCTGGCGGACGCAGGTCGTGTGCCGGGAGGTGGTGAGCCCGGGCACTGCGATCAACGAGGCGAAGGCGGAGCCGAGGTTCCGCTTCTACCCGCACGGGCTGGCGCCGGCCGCGGAGCTGCTTCCCCTGGCCCAGTTCTCGTCCACCAACGAGTTCTTGCACCAGGCGCAGCGACGGTACACCTCTGGCGTGCACCATGCTAACTGGCTCGACCTTGCCGAGGAGCTTACCGACGAGGCGCTTCGCAGCGGCGGCCGCAAGGCGCCCTCCAAAGGCAACAAGGTCGGAAGACGCAAGAACCACAAATGCTGGCGAGAGGCGATCCGTTTTGTCGCCGTCAGCCAACCAGGGGCCGGCGCCTTCCTCAACGCCATCCCCATGCGTGATGACATGAAGATGGAGTCCTGGGCGATGCGCGTCACCGTCCAGCGCCGCCTTGGGCTCCCCCTTGATGTCGCCTGCCAGGCGGTGGAGGCAGGCAAGAGGGCACCCAGCGGCCAGCTACACGACGTCCTTGGCGACGCCGCGATGGTTAACCCTCGGTCAAAGCATGCTACAAGACACAAATTTCTACTCAAACGTTTGGTCAAATGCCTCCGCTCGGCGTGGGGCATGATCATCGAGATGGAGCCGACCGCACACCTCAGTTACAGTAATCCAAAACAACCTGACGTGGCGGCGGCAAACATCGGCAGGGGGCACAGGCGCCTCGTTGCCGATTTGAAGCTCACGAGCTCGCTTGCGAGCACGGGCAAGGACACGGCCGGCGACGGAGGGCTCGGCTGGAAGGGGGCCTACGTGCGCTTTGGCAACACGGAGACCGGGCTGCTCAAGTTGGTCAAAGGGCGCGGCAAGTGGTCTCCGTCGGAAGCGACGGCAGCGGCGGTGGCGGGGGAGGAGGAGGAGGCCGAGGAGGAGGGGGAGGAGGGGGAGGAGGAGGATGCCCCCAAGGGAAAGCTCACGGAGCAGCCTGGCGATTACCCCTTTGCGCGGCAGCAGGATTGCGATCTACGTTTGTTTGATTTTGAGGCTTTCGGAGGCTTTGGAAAGGAGGTTCGCAGCACCCTGAGGGAGGCGGCGAACCAGCTGAGCAATAAACTTTCGCACGCTCAGCACCTGGACGAGGTCACATGGACCACCAAGAACTGGCACGGGCTGCAGATGCAGCGCTTGTCCGTCGTCCTCCACACCGCCGTGGCGTGGCAGACGGTGAACGAGCTAGCGTGCGGGGAGAGCGGCATTGTGCATGGTGCGGAGTGCATTGCCGTTCTTAACGGAGTCGCTTAGGCGGCTCCGGTGGTGAGCCTGTGTGTGTGCCAGTCCGCGCCAGTCTGCGCCCTTGTCGTGCCAGTGTGCTGTGAGAGAGGCTTGTATCTTAAGAATTCTTCCTCCGTCATTCGCGCGACACCGATGGGCCGCGATTACTATCGAGAGCTCGGCGTCGCCAAGGACGCCAAGGATGCCGACATCAAAAAGGCGTACCGAAAGGCCGCCGTGCAGTGGCACCCCGACAAATGGGCGGGCAGGTCGGAGAGCGAGCAAAAGACTGCGGAGGAGAGGTTCAAGGAGGTGGCCGAGGCATACGACGTCCTCTCCGACCCGGACAAGCGCGCCGTGTTTGACCGATATGGCGAGGAGGGGCTCAAGGCTGGCGGGCCTCCGCCGCCGGCCTCGGACGGCGACACGCACCACTTTGGCGGCTTTGGCCAGGGTGGGAGCAGCTTTGCGCACGGCGGCGGCGGCGGCGCGGGCTATGAGTTTAGAGGAGACCCGGCCGACATCTTTGCGCAGTTCTTTTCCGGCGGCTTCAAGCGGCAAAACTCGTTTGGCGAGACCCCGTTCGATGGGCACGGCGGGCTCGAGGAGATGCTCGCCGGGATGGGCGGCGGTGGTGGCGGGAGGCCCAAGGCCAGGCGCTGCCACCTCCCGGAGCGCGAGCACAATTTGCCCTGCACGCTGGAGGAGCTGTACCGCGGTAAGCTCAAAAAGATGAAGGTGACGCGCAAGTCGCTGACCCCTGGTCGGCCGACAGAGAAAATCCTCGAGCTGCCCATCCGGCCCGGTTTCAAGGCTGGGACGAGGATCACCTTCTCGGGCGAGGGCGACGAGTACGCTGTCCCTCCCCCGGGCGCCCCGCCGTGCGCGCAGGACATCGTGTTCATTATTCGCGAGGCCAAGCACGAGCGGTTCCACCGCGAGGGCAGCGACCTACACTACCGCATCAAGATCTCGCTCAGCGACGCGCTCTGCGGCTTTACGCACGACATCAAAATGCTCGACGAGCAGGAGCGGGTCAAGCGGCTCAACATGCGGACGCCCGTCTCCAACGTGACGACCAAGGTGCTCGCGGGTGAGGGCATGCCCAAGAGCAAGGAGCCCGGCAAGAAGGGGGATCTGATTATCTCTTTCGAGGTGGCCTTCCCGACTCGAGAGCTCACCGACACTCAAAAGGCCGCCGTCCGCTCCGCCCTGCCCATGGGTTGAGCGAGGAGTCGGGGACGGGCGGTGGATGATGCTTGGTGCTCGCGCCCTTCCTCCGCCCACCGCTTCGCGGGACCTGCGAGCATCTTACTAGGACCTAGCACCCGCAGTCTAGACCAGCGCAAGCATAGAGGTGTACGCTCGAGATCTGAGAGATAGGGTCGACCCGCTTGATGCGGACCGCGAGGTCTTCCGGCCAGAGCTCACGTCATCGCGGCAGCGTCTGCTGCAGATCCTGTTACGCGCACGAAATTCTTTTTTCTAGCTTCCACTTAAATTTTCCGGCTAAAATTCTTTCCGTCGCCGTGTAAAATTCTTTTCCTCGCGATGTCCACCCCGCCGCGGCGCCGCTCGCGCCGCCTCGCCGCCGCCACCACCGCCGCCCCCTCGCCAGACGCGCCGCCGCCCGTCCGCCTCCTCGATCTCCCCACGGAGATCCTCGTGCGCGCCCTCTCTCGCTGCTACAGCCCCGCCGACATCGCTCGCGTCGCGGCCGTCTCGCTTCTCTTCCACGCCTCGCTCGCGGTGGAGGCCATCCGCTTGTGGGCGCGAGAGCGCGGCTTCGAGCTGCCGGCGCAGCCAGAGGGCGAGAGCTGCGCCGTGCGGTGGCTGTGCTTTGCCGCGTTGCTGTGCGAGTCCAACCCGCAGGTGAGGGCGTCGGCAGGCCGGCACCACAGCCTCTTCATCGACGGCGAGGGGCGGCTCTCGTCGTGCGGCTTGGCTCAAGAGCTCCTCGGCCACGGTGTGGGCGTGACGTGCCTCAACACACCGACCCGCCTCCCGTCGACGCTGGGTGGCGAGCGCGTCGTGAGCGTGTCGGCTGGAGACAACCACAGCCTGGCGCTCACCGGCGGCGGCGCTGTCTGGAGCTGGGGCCGCGGAGCCCTTGGCCAGTTGGGCCACGGCGACGATCAGAGGCAGCTGCTGCCCAAGAAGATCGAGTCCTTTGCAGGCCGGTGCGTCATCGCAGTCTCGGCTGGACAGTACCACAACCTCGCCCTCACTGTCGACGGCGCCGTCTGGAGCTGGGGTTGGGGATTCGATGGCCGGTTGGGCCACGGCGACGATGAGAGCGAATCGCAGCCGGAGACAATCGAGGCCTTTGCTGGTCAGCGCGTCGTCGCTGTCTCGGCTGGAGATGGTCACAGCCTCGCCCTCACCGCCGACGGCTGCATCTGGAGCTGGGGCTTTGGAGCCGACGGCCAGCTCGGCCACGGCGACGAGCAGACCCAGCAGCTGCCGAAGAAGGTGGAGGCCTTTTCTGGCCAGCGCGTTGTCGCTGTTTCGGCTGGAGGCAACCACAGTCTTGCCCTCACCGCCGACGGCGCTGTCTGGAGCTGGGGCCGGGGAGACAACGGCCGCCTGGGCCACGGCGACACGCAGGAGCAGCTGCAACCCAAGAAGGTCGAGGCCTTGGTTGGGCAGCGCGTCGTGATCGTATCGACTGGGTGGCAGCACAGCCTCGCCCTTACAGCCGACGGCGCTCTCGTTAGCTGGGGCGATGGCTACGCTGGCAAGCTGGGCCACGCCGACCAGCAGGACCAGCTGCTGCCGAAGAAGGTCGAGGCCTTTGCTGGGCAGCGCGTCGTCGCTGTTTCAGCGGGCACGCATCACAGCCTCGCCTTCGCCGCCAACGGCGCCGTCTTCACCTGGGGCAAGGGCATGCCCGGCTGCCTCGGCCACGGAGAGGACCGGTCGAACCAGCTGCTACCCAAGAAGATCGAGGCGCGGGCGCCGGGGCAGTGAGGCAGCGGTTATGGTACGGGAAGACGGCCGCTGTCGTCAGTGTCTGCAGCCTCCTAGGAGGGCCTAGCAAGTAGGCGGGCGGTGGGGCGGAGGGGGGCCGCACCACTCCCTTTGGCGCGCGGAATCGTACCATACCAAGCAAATAGTTGACTGCCGCAGAGTCGGCCAACGCTCTTGACGCGGCGCGCGCCGAAGGCCGGCGCGTGGGCTCCGCGGCCGAGGAGCGCCAACGCGCCGCTGATCGGGCAGCCAAGGAGCGCCGCACACGGGCTGTCTTCGGGACCGGCGCTCTTGCTGTGAAGGCTGGCGTGGCACTGGTGTGAGCAGCGATGGCACTGGTGTGAGCAGCGATTTCATGAGCGAGCACCTCCTGCTGATTGAGAGGGAGTCGTCCCCAACACTGATCACCCCGCCTCTGCCCGCCGAGCAGCGCCGAGCCGTCGAGACGGCATGGCGCGGGCTGCACCACGAGCGCATTGGCCTGGAGGGTGGCGAGCGCCCCGCCGGCGAGCCATCTCGTCTGGACGCTTCCACGCGCTCATCCTCTCCGACTTGTCTGAGGACTCGCGGGCCATCCCGGCCGTGGAGCGTGAGCTCGGTCCCACGCTCCTGCGCTTTGCCGAGGGTGGCGGCGCAATCGCCGTGACGACGGCCGACTCGGGGATGGTGCTGCCGATGCTGCGACGCCTCTTTGGCGTCGCTTGGTCCTCGGGCGGCTACTACCGCACGGTGTGGGGACCATCGCGGGAGAACGCCAGCGCTGTCGCCGCGGCCTTTCCGATGGCGCTGGTCTCGTTTGGCCCGCGGGTGGACTTGCGCCTGACGTGTCCAGGAAGTGTCCAGGAAGTGTCTAGGAAGTGTCTCATAGACCCGCGGGTGGACCTGGACCTGACGCACGGCGCGTGCGTGCCGGCCGAGCCCAGGCGCGCGTGCACCGCGACACGCCCTCCCGGTGATGCACGCGCGAGGCGGCCGTGCGGCCGTGCACGTCGGCGCGGGCAACGCTGTCGACATGATGCAGGCCCGGCTCGTCGCGCACGCGCCGGGGCTCGACCTGCATGAGCACGACACCTTCCACCACAACGTGCCCATGTTCCTCGAGCGCGAGGGCCTGCGCTGGTGCCGCTGCTGAAGCGCGAGCTCCTCGCGCTGCTCCAGGGGTAGTCGTCGGCGCCGGACCCAGCTGTAGTGTATGTTGCCACGCGCAAGTACAAGTACGCAGGTAGAAGGTAGGATAGCGCCCCTCTGCGGAACTGTAGACGGGGACTCGTGTCGTGTGGCCCGAAATGTAATCGGGAGAGAGTTTAGTAGCCCCGTCCAAGGCGAGTTTTTTGTACGGTACGTCCCTAACGTCCACATTACACAACGATCTCGCCCTGGGTTGTGCGCGAAAAGAATACGTGAGCGTGGCGCGTGGGGCTGGGGGGGAGTCGCAGTCGGAGAGAGGGGCAGAAGGCCGAGAAGACTGTCGACACCCAGCTGTTGTTGGAAGTACACACTGTCGCGTCGTCCTAGCACGGGGGAGTTTGAGGGGGAGTGCCCGTACCCGTGATGTGGACCGCTAGCTTGTATCAGCAGCAACGTCAGTAACTTCGGCTCCTGCGCTCCTCGCCTCCTTCCCTGCTCACTGCCCCGGCGCCCACGTCTCGACCTTCTTGGGCAGCAGCTGGTTCGACAGGTCCTCCCCGTGGCCTAGGAAACCGCTTCCGCCCTTGCCCCAGGTCAAGACGGCGCCATCGGCGGTGATGGCGAGGCTGTGGCAGCCTCCAGCCGACACGGCGATGACGCGCTGGGTAGAAAAGGCCTCGACCTTCTTGGGCAGCAGCTGGTTCTGCTGCTCGTCGCCGTGGCCCAGCTGGCCCCAGCCTCCATGACCCCAGCTCCAGACAGCTCCGTCGGCGGTGATGGCGAGGCTGTGGAAGTATCCCGCCGACACAGCGACGACGCGCCGCCCAGCAAAAGCCTCGACCTTCTTGGGCAGCAGCTGGTCCTGCGTGTCGCCGTGGCCAAGCCTGCCAAAGGCTCCATCGCCCCAGCTCCAAACGCTGCCGTCGGTGGTGAGGGCGAGGTTGTGCACCATTCCAGCCGACACAGCGACGACACGCTGGTCAGCCAAGGTCTCGATCTTCTTTGGCAGCAGCTGTAGCTGCGTGTCGCCGTGGCCCAGCTGGCCATCCTCTCCATCGCCCCAGCTCCAGACGGCGCCGTCGGCGGTGAGGGCGAGGCTGTGGCGCGTTCCAGCCGAGAGTGCGATGGCCCGCTGCCCTGCGAAGGTCTCGATCTCCTTCGGCAGCAGCTGGATGTGCTGGTTGCCGTGGCCCAACCGGCCTCGCCCTCCAAAGCCCCAGCTCCAGACGTCTCCGTCGCCGGTGAGGGCTAGGCCGTGCTCGCGTCCAGAAGAGACAGCGACGACGCGCTGGCCCGCCAAGGCCTCGATCTTCGTCGGCTGCCACTGATCCTCCTGGTCGCCGTGGCCCAGCGCGCCCAAGCCTCCCTGGCCCCAGCTCCAAACAGCCCCGCTGCCGGTGAGGGCGAGACACTGGAATCCTCCAGCCGACACGCTCACGGCGCGCTCGCCGCCCAGCGTGGAGGGGAGGCGGGTCGGCGTGTTGAGCCGCGCCACGCCCTCGCCGTGGCCAAGGAGGCCTGCGGCGTGATCCGGCGCAGAGCCGCACGACGAGAGCCGCCCCTCGCCGTCGATGAAGAGGCTGTGCCGAGTGCCTGCCGCCGCCCTCGCCGGTGGGTTGGACTCGCGCAGCAGCGCCGAATAGCACAGCCACCGCACGGCGCAGCTCTCGCCCTCTGGCAGCGCCGGCAGCTCGAAGCCGCGCTCTTGCGCCCACAAGCGGATGGCCTCCAGCGCAAGCGAGGCGTGGAAGAGCAGCGAGACGGTCGCGACGCGAGCGATGTCGGCGGGGTCGCAGTGAGAGAGGGCGCGCACGAGGAGCTCCGTGGGGAGGTCGAGGAGGCGGGCGGGCGGCGGCGTGCTTGGCGAGGGGGCGGCGGTGGCGGCGGAGGCGAGGCGGCGCGAGCGGCGCCGCGGCGGGGTGGACATCGCGAGGAAAAGAATTTAGACAACCACAACTCTCTCTCACAGCAGACAGGCTCGACACAGGTCGAGGAAAAGAAAAGGCGCAACAAAGAAAAATTCCTATATAAGTCCCGCGTCGAGAGAACAATTTCTTTCTTTTGAGAGACCCATCGCACCGCCGTTGCGCACGCCCACCGCCCCGCCTAGGCCGGAAAAAGATGTACCTTACCTCTAAAAAAAGCGCCTCCGCCCGGCACAGGGTGAAGTGCCAATCGCAGTGAAGCGATTTTTGCCTTTTTGAAAACCGCGAAGTGTTTGTTTGTTTTTTCCCGGCGGGGCCACGGCGGGGAAGTTCAAACACACAGTTGAGATGAGCGCCCCTACCTCCGACGAAGGCGCTACCTCCCCTTGTGCTCACTGCACCGCAGCTGCCTCACGAGCACCTCCTTCGCCTCTGCGCACTCGCGCATCTTCCGCTCCGCTCTCGCCTTGACGCCCTTGTACCGGTCGGGGTGCCACACGCGCGCCAGCTTCCTGAAGGCGTGGGCGGAGCGCGGCTCGGTCGGGCCCTCTATCTTGGTTGGGTGCACTTGGAGAGTTTGCGCGTCGGTGCGCGAAGTAGGAGCGGGGCGTGTGTGTGTTGAGCCGGGTCTCCTGGCTAGCAGCGATCCTGTACTGCCGGTTCACCCAGCCGCACTGCGCCTCGGGCGCGAGCTGGTCGAGGTTGGCCGGCAGCTCGAGCACAGCTCTGTGGTCGCGCCCGCTCTTTGGGTCTCCGGGGTGGCCGCAGCGGTTGTCCTGCCACGCCTTGCGGTCGGACGGGTCGACGCACTGCCACCTCCGCTGCCGGTCCAGCGCGTGGCTGAGCCGCTGCTGCAGCTCCTGCGCCTTCTCGCCCGCCGGCGCCTTGTCCAGCGCGGCGCGCCAGTCGGCCACCGCGCCGTCAAAGTTCTTGTCGTGCTCGTGCGCCGAGGCGCGCGCCTCGAGCGCCTCGCGCACGCGCGCCGGCGAGACGGGCACGCCTGGTCTCGGGCGACCTTGGGATGACCTCGGCGATCTCGATCTCGGGTGATCTCCGGTGATCTCGGTGACGCTTGGGCCCAGCGCTGTGACGTCGGGTGATCTCGGGTGATCTCGGGTGATCTCGGGAAGTCTCGGGTGATCTCGGGAAGTCTCGCCTGGGCCCGGCTCGGTGACCGCTCGGTACGCCGTCTGGCAGTCGTGCATCGCCTAGACCGAGGTTGCCCTAACCGGTCCGAGAGTGCGATGGCCGCCCTGTATACGCCGTCCGGCGTGCATTGCCTCCTCGTGCTTGTTCATCGCGGACCGCGCGCGGCACAGCTTGAGCAGCAGCTGCGCGCGAAACAGCGCGGAGCCGACGTCCATCCCGCGCAGCTTGCCGAGCACGTCGTCGAGCGCCTTGACCGCCTTGTGGTTGTACCCTTTGGTCAGCTGCGCCTCGGCCTCCTCGGTCAGCTTGAGCACCGCCTTGAGCTTCTTGTACTGCTCGCGGACGGAGGACTGGTCCGGGTCGTACTTGAGCACGCTCGAGAAGAAGTCGAGCGCCTAGTCTCGGCTGCTCTCGGCTGCTCTCGGCTGCTCTCGGCTGCTCTCGGCTGCTCTCGGCTGCTCTCGGCTGCTCTCGGCTGCTCTCGGCTGCTCTCGGCTCTCTCTGAAGAGGGCGCCTTCTTGCCGTCGCCGAGCTCGAGCGCCGCGGCGCTGCCCAACGCCACCGCGAGCATGCGCGGCTGCCCGCGCTCCCAGCTGCTGTGCGTCGCGCTCGCCTCCACGACGCGCGCCGCCGCGCGCTGCGCGCTGCCCCACCGCCCGAGCTTCTGGTAGGCGCGCGCCTCGAGCAGCTGCAGCCGTGGCGCCGACCGCTCCTCGCGCGGCACCGTCTCTAGGAATGCGACCGCCTCCTCCCACGCCCCCCTCGCCATCGCCTCCAGGAAAGGAACCGTCCGCCGCTCCGCGCGCATCATCTCGACCACCCCACTCTTGGCGGCGGCCAGCTGCTCCTCGCTCAGCTCGCCTAGAAAGTTCCTAGAAGGTTCCTAGAACGTCCCTAGAAGGCCAGCTGCTCCTTGCTCAGTTCGCCCGCGCCTAGAAAGTTCCTAGAAGGTTCCTAGAACGTTCCTAGAAGGCCAGCTGCTCCTTGCTCAGTTCGCCCGCGCCTAGAAAGTTCCTAGAAGGTTCCTAGAACGTTCCTAGAAGGCCAGCTGCTCCTTGCTCAGTTCGCCCGCGCCTAGAAAGTTCCTAGAAGGTTCCTAGAACGTTCCTAGAAGGCCAGCTGCTCCTTGCTCAGTTCGCCCGCGCCGGCATGGTGCAGCGCGCGAGCGAACGCGGCGCCCGCGGCGGAGTAGTCCCCCTCGCGCCGCTGCCTGGAGGTGAGGGTGGGGAGGTGGTGAGGTGGGTAAACTTGGGGTGGCGGATAGCCGCCCTCGCGCCGCTGCCTGGCGCCGCGCACGACGAGCGCCGCCGCACTCGTCGCCTCCTCGCGCGCGTGGCCCGCCTCCTCGAGCCGCCCGCTGACAAGGCCGCCCAGCTTGCTCACCTCGTCCGCCGAGTGCAGCCCGTTGGCGGCGCAAAAGGCGAAGACCTGCTCCGACGCGTCCTGCCCCTTGTGCACCCGCAGAGTGACCACCTCCTGCCCGCCTCCCTCGCCGCCCTCGCCGCGCCGCGTCAGCGTCAGCGGCATCTCCACCAGCGGCTCCGCAGCTGCCTCGCCGCCCTCGCCGCCCTCGCCCTCTGCCGCACCTCGCGCGTCCACCCGGAGCTTCGAGGGGGCGAGCACCTCGGCCAGAAAGGAGGACCAATCCGCCTCCGCCTCCGCGGCGCGCGCCCGCGCCTCCACCAGCGCCGCCGCCTCCTCGGCCGCGCGCGCCGCCGCCGCCGCCTGCTCCGCCGCCTCCTTCTCCTCCTGCTGCCTCTGCTGCGCAAGCAGCCGCATCGCCGTGCCAAACTGCGCCTTCAAGCTGGCCACGATGTCGGTCTCGAGCCCTGGCCGCATCAGCGCGCGTGCCAGGTGCTCGGCCGCCTCGTCATGCACGCCCTCCTTGGCCAGCGACTCGGCCCTCTTCTTGTGCGCGCCGGCCGTCCGCAGCCGCAGCTCCTTTGGCGGCTCGTAGGCGGCGCTCTCCACCTGTCCGACCAGGTGCTGCGCGATCTGGAGCACGCCGTCGACGTTGAGCGCGTGCTCCTCCGCGAAGGCGACGGCCGCGGCGGCGGCGTCCTGGCCACGCCGCACCACGCACTCGTAGCCACGCGAACCGCCGCCCGAGGTGAGCGTGAAGGTTGAGCGAGCCACGATGTCGTCCTCGGCCGGCGCTGGCGGCGCGTCGGCCGATGGCTCGGCCTGAGCTCCCGAGGGAGGCTCGTGAAGGTTGGCGCCGGCGCCCTGGGCGGCCAGTGGCACCAGCGCGCACAGCAGCACGAGCAGAGTCGGCACCTTCAGCCGAGCCGAGCCCAGGATTCGGTACTTCAGCTTGGTATAGTATCATTGTATTGTTCTCGAGGGGGTATCAAGGTATGCTCTAGGCCTCTGTGGGGACTTATCTCGGCTGGGTATCAAGGTATCATCGGCGGCCGCGCAGCGAAGCGACAATTCACACCTCGCACCGAGGTCCGAGCCCTCCCGCGGCTGCAGCCGCACCGGCTGCGGCCGCGGGCCCGTCAAACGCGACGACGGCCGCCATTAGCGCCCTCCTCGCCCAGCGCATTGCTTAGTGGTGCGCTCGCCTCCCTCCTGCGCGACGCTCACTCGAGCGCGTTGTCTGTCTTGGCGCGCGCGCAGCGCGCGAAGAGGTGTGAAGAGGGGGTCGTGTCCGGTGTGAAGGGTAACCCACCAGGGTATCAGCCTATCCTCTAGGGGCCCAATGCGGGTCCTCTCAAGAGGGTATCAGGGTATAGCCCTGGGGTATGATCTGCAATCCAATGATACTATACCAAGCTGAAGTACCGAATCCAGCACAGCGCGCGAAAAAAAGTAACAAAGACGTCAGCCCCCCGGGCCTGGATGTGAGGTTAATGACTGCACTCCAAGTGCTCCAAGTGCAAGAACGCCGAAATCGCCACACGCCCCCTTCCATCAGTTCGCCCCTCCTTTCTTTCTTTCCATCAGCAATCACGGCCTCCACACGCCGAGCACGAACGGCGCCGTCAGCCAGCTGCGCGCGGCGGCGAGCGAGTGCCTCGCCATGCTCTGCCGACTCCAGCCGCCCTCCTCGAGCAGGCCGGCGAGGTCGTCGTCCAGGCGGCAGCCGTCGGTCAGCGCCTACGCAGGTAGGTAGAGGTGAAGAACAGTCTGACCGTCGACTATAGACACTGGGCGGTAAGGGTGGACGCGCCTCGTGCAGCGGCGAGGCGAGGACCTGGAGGCGGCGAGTGGAGCGCGAGTCGAGCCCGAGGGTCGGCTCGAAGACGACGAGGCGCCCGTTCGACTTTAGCACCCGCCTCACCTCTGCGAGCGCGGCCGTGAGGTTGGCGCGGCAGAGCGCCGACAGAGAGACGACGGCGTCGACCGACTCGGAGGCGACCGCGCTCAGGTTGGAGGTTGAGAGGTTGAGAGGCGGCGAGGCGCCGGCGGCGGCGGCCGCCGCCGCCAGCGCGGGCGCCAGGTGCGGCCGCTCGTCCACCGGGATGGCGCGTGAACCGAGTCCGGGGAGCGAGAGGAGCGACGTGAAGCCGGCGGCGCCGAGGACGAGGGCGCGGCCGTGCAGGCCGGCGAGCAGCGGCGCGACGGCCGCTCCCGCCTCCTGCTCCGCCGCGCCGCCAGCGTCGCGCGCAGCGAGCCGGGCGGAGACCGCGGAGAAGCGCGGGACCGGCCCGTCGGGGCCGACGACGGAGCCCGGCGAGGCGAGGATGGCCGCGACGCACGCGATCATCGCGAGCGGCACGACGCGTGACCACGGCGGCGCATCGTCCGACTTCTCCTTGTCGGCGAGCTTCTGGGCGATGTTGGAGACCATGACGTTGGCTGGTAGCGAGGCTGGTGTGACGCGATGCAGTCTCTCGAGGTTCGCGAGGTGGATATCCTTTGGCCGCGTTGGGTGGCGAGGATTGGTGTGACGCGATCCACGATGCAGTACGCAGGATTTTTTCTTTTTGAGGATGATGTGGCGGCTTTTCTTTTTCCTTGTTTTCCGTCCGGTCAGTCACCCTTCTCATCTTAAGGTCGGTGGGACTGCCTGAGCTCGCAGAAAAAAATCGCATCGCGCATCCTCGGAGTCTGTCCGTTTGTCAGCCCGTCCGACTACCAGCCCGTCCGACTTGTCATGGCGCTCCCGTGGGCAAGCAGCGCGCCTGCACCCCCATCGCTCGCCTCCGGCGCGCGCGTCGACATCAAGCTCGCCCCGTTCGGCAGCGGCGGCGCCGGCGCCTCCGCCTCGAGGATGGTCGCCGCTCTGTTCGCGCGGCCCTCGCAACAACCGGCCCTCACGAGCGACGGTGCGGGCGAGTGGGTGGGCCGACCGGGCGCCGCTTACGAGATCGTGGTCACACTGCGCGAGTCCGCCTCGCCGAGCCGCGGCGCGCCCAGCCGCGAGCCGCCCCGTGCAATTCTCAAACACATGACCAAACGCCATTTCCACTCGTCGCGGTGTCCTCTCACCCGCACGTTTCGCAAGACTACTGTCACCCGCCGCCCCCACAAAACAGGCCAAATGCGCGTCGTTCGGGCGTCACTCGGCGGGCACGAGATCAACGAGCAGCTGCTGCTGCCTCGCGGCGGCGGCTCGGCAAGATTCGTCGGCTGGCTCGAGAGCGCGGACGGCACCAAGCGGCTGCAGTTCCTCTGCCCGCCCACCCCTGGCGAGACGGTCTGCATCCAGGTGCCGCCCATTAGCGCGCGCGCGTTGCCAGCGCACCTTGCGCGAGCCTTTGCCCTCTGCTCCCAGGTCGCCGTCTTTGAGGCCACCTCCCTCGGAGGCGGAGGCAAGGGCAAGGGCGAGGGCGGCGCAGGGCGGCCGCCGGGCGCCACTGCGGGAGACGCATTCGCCGGCCCGGCGGTGTCCAGCGAGCGCTTCGAGCTGGGGCAGCCCGTGGCGATCGGACAGGTGCGGCTGCGCTCGGAGCCGGCGGCGTGATGGCAGAGGTGTGCGAGGCCGGGGGGCGGTCTCGCACGGGCTGCGTTTCTTTATCCTCGCCGTCTCTCGAGCGTGCCTCTGGTGCGGCAGCGGAGTGGGATTGCGACCCCGGCAGCGCGGGCACCCGCTACGCAGGCGAGCCGCAGCCGGGTGCAAGCGATCCCTACACCCTATATAGGGCTTGGACGTTGGAGAGCAACACGTCGTTAAAGTATGTATGTAACTAGTGAGACGATTTATGTTTGGGGCAGAGCGAACTTTTCGGCGGTCGTGGAGGTCGTGGAGGTCGTGGGGAGTGGCGAGTCACGCTCGTGTGACGTGTGGATAGAGCATCGAGATGCCCGCGTCGAGCGCCCGTCGCCGGAGACACACCGCACACACACACACACACACACGCACACACACACCGCTCACCCACGCGCACCGGGCCTTGCACTTTGAATGCCGTGGGGCTCCTGTCGTTAGACGTGGAGACGCGAGGGTTGCCCCCCCCTGCCCCACCACCTCGTGTGTGTGGAGAAGTTTACCTTGCGGCTTTACCTTACCTTACCTATACCTCGCCGGAGATGCATCAACCTCCCGTAGCATCTGCTGGATGGCCGTCTCGCTGTCACGGAGACTCTGCAGTCTGGGAACACCCGCCCTCCGTGGTTGATCCTCGGGCTCAGGGCGTTGTCGTCCGTCTTGCCTCTGCTTCGCGCCGACCGCTGTACCCATGCTCACCTGAGCGAGACGTTGTATCCGGGAGAGTGTGGCCGCCCCCGGCCGCCATCCCGACTTGGCCGCGTTCCGCATCTATCAGAGCCCGGTATCCGCCGATGCACTCGCCGAAGGTGGCTCCATTCCTGTTGCAGAGTTTTGTGGCCGTCGGCTTCGAGGGGCCCGGCTTGATTGTGGCCGAGCCCCGATGGACATACGGCCTTGTGTCGGTTCCCCGTCTTTTATTAGTTCCCCGTCTTTACCAGCCCATACCGCGTTGGTGTCCAATCCGAGCCTGGCTGTTCTTCACCTTCCTAAAACAAAGCGCCATCGCAACTGCCATGTCGGCAGGTTGTAGGCTGGTGCTCTCGCCCCGCTGGGCGGCGCGGTGTGAGTGAGTGAGTGAGTATTCTTGATACGAAACCACGACGACACACCAGTCGACTCGCATCGGTTGCCTCCATGAACGGCGGAGCTATTCTCGCACCCACACCACACCTGGCTCAAACGTGGGCACACTCATAGCTGGGGACACTACTAGGTCATGCATGGCATCAGAAGTTTTATCTCTGGGCCCCGAAAGGCATCTCTAGCAGCGTCGTTACGCATGCGCCCTCCCCTCCTGGGCGCATGCGCCTCACATCTCGCCAGAGCATAAGCTCTTGGCGTGTGACGAGACGAGGTTTTCGCCATGCAGCGAGCAGCAAGCCGCCCGCCGCAAACAGCCGGAGGCCTCGCCGCAGCACCAGCCGCGCCGCGGTCCCGCACCCGTCGACGAAGCTCCCCCCGCGGAAGACCGCGCGTAGCGGACCGGTGCCGCGGCTCCGAGCCCTCCTGTGGGCCCGCGGCGGCTCGCCGTCGCGGTTCTGAACAATTGGATCCGTCCGGATTCATCCCGGCGTGCCGCCGGCGGCGCTTCTTCGCGGAAATTTTGCTCAACCTGTTTGTCGACAAAGGCGGGGCTCTGGTGGCGGCAACTGCAGGCGCACCTCACCTCGGCCTCTGTCCGCGCTCCCTCTCAGGCCGCCGCCGCCGAGGAGCAGCAGCGCGAGGCGGAGGAGGTGCCGGCTGTGCGCCGCACCAAGAAGAAGAGCTGCGGCAGCAGCCGCCCGAGCGGCGGGGCCTCGGCGCCGCCGGCAGAGGCGGGGCCGGCGCCGATGCCGCAGGCCAAGCCAGAGCAGGGAGTGCCGGAGGGCTGGCAGAAGGGGGTGGCGCCCGACGGGCGCGACTACTTTAACAACGTGGGCACCGGAGCGAGCCGACGCAGTGGATCCGGCCCAACGACTACTAGCGCAGGCGTCTGGACATCGGGGGCGAGGTGCTGCGAGGCGTGGGGCGTCGTGGCGAGACGAGACGCTAATCGCTATCTTTTGGGCGGGGGCGGGGGCGGGGGCACTAGCTCTAAAGTTATTTAAGTCACTACTTCAAAGTTATTTAAAGTCACTACACACTAGTCAGACTCAGAGCTCAGTCCTCAGACACCCTCGGTTCCCTCGTCAGACGCACCAGCCACCACGCACGTCCCGCTAATACGCGGATTATAGCCCGCGGACTACAGCCTAATACGCGCGGCCTCGGAGTTGCAGGTTTCGTTGAACCTGCACACATTTTGCCCAATGCCACCACGCAACCTCACAGCAACCGCAGGCTCCACCGGCAGCTTTTCCAGCTCCGGTGTCACAGTCGATGCAGGGCCGGAAGCCGATGTCGTGCCCCGCATGTCGGTGGGCTTCGAGCCTCCGCAACCCATTCTAGCGAGTTTCCCTGCGAGCGCGGATAAAGAAATTAGACTCCGGTAGGTAGACTGGCGCTGATCAAGAGCATGTGCATGCTGAATGGGAAGAGAGAGCGAGCCGGAGAGCCCAGTGTGGAGAGCGGGTGCCGAGTCGCTCTCTTGCTCGCAGAGAGGGAGGGCTGTCGGGTTGGGCTCGCGCGTGACAAGGGTTGGGGAATGGGCAGCAGCGGACGCGTCTCGCGGCTTCCTCGATGGCAGCGGCTGTACCTGCGAGCGGGAGTAGGCAGGTGTTGTGAGGCTGAGAGGGGTGCAGTCACCCGCGCAGCGAGCGAGGGCGCATCGCGTGGCGGGGAGGTGAGAGGGCGGCGGGTTCCGTGAGCAATAGGCGCGGGGGTCTAGACGTGCAGCTCGCGGCGGCATATCGGGCGCAATGCGGCGCGGCGAGCGGACGAAGTGCATGGTATCCTGAGGCAAAGGCCGGCGGCGAAAGGCGGTCGGTTGTGGGGTACAGTTTTAAAAGGGCCAAACAAAAAAACATTGCCTACAGTTCCCCGGCCCTGGATGTGCGGTTACTGACTGCACTCCAAGTGCTCCAAGTGCCTAACGCAGTGACCTATTCGCGCTTGCCAAGGGACCAATTGCTGGCAAGCCTGCGCAGCCTGCGCTCCAGCCGGCGTTATCATTCACCTTATGCCACCGTTGCGTATCCGAGCGCCGTCCACGACCACGTGCTGGACAGCGTGGCGGAGGTGGGCCCGAACTACGCACCCTGCTGCGCAGCGCAAGGAGACGACGGCGAATAAAGTAAGGCTAAAACTCCCATCGCCGTCTTTCTTTCTCTTTTTATAGCACGCGTGTCGCGGGGCGGGGTACCGGATGGGTGGCATTGAAGCCCGAGGGGTGCGGAAGGCGCACGGCGGGGGCCGGCTTCGGGGTGGGGGTGCAGCCGGCCGCCGCCACCGGGGGCCGCCGCGCCGTAGAGCGGCCCGTCGGTCTTCCTACCGGCGGTGCGCGCGGCCGCGCTCGGAGGCGCTGATTGCTCGGTCGCGCGGGGCCGGGTGACTCGCCCGCTGGAAGGGTGGTGCACGGGGTTTGCGGCGGGGTCCCCAACGTCCCCGGGGCGGCCCTGCTCCTGACGGGCCGCCGCCGCCGCCAGGGCGGCCCTGATGACGGAGAGCTCGGGGTGCTCGGTGTCGCTCTCTATCTCGTCGAAGAGGTTGCTTGCCTCCTGCTCGAGGGCTCGTGCTCGTGCCTTGTCCCGCAGGGTCCGGACCTGCGCGCGGATGTGCTCGAACTCCGCTTGCATCTCCGTGAGCTCGGCGCGGTCCGCCCGCCTCTCGGGCCCGAGGGACGTGCCGTCCAGGGCGACGTAGCAATCTCCCTTGTCTGAGGGAAGACCGCCTTCCGTGTCTGCCTCCTTTCCCACAGTCCGCTGCGGTGGGGTCGACGAGTCGCACCGTGCGACGTGCTTGTGCACCTCGTGCAACGCCGGGGGCTTGCACGTGCGGAGGGCACGTGCCCCGGGCGCGGCGCCCGCCTGGACACCGCCGTCCAGGGCAGCCGGCGTCAGGAGCGCTCGGCTCTGCAGTCGCGACCGCTCCCCCTCGAGGGCACCCTCGCCGGGTGCACCGTACGCCTTGTCGCTTGGCGGTGGCGCGAAGTGCCACCGCGCGTCGTAGTACCACTGCGTGCCGTGACCTCGTGGCTCGTGGCGGGGGTCGTGACCCGCGCCGAGGGCCTCCTTGGCGTCGTATGCCACGTGCATGCCTACAGGAGCGTGCGCCCCTGCAGTGTGGATCCTGACTTGGCTCGCGACGCTCGCGCTGTCGTCACGATCCGGTGCTCCGGGGGCCCATGCCCTCGGTGGGTCGTCTGACCCCATGGTTGTGTAGTTTGCCTCGGCGTCTCCCGCCGGTGCGTTCCCTGGGGCTCCCCACAATGGGGAACCCACGGCCGATCTCGCAGCCCATGCCGCTGTGTCCAGCCCTCGGTCGGTCTCGAGATACGCCCCCCATGGGTCCGCTTCGACGAGTCCGCCCGAGCCGTTGGGCTGGTAGGATGTATGGTCCGCCTCGACGTTTCCCGTCGACGCGCTCCCCAGGGCTCCCGCCGATTGGGAACCCACGGGCGATGCCGCAGCCCATGCCGCTGCATCTAACCCTTGGGGTTGGTCATGCCCGTGCGCCCCCTGAGGGTGCGGCTCGGGCCAGCCCGGGTCGTTAGACCCGGAAGTTGCGTTGCTCATCACACCGTCGTCCCCCGACGATGCGCTTCCCCAGGACTCCTCTCGCAAGGGGCCAACAGGAGGAGGCGCGTCCCCTGACATGGGCGCTGCTCTCTCCACTGGAGGGTGGATTTCCACCCGCGGACTCGCTCCGTGCGAACTCGCTGTATGGGTGGTTTTGTTCATAGACATGGGCCCGCGCGCCGCGCGCAGGCCGATTGCAGGGCTCTCCCACAACCACGCTGACCCGGATCCCAGGACCAACGACAGAGGCGAAACGACACTCGGCCCGCCGACACAATTCGACCACTGGACACTATATCTAAATGCGGCGCAGGCCAATCTCAAGTTCCCTTCTCGATTCTTCGCGGGAGTTCGCACCTGTGTCGAGCCTGTCTGCTGTGAGAGAGAGTTCTTTTGTTTAATGAAGGTGGCCTCAGCGGGGTCGGCGCAGCACGACTCGCACGCCTCGGACTTCCACAAAGGGCTGCACGCGTCGTATGCCGCTTGGCCGCACTCGCACTGGTGGGTGCTGTCGGCGTCGGGGTACCCCGCCATGTGGTAGCAGCCTGCGCGAGACAGACGGCGGGTCAAGACGGCGTGGTTTAGGGCGGAGGAGACAGGCGTCTGGGAGTATGGGTCGTCGCGCTGCACCGATCAGGCAGCTGTTGGAGTCCGGCCCGAGGGGGAGGGACTGCATCGGCAGGTCCTCGTCGGCGCCGCAAGCCTTGCACTCGGAGAAGCGCGGCGTGTCGGGCACGCACTCGGTGGGGTCGGTGACGCAGGTGCAGTGCTCGGGGCCGCCTGCGAAGTCTCCGTCCCAGCAGCCCTGCGAGTCGGGGCAGTGGGAGCAGAAGGCCGAACTGCCGGTGTAGAAGTAGGGGAAGCCCATCGGGTCCGTCAGGTCCGCGTTGTTGTAGTCGGGGCAAGAGCGCGGACGGCCACATCCGGTGCACTGGCCGGAGAAGGCGTTGAAGCAGCCCTTCATCGCGTCCGGGCCGTCGGGTTGCGGGAGCTCCTTCAGGTCCGGGTCTCCGTCGGCGCCGCATGCATCGCACGGCACGTAGGCGGGCGAGTTTGCGACGCACTTGTCCTCGGTGACGCAGGTGCAATGCTCCTTGGCGCACATGGTGTCGATCCCCGAGGGGCGAAGGGCGCCGCAGAACGCTCCGTCCCAGCAGCCCTGCTTGCCGGGGCAGTGTGCGCAGTAGTCGCCCTCGCCGGTGTAGAAGGTTGGCATGCCGCCAGACCCGTGGTGTCCGGCTTGGCTGCACCGTCCGGCTCGCCGCAGCCCTGGCAGGAGCCAGTGTAGTAGTTGAAGCACCCTTCGATCGAGCCCGGCGTCGATGAGAAGCCGAGGAGGGCGGTGACCGTGAAGAGCATGGCGAGGACTTCCTGCGGGCGTGGGCGATCGGGTGCGAGTTGGTCTGCAGATTTGAGCGGAGTGCCAGTGCTTGGGCGCTACCTTCAGCGCACCTTCCCAAAATGTCGGCGGTTGCTGATTGCTGTCACGCCTTGGAGGCGAATCGGCGACGTCCCTCTTCTTCATCCTTTTGGGGTCTAACGCTATTCCCATGACTCTAAACACACGCCACACGTCACTCAGACGGAGCTCTTCATTAGAGGGGCTCGGTGTCCGAGGGTGGGAAGGACGTTGGATGGCGCATGACCCCTCAGACCGCACTCAAGAGGGAGCGCGGCGGCACGTCGGCTCGCACGCATCGCCCTCACGCCCCTCTGCCGCGGCACCTCAGCACGCGAGCCGCGCAACAGATTGCCGGCCGCTGGCGCATGCCCCTACATAGATCGCTCCGCTCGCGGCGGCAGTCGAGGGTCGGCGATCGGCGCGAGCTGCGGGGTCTCCCGGAAAGGCGGCCACGGCCCTCCGCCCCTCCGCCCGTCGGCTGGTTGCGAGACAGCCTCACTGCGGCGGCGCCTTGTACGAGTGCGCCGCCTGCACGGCCGCGCCTTGCTGCGGCCGGCCGGCGGGCTCGCGGCGCTGGCAGCCTGTTCACAGCTGAGGGTGTGAAGAGACGCCGTTCACGGGCCGGCCGGCGGGCGCGCGGCGCTGGCAGCCGTTCTCCGCGTCGCAGAGCACTTTGCGCGGCGGCTGCTGCGGCGTCTCGGCATTGTTTGCGCCGCGGTCAAAGGCGGGGGCCGAGTAGAACCGCTTGCTGAGGAGCAGCTTGTCGGCGCCGCCCGGCTTGAGGGGCGCCGAAGCGGCTGCGGAGGCGGGGTCGCACCTGTGGCGCAGCGGTGCGCGTGAACGCAATACCGGCCTCGAGAGGGTCGTCCCAGCGCGGGCGGTGACGAAAGCCCATCCACGTCGAGAAAAGGAGCAGAGCTCTCGGCTACCTCTCGGCTCCATCTCTACGGCCGCACCCGCCGTCCGGCATCGCAACCTCGAAGAGCAACAACCGCCCCGCCTCGGGGCGCACGCTCACACCGAGCGCGGGGAAGGTGTCCTCGCCGCCCTTGCCTAGCCTCGGGCAATCTCGGGTTATCTCGGGTAATCTCAAGGCGCGGGGAGGGTGTCCTCGCCGCCCTTGCCCTTTGGCACGGTCGTCGCGTACAGGTGCGCGCCGAGCACGGCAGACACCGGCGACTCGCTGGCAAAGTCGTCGCACTCCAGCGCGAGCTTGCGCCCTCCGCCGGTCGCGGCGCGGTACCTGCTCACACACCGCAGCGCTGTGGACGGCGCCTCTGCACGGCGTGCAACACCCACCCGCCGCGGGGCGGGTGCCGCAGAATCTCGGGCGAGGAGGAGTAGGCGTAGGCGAGCCCGAGGCCGGGCGGCGACGCGTCCGCCGCGCTCAGCTGCACCACCTTCGCCAGGGCCGCCTCGTACGACTCGCCTTCGCTGGTCCGCTACGGATGAGTGATTCGCATTCGGCCGATGGCTTTTGTGACCTGCGCCTCGGGCGGCTCGCCCGGAAGCTTGCTCGGCTCCCACTCGCCGTCCTCCTCCTCGTCCCACTCGGGCGGGACCTGCTTGCAGCTGGAGGTGTGAAGAGACGCCGCTCGCACGTCAGCGCCCCCTCCCCCCTGGGGCGCGCACCTCCACCGTCGCCGGGTCGTCCCGCTCCACCATCCTCTCCTCCACCTGCGCAAACGCCGCCTCTGCGTCCTGCGCCGTGAAGCCCACCACGCCGCTGATGGCGGCGTCGAGCAAGTCGGCCGCCTTGTTTGCGCCAATGATCATCCAAGCCTGCTCACGGGGCGAGGCATGAGCAGCGACGGGCGGAGGGGCGACTCGGAAGCGCCGAGGGTCCTCCCCACCGCGTCGCGCTGGGTCAGAGCCGCGTCCAGCGCGGGCGTGAGCGGGCCGCAGCCGCTGTCGGGCGCGCTGCCGGGCGGCCCTCCGCCGCCCGCCTCGCTGTAGTTTGCGGCGATAGAGACGAGGGCGGCGGTGGCGTTGCAGTGGGCCTTGCCTACGTCGTACACCGACTTGGACATCAGGGGCGGGAGTGCGGTCTCGTGCAGGGTGTTCAGACCCCCGCGTGAGCACACGCTACGATGCAACGAATGCCGCGGAATACGGTCGGAGACAGCCGCAAGCACAAGAATGCGTCTCCCGCTTCTCGCGTCCGTTGCCTTTCGACGCCGCCTTCTTTGCCTCCTTGATCGCCTCCTCCACCTTCTTCGTGACCGCCTTGTCGGGCGCGTCTCCGAGGCACAGCTGCGGGCTGCCCTCCTCCTCGTGCGCCAGGCTGTCGAGCACGGCGGGCAGGTCGGCGAGCGCCTCTTTCCCAGCGGCGCCCAGAAAGTCGTCCACCGTCACCACGAGCGGCGCCTCCGAGAGGACCGTCAGCCTGCCCGCGTGCGGCCCTGCGCGCAGCGACGCCAGCAGCGACGAGAAGGGGAGCGCGCTCATGCCGCGCCCCGCCTTGACCCGCTCGACCACCTTGGCTTCGTCGATCGCGAGCCGCGCGGCCCTCTCCGCCGCCTCGGCCTTGGCGATTGTCGCCTTGTCGTCCTTGGAGAGCAGCTCCTCGCCGTCAAACTCGTCCTTCACGGCCTTCAGCTTCTTGCCGGCGCTCTTCAGCGCCTTTTCGAGCTTCGGCATGGGCTTCGGAGTCGCGCTGAGCAGCTGCTGCTTCCGCTCGATCCCGTGCACCGACGCGTTCAGCACGCGGTGCAGCGGCGCCTCGGACGCCTTGCGCCGGCGCGAGAGGATGCGTGAACAGGGGCGGAGGTGAGATGGCCACAGCGAAGTGGTGATCGATGAGCGTGGCAGCGGTGTGGACCGAGAGCGGAATGCTTGTCATAGGAACTGGAGAGGTGGCAGGGAGAAGAGCGGCAAGCCGTGGGCAGCTCTCGCCTTGTCGGCGGAGCACGACTGGAGCGCCGTCTTCCCGGCCGATATGGCGGCGGCGAGGTCGTCTTTCGCGAGTGAGGTGCGCATCGTGAGCAGCACCTTCTCGGGCGCCGCGGCCAGCGCCGAGGCAAGCAGAGTGGAGAGCATCGCCTGCAAACTCACAAGGGCAGCGCTGATGTGGCGCACGAAGAAGAATTCTACAACGCAAGCCCCTCTCACAGCAGACTGGCACGAACTAGCACCACAAAAGGCACAGCAGACAACGGCCCCTTATGGGCCGTCGAAGAGGCCGTCATACTCCTCCGGCCTCGCCCCCCCTTCCCAACCCTCCCCTGGCTCAGGCTCCTCATCCTCGCGGCGCGCAGTGCGCACCCCGCCCCGCGAAGACGAACCCTTCCGCCGGCGTGCCTCGCGGGACTGCCGCCCGCTGCCGCCGCCCTTCCCCCCCTCCGCTGCCCGCGCCGCCTTCTCCGCCGCCCGCGCGGCCGCCTTCGCCTCCTCCGCCGCTAACAGCGCCTCCCTCCGCGTGCGGGACGGCTCGCGGTAGGTGATATGTGATCTGCAGACTGTACTCTAAGGGTCCGCCCGCAGGCGCATTTTGTATTCCGAGGCGGTGCCCGGTGCCGAACTTGTCGGACCTTAAGACAGCAGTGGAGATATTACGATTTACGATCTGGAGGGATTGAAGGATACTGTAGTAATCTGGGGAGATCTGCATCTGGAGGGCTCCCGGGTCGCCCCGGAGCGGCCCCGCGCGGGGAGGTGGGTGGAGGGCGGGCACCACAGTTGGTAGTTCTCCAGATCTCCGCGGCACGGCGAGTGGTACTGGGTTACCCACCAACCCAGTCTCTCTCCGTGGGTTGGACTTTTAGGCAGTGCGTGTGGGAGGGCAAATTCCAACTCCACACCCTCGTCACATGCACATGCACATGGGTGTGAGGTAAAACCACGCTACCAGCGCTTGGTCACATCGGCCCCCAGGTCAGATCTGTCTCCTCTTTTTTATGACAAGACTAGTCTACTACGTGCCTCCCCGTCTTTGTAGCCTGGCGTTTGTGCCCCCCGTTTGTGCCGCGTCCCGTGCCCCCGAGTTCATTTTATACTCCCTTAGTGCGGCTTCGTGAGTGGTTGGGGTGGCCTCAAGCATCCCCAAGGGAGCCTCTGCGGTGCCACATAAGCAGCTTGGTGATTGTCGAGACTTTGAAGGATTCGTTTGAAGAAACGCAAACATGCCAGACACTACTATGGTCACCACACAGTAAACCATAATTCGACTTTGAGGGATCATATCTCAAAAAGCCGGGAGATAGCATAGCATTATTGTTGCATATTATACCACATAAGGTCAAACTTGACCTCACAAGCATCAAGAACCCGATGCTCCGGCTCGACTGTGCCGGCACACTGCCTCCTCACGCCTGCTGCCAGCAGCCGTCGCGGCCCGTGGTGCACCAGAGAGAGAGGTCGATACGTTGCCCCCGCCGGCGACCCCGCGCGGCTCAGGCCGGCCAGAAGGTGTGTGGTGACGGCGCCGTGGCAGGAGTGCGGAGAAGAGCTCGCCGAACGCGAGCAGAAGATGTCCAAAGTGTGCCAGCGCGAGAGCCTCGCGAGCGGGCGCAGAAGGAGCTCGCCGTGACACGATGCCGGGCGGTGGTGGTGCTCTGGCGACTGTGCACAGTTGGCAAAGTCAGGCTGCAACAGGGCAGCACGATGGTAGTGCCCTGCTGCAGCCTGGCCTGACATGCACAGGGCGAACAGAGACACTACTATCGTTCGGCGCTCGTCGTCGAATCTGGGCGAACTTCGACCGCCGCCACAGCTCACCACGAGCACGCAGCGACAAAATGTTGACTGTACGGAAGTTGAGGCTGGTCGAGAGGAAAAGGCTGCCGTGCGAGCCGGCAGCAGGCTGGCTCGTGGTGGACTGCCGCTCGCGACTTTAATGGGCTTCTGTGTTCATAGTAGCGTATACGCTACTATGGTTTACCCACATTATGCGAGTAAATACTGGCTGGAGCCGAGCCGGAGGGCCTGGCGCCCAAGCTAGAGGGTGCGGTGCGTCCTAATCTAAAATCCGAGGATTAAGGATTCAGGCATCGCTTCAGTGAGGCCAAAGTGAGTTTATGGATGTGTGAGAACGGTACAGGACACGAGGAGGCACGCGGACCAACTCGTCGGCGACTCTGCTGCACGCCGTTTCAGAATTTTTCTCAGCGTGAGCGAGACGTGGAAGAGTGCCACCGTCGGGTAGGACGGGTCGGCCCGGAGCATCAGAGTAGCCGTCGTGGTCGCGGCGAGCAGCGCCGGCCACTCCGGCGCCGCGTCGGCAACATGGGAGCATGTCCACCGCCACTTCGCGGTCGCAGCGCTGTTTGTCGCCCAAAAGCCGCCTATCCCTCTGGCGGGCCAAAGATCGACTCGCATGTCGATTTCGACGCGACGGGCGCATGGAGGCATCACGTCTCCATGCGCCCGTCAAGTCGGAGCCAGTCTGCGGCGACCACAGCGCTCACCGCAGGGATCGGCGAGCTTTTCAGAGTCGAGCGATTGCGCGAAATCCCACACTCGTGGATTTTGGTACGCACCGCACACCCCCTACCCAAGCCCTGGTCAACTCAGGGTCCTTCCCCCTTTATAGATCGCACGTCCCCCCCAGACCCCACATCGTGCGCATCGATGAACGATGACCTCAGGTCAACACGGTCACGTACATACCTGTTTACTACTACCTTGTAGACATCTCCAAGTCTCTATCCACGATGACACGTCCCACGATCCCGCACGTGTGGCCCGTGGTGCAGTCTCTCCTTCTCGTCCCTGTGTTACCCGGGTACGTGATGGCACATCGCATGCAAGTGCAAGTGGTTATGGCGCGCGGGGGGGCAGACTCAGACGCCTCGCCGGGGGCTGGCAAGCCCCCCCGCCGCCGTCCCGCCGAGAAGGACGTCCATGTCCACGTGCGCCTGCACGTGCCGGATGGCGGCCTCCGTCCGCTGCCTGTCCGTCGCGTTGAGCTTGGCGGTGAACTTTTGTATCCGCTCCGCCACCTCCGTCGTCTCCAGCGGCGCGTGCATCGTCGGGATGCGCGACTCGCGCAGCCGCGCGAGGATGGGCTCGTCCGGCGCCCACGAGTGCCGCGTGCCAGTGAAAATGACTCCGCCGCGGATCTCGCCCGTCTGTGCGTGGTGCCGCAGGCACGCCTCCAGGATGCCCAGCCGCGAGCCATGCACGACCAGGAGCCGGTCGCTGTACTCTCCCTCAGCCAGCCGCTCCTCGAATCGGCGCACGCTGCAAGTGACAAACTGCACGCCGCCGCAGTGGCGAAGCACGTGCTCCTCGCCTGTGAGGAGACATGCACACCTTAGAGGGAGGAGCTCCACGCCACGGAGGCCGAGCCACCGTGCCCCTCGCCCGAAATGAGACGCTGGCCGAGCAGCTTCGCAAAGTCGCCCATCGACGGCGCCGCGAGGAAGGGCTCCTGTTCACGGCGAGCCGTGTGAAGAGGCGCCGTCCACAGCCCCTCGACGGCGCTGCGAAGAAGGGATCCGTCGGGACGAGCCCGGCCAGCGGCACGCCGATCCGCCCCAGCGCGCGCCCGAGGTAGTCGCGCATCATCTCCACCTTCGCCGGCTGCACGCGGTTGAGCACCACGCAGCGCACCTGTGCGCAGAGGCGCCGCCGACGGTGTAGCGGGTTGAGCGAGGTGAAACGAGATCGAGCCGAGCACCTTGACGCCCTGCGCGGCGCAGACGGCGAGGTTGAGCGAGAGCTCGTCAAACGCGGAGCCGAGCCCGCCTTCGCAGACGAGGACGACCTCGAGGCCGAGCAGCTTCGCGACGGCGGCGTTGTCGAGGCCGACGATGGAGCCGACCCCCATGTGGCCGGTGCCCTCGACGACCACGTTCGGGTGCGCCGCCCGCAGCGCCTCCCAGGCGTGCAGCAGCGCCTGCTTCTGCCGCTCCATGTCGATCTCGCCGTCCACATAGCTCTTCGTGAAGCCTCGCGGCATCAGCACCGGCGACATGTGCTTGTACTCGCACCGAAGCCCAAAGTATTCTTTCGCGAGCCGGCAGTCCTTGTCAACCCGGAGAGGCGGCGCGCCCTCCGCCGCCGCCTGCACCTCCACGTGCTGCTGCCCGACGGGCTTGAGGTAGCCTGGCCCAGTCAGGGAGTCCGAGTGCGGCGTGAGGCGAGGCCGGTGGGAGGCAACGGCGCTAATGCGGCGTGAGGCGAGGCCGGTGGGAGGCAACGGCGCTAATACGGCGTGAGGCGAGGCCGGTGGGAGTGTGAGGCGGACACACCGATCGACTCGAGCGGGACACGGGAGGAGAGAGCGGCGAGGAGGCCGAGCGAGGTGGTGGACTTTCCAACGTGCTGCCGCGTGGCAGCCACGAAGACGGACCTCATGAAATACGGCCCGCGGCGGGCCGTAGCGCAGGGTTCCAACTTTTTCCGGGGTATGGTATGCTTCGCGGCCCGTCTACCACCGGCCAGTTGACGACACACTCCCAGGCGCCCGCCGATGAAGCTGGGAGGATGTATGGAGGAATGGTAATGACCTCTCCGGATTGGTTGAGCCCCGGCATCGACGGCGGGAAGAGGGAGGATCCCCGCCCCTATCCCTCAGTTTAATCCCCGACAGATCACGACCCCCTCGGAGGGGGCCGGGCGAGGCGTACCCCGAGGGCCCCGCTCTTTCCCAGCAGCGGCGCGCGCGCGCACACACACAAAGACGCTGCCCCCTCACACCCCGCACCGCACATCACACACCCCTCGTGGCCGCTCTTCAGTCTGCGGCCAGGGCGCGCTGCACCGGGCCAACCTGCGGCCGTCGCCACGTGCGGCGGGGCTCACCGCGGGGCAGCGCGCCGACGACGTCGAATGCGCCGCCGTGGCATCGCGGCGCCGATGACCAGGCTCAGAGGATGACCCCGGGTAAGCGTTCCCGTGCCTCGACAATTGCCGCTGGTAGGCGCGCCGCGCCAAGCCATGGCGGGCGCGCCGCGGCCGCGCGCAACCTTCGTTACAATGCCAACCGCGCGCGGCCGTCGACCGGCAAGCACACGCCTCGACTCGGACACACTGTTCCGAGGGCAAGGGAGAGGGGCTGGCTCCTAGCCCGAGAGGGGAGCTTCCGAGACCCACTACATGACCACGCACGCATCATCCCGCGGCCTGGCGGTCGGCGGGATTGCAACCAGTCTTCGCGTGCCGCCTGTCGTTCGCTCGGGCGCCTTGGGCGTTGGGGTGGCGAGCAGGGGACGCAGCTCTGAGCGCCCAGCGACGCGTGCCGGATGGAGTCCGGCCGCGGGTGACTAGGGAAGTTCGCTCAGGATGTGTGGCAGTCAGTTTGGCTGAGTGTCTTGTCTTGTGGTTCTGTGTGTCGCTCCTGTGTGACCGTCATCGCCCGTCTAGCGTCCACCCATACCGCGTTGGTGTCCCAGTCGTTGGTCGGACTGTGTTTCGCCTTCCCATCAATCAATCACCGTCTCTCGACTCGGCAGTCGCTCCAGCTGCGGGGGCGGAGGCGGTGATGGTGGGGGCGGGCCTGGTGGCGGTGCCGGCCGCCACATCTCCTGGAGCGGGGCCTCGGGGGCGGCCCCCTCGGGCCACACCGCGCGCCTTGACGCCACACCGATGGCCTCCCACCGCATCGGCGCCCGCCTCTCGGGCCTCTCGCCCCAGAGCAGCTGTGCGCCGTCATCGAGGCGCAGGCGGGCGCGAGCGACGCCGCGCTGCGCGTGGCGGAGGAGCACGCCGCACGGCTCGTGGAGCAGCCCGAGTGGGTGCTCTCCGAGGTCCTCCTCTCGCCGGACCTCGCCCCGCACATCCTCGCCCAGCTGCGGACCAAGGAGCACGCCGCCAAGGGGACGTGCCGCGCGTGGCGCCGCGGCTGGAAGGAGACGCTCGCGAAGCGCGAGAGGCCGCGCCTGCTCGTGATCGGCGGCCGCGACTATGGCAGGTATGGCGGATTCCTCAACTCGCTGGAGCGGTACGACCCGTCCACAAATGCGTGGGAGGAGGAGGCTGTGGCACCGATGCCGACGGCACGGTATGCAAGCACGGCGGTGCTCGACGGCAAGCTCTACGCGGTGGGCGGAGCGAATGAGGCTGACGAATCACCTTCCAACTCGGTCGAGCGGTACGACCTGGCTTCGAATGTGTGGGAGGCGGTGGCGCCGATGTCGACGCCACGCGAGGCTCACGACGTGGCGGTGCTCGATGGCAAGCTGTACGCCGTGGGAGGCTGCAACGACGACGACGACGTCCTCAGCTCGGTGGAGCGGTATGACCCGGCGCTGGATGCGTGGGAGGCGGTGGCGCCGATGGCGGAGGCGCGGAATGATCACGCTGTGGCGGTGCTGGACGGCAACCTGTACGCTGTGGGCGGGTACGACAACGGCCCCCTCAGCTCGGTCGAGCGGTACGACCCTGCCAATGCTTGGGAGGCGGTGGCGCCGATGGCGACGCCACGCGAGGCTCACGCCGTGGCGGTGCTCGACGGCAAGCTGTACGCTGTGGGCGGGTACGACGGTGACCATCTCAGCTCGGTGGAGCGGTACGACCCGGCGCTGGATGCGTGGGAGGCGGTGGCGCCGCTGACGCTGGCTCGCTTCGGGGCCGGGGTGGCGGCGCTGGAAGGCAAGTTGTACGCTGTGGGCGGCAGGGGCGAGGAGGACGAGGATGCGTGGGAGGAGGATGCGTGGGAGGCCCTCAGCTCGCTTGAGCGATACGATCCCGCGACGAACGCGTGGGAGGTGGCTGCGCCGTTGACGACCGCACGATCTTTTCATGGCATCACCGTGGCGTAGGGTTCTCTGGATGGTGGAGGGCGGAGAGGAAAGCAAGGACTGTGAAGAGATTGTGCGTCTTGGGCCGGGGTTGTGTTTTTGTGTGAACGGCAAAATTGCGCCGCCGACCAAGAGAATCATCTTCAACTTCGCCAAAGAGGTCGGCAGCCCGAGCGCCGTCGACCGCACCGACTACGGCACAGCCTCCGGCAGCGCCCGGGGCTTCGCCCAGCACCACTCGCAACAGCTCTCGCGCGCCGCCGTCTGTGGCGACGCGCAAAACATCAACAACGCTGCTCGCAACATGCGTGTCGCGCACTCATTCATGGCCGGTCTCAATGCCCCACCCCCCTGCGCGCGGGCCTTCTAGGCCCGCGGGTAGTCTCACCCCATCCCCAGGGCCTCCAGGGCTCGCACCTCAACCTCTCACAGACCAGCGCATAGCGCGATAGGACGTATTAAATGTCAATACAGGTAACAAGGCTGTGAAGAGGCGGTGCCGTCGTGCCTTCCGCGTCATGTTCCGCGTTCGTTCTTTCAGTCCTGTGGCTGCCGCACGCTCTCTCCACCTGCTCTCATGTCTCGCGACATCAGCGTCGACGCGTCCTTCCTCGAGTCCCAGCGAGCCAAGGCCGAGGAGCGCCGGCGCCGCTTCGAGGCCGCGGCGAGGGAGCCGCCGCCGCCGCTGCCAAAGCGCTCGATGGCGTGGCCGGGCGGGAAGATCGTGACGCCCAACAAGGTCGAGGCCATCGCGTCTTTTCTCGAGCGCAAGGCGGGCTCGCTGGACGAGGCCAAGGAGCGGGTCCTCCTCGGTGAGCTCGGCCGGGCTGCCGCAGAGGCGGGAGCCGGTGCCGCCGCCGCAGCCAGCGCTGGAGCGGCCGCGGCCTCCGGAGCGGCCGCGTCGTCCAGCAGAGCGCTCGCCGGCCTGACCCTCGCCCTGAGCGCGGGCGGCGACGAGTCGGGCGTCGGCCAGGCGGAGCTTGCAAAGTCGATCCGCGCTGCGGGAGGCGTGGTGAGCAACACGGTACACAAGCGGGTCGACCTGCTCGTCGCGAGCGCCCGCGCCGTCAAGCGCAACACGCAGGCAGTCCGCAAGGCGAGGGGCAAGTTCCGCACGCCGATCGTCTCTCCCGGCCCGAGGCTAGCCGAGACGGGCCCACACTTCCTCCAGAGCTGGTCACGCCTCTGCCGCTCCCGCCGCCCGCCTGCTGCCTCGCCCTCGCCCTCCCTGCCCCCCTCTCGCTCACCCAACAGCTTCCCGTCCGCGGCAGACTTTGTCATCGACTCGATCGCGGCGGGCTCCAAGCGCGACCCCGCTCTCTACGCGCCCACCGCCGACCGCGCCGCCCGCGCCGCGCCACCGGCCGCAGCAGCGAGCGCGGCGCCGCTCGGCACGATCGCCGCGCGCGCAGTCGCTTCGGGCAGCGGCCGAGAGGGGGGAGGGGGAGCGACGGCATGGGCCCTTCTCTGAACCCCTCTCGGAGCCGTGTCTGCAGGCAGCGCCGTGATGGGCCTCGAAGACGCCGACAGCGACGCCGCCACCGACAGCGGCGAGGGCGTCGGCGGCGGCGGCGGCGCAGGGGCGGGCAGCGGCGCGCGCTCCTCCTCCAGCGACGCCTCTTCCGAGGAGGGCGGGGCGGGGGAGGGCGGGGCGCGGGGGGGCGCGCCCGCGCGCAGGCAAGCCAAGCGGCGGCGGGTCGGCGGCGGCAGCGGCGGAGCGCCCCTTGGAGCCTCCTCTTCGCTGTCCGAGCCGAGCGGTGCCCCGGGCGATGCCCCCGGGTCGGGAAGGTGCATTAGCAGCTATGCCAAGTAGTGTGATGGTAGCTACACCATAGCAGTCTCTGTGGTAGTACACCAGCACCTGTGCCACATAGTCGCGCGCATGGTGGTACACCAGCACCCATGCCATACAGCGGTGTGTACGGTAGGTGGCGGGGTACGCCGGCTGCGCTACCGCGCCCGCCCCGCCGGCGCCGCTCGCTGGTGGCGCGCGTCATGGCCTCCATCGGGACCAAGGCGGGCGAGGCGCGCTGCCGAAGCCAGGCGCTGGGCGGCGCACGAGCCGGACGCTCTGAATAGGCGGGCGATGCGCGGTACAGGCGTCTCGAGCGGAGGATCAAGAGCCTGCGGCGGCGCCACTGGAGCGCCGTCGCAACCTCCGCCGAGCGTGCCTTCCTTGTGGGAAGCCCTCGCGCGTACGCGCGGGCGGCGGCCGCGCTGGCGGCGGAGGAGGCGGAGCGGAGGGCAAACATCGAGGCCGCCGCGAAGGAGGTGCCCGATTTGGGCATGTGCCAGCCTTGCGGGCCGCGGCAGCCGAGCCTTCCCCCGAACGGGGGAGTCCGGTTCCTGGCCGGGCCGGCGGTCCAGCGCGCGGTCGGGTGAGAGAGCACCGCGGGCGGGGAAGCACAGCCCGAGGCTGGTCCGAGCACAGCCCGAGGCTGGTCCGGGGAGAGACGAGAGCTTTCAAGTCACAAGTGCGCACTGTGCAGGCGCTGATCATAAAAGTCATATCCCTCCGACTATCATACGTTCCATTTCGGCGTGTTTTCTGCTTTTCCTTTTTGAGGCTGAAATCCGCTTTCCTACTCGTCCGAATTGCTGCTGCCCGAATCCTGTGAAGACGGAGAACGAGATCGAGAAGAGAAGAGACTAGAGAGAACACTTGCAGGATCTTGCAGGTCCTGCTGCTGCTCACTGCTCACCTGGTGGTGGTGCTCGTGGAGAGCACCTGCCCGCTGCCGCGTGCCGGCCGCTCGCCCTCTCGCGCAGCTGTGGGGGGAGCTGCCTGCGCACGTCTGGAACGTCTGGAAGTGGGAGCCTGGGTGCTGGGACGTGGCTCGTGGGAGTCCCACTGCGACTGCCTCTCGCTCTCCGTCTCGCGACTCGCGTCGAGGTTTCGCTTTCTCAACGATGATCGAACGCTTCCATCCTCATCAACCCTTAAGCCGTACGCTTAGACTACGCGCCACACGACGACCGCGCGGACACCCCTCCACCCACCGCCAAAACATCCCGAGCAACGGGAGCACAAAACCGGGAAGGGGCTCTTGGCTCGCGCAGTCGCAAAGGTAAGCGGCATGCTGGGCGCCGGCGAGACGAGCCACAGGCTACAGTGCTGGGCCGCGCTGTGAGCAGCGCGCCGAGCCGCAGGCTACAGGGCTTGGCCGCGCCGGGCTGGGCCAAGGGGCTGCACTTAGCGAATCGCGGCGAGGCCGACGGCGGGCGTGCGGGCGCTCGACGAGGAGCACGAGGCGCAGCCCTCAGTCCAGACGTGCGGGATCTTGCAGTCGGCCTCGGAAATGTCGCAGTCGCACTTGTGCTCCGACGTGTCGTAGCAGCCCTCGGGTCCGTCCGGGATGGGCCCGACGCACCACGAGCACGCCGAGATCCACGTGCCCGCGGTGCACTCGTCCTGGGCGAGCGCACAGTCGCACCTGCGCGGGACGGGTGGCGCGGCCCGGTAAGCACCGAGGGGGCGGGAGGGGGCGGGCGGGGCGGCGTCGGTTTGGCCGGGCGATGCTCACTTGTGGTCGCCGGCCTGGTTGTAGCAGCCGACGCCGTCCCCATCGCTGGTGCACGGGTTGACGCACGTCTCGGTCCAGATGTTGATGTGGTGCTTGTCCGCGCACGCTTGCTCCGTGAGCTCGCAGTAGCACTTGTGCTCGAACATATCGTACTGCGGCCGCAGAGCAGTCGGTCAGAGGGCGCGGGCGGGCGGCGCGCTTCAGGGTTGCGGGGCAGAGTGGGAGCGCGGGCGGCGCGCGTGGGGTTGCGAGAGTGGTGTCGCGACGCGCGGGGCGAAGGCGAGCAGAGAGAGCGCATGTGGGCAGAGAGACGCACGCGCAGACGCTTTCTTGTCGCCGGCGCATGCCGTGCAAGGGCAGGGCAGAGGGGCAGAGAGAGTATGTGGGCAGCACGCACGCATCGGTTCTTGTCGCCGCCGGGGACGGGCGCCATGGAGCGAGAACGAGAGCATGTTGATTGAGGACGAGTTGGACGCGAAGGGAGCGGGTGTCGAAGGGGACGTGCCGACATGGTGCGGGACACACTGACAAATGTCGGCGGTTGGGCGATTTTATTCATTTTTTCAGGCTTGGTTCTATCGTGGGGGGGGGGGGGGGGGGTCAGTAGAGATACACCTCCTCGTCATCGGACCTCCCGGCGCAGCTAATTTCAGCGGGCGGGGCCTCCGGCAGCGCCAGCTGCCTCCCCGTGCACCCTCAGCAGAGACGCGTCCAGCGGCGGCGGCGGCGGCGGCTGCTTGGGCGGGCGGCCGAGCAAGCGCGCGACGTCGTGCAGCGCGTACGTGGCGACGTAGCAGAGGATGAGGAGGAGGACGCCGAACTCGAGCGCGACGCCGCGGGCGTACTTGTAGAGAGGGCACTCCGCCTTGACGCAGCGCGGGCCCAGACGCTTCTCTCGCCGGAACGACTCGGGCGCGAGGATCGCCTAACAGACGACATCGAGCAATAAGAGATGCGATCTCTCATGTCTTGCTCGGGCGCGAGCATCGCCGTGATGGTGTCCGACGTGGCGTTGGACCAGCGGCAGCGGTAGTTCGGCAGCAGGCCGCCGTCGCAGGGGCAGGGCCGCTCGCCGCCGCACGAGGCGGCGCACGCCTCGAGCAGGCGGCACTGCGCGTCCGGCAAGGCGGGGAAAGCCTGGCATCACACTCATGATGAGACCCCCCGCCGTCGCCGTCACGAGTGCGCGAGAGGCAGCGTGGGGAAGGCGTGGCATCACGCTCGTAAGAGTGATCGTAGCGGCCAGGGTGAGCACTACCACTGCGCGTCCGGCAGGGCGGGGAAGGCCTCGCACGAGGCGGCGTCTGGCTGGTAGGCGCACAAGTTGGTCGGCGCGTCGGCGACGGCGGAGCCGAACACTTGCATCGACACGCCAAGTGCGAGGGCCATGCAGACGAGGCAGGAGCGGGCGGCGACGGAGCGGAGCGGCACCTGCGGCGCACTGGACGAGTCATGGACCATCCCGCAGAGCGGAGGTGTGGGGAGGTGTGGGGAGGTGTGGGGAGGTGTGGGGAGGTGTGGGGAGGTGTGGGGAGGTGTGGGGAGGTGTGGGGAGACGCGGGGAGACGCGGGGATCGGGAGGTAGACATGGCGAGACAGGAAAGATGCATACGGGGAGCACCGGCACCCCCTCGCGTTGGGTGCGCCAGTAGACGAGGAACCGTCTAGGAGCCGTCTAGGAACCTTCTACGTACCGGCGCCTCCTCGCGGTGGGTGCGCCAGTAGACGACGAACCAGCCGTAGGGGACAAACATGAGCAGCGTTCCCGAGCCCATCACACCGAGCAGGTGGAGGACCTACGTAGGTGGAAGACGCCAACCTCGGGGCGGGGATCCGGGAGTGTGCAGAGTCTTCGGAGCACCGCGTGAATACGGGGGAAGCGAATGCAGCCGAATACAGCTATATACAGCCGAATACAGCTCTCGAGGCGGCAAGGAGCTCTCCTCGCTCTCCGAGATACAGCCGAGATGTAGCCGAGATGTAGCCGAGATGTAGCCGAGATGCAGCCGAGATATAGTCGAGATAGCCGCGGAGGGCCTCGAGGCTCTGCGAGAGCAGCTGCCCGTCGGCGTCGTACCGCTCGGGGAAGATGGCGGTGAGGAGCAGCAGCAGCGAGCCGGCGACGAGGACGCTCTTGACGCAGAGGTGCTGCGGCCTGTCAGACCATCGCAGCAGTTGAGTCTTCACTCTGTGCTACGAGGACCGCTCTCGACGTGGAGGTGTCGGCGCCGGTGGCGGTGCCCCATGGCGGAGAAGCGCTGCACGAGGACGGCGGAGGTGAGGAAGAGGCAGGTGAACATGAAGACGTACCCCTCGGGGATGACGTTGCCGCAGATGCAGGATATGGTGCGGCACGCGCCGAGCCCGCCGTCGCACGGCATCGCCTCGTGCGCAGAGTCGAGCCCGCCCGCGTCGGCGGCGCCAAAGAGCAGGCCGAAGAAGATGACGTACACGCCAACCACCATCGCCAGCACCACCGCCAGCAGCCCCGTCGAGCCGCAGTCGAGCGGGCATGCGCCGATCCCGCACAGGAACATTGGCGGGTCGACTCGCTCGCGGAACGGCACCAGACCCGCCCGCAGCGGGGAGAGGGCGGTCGAGTCGCGCGGGCCGAGGCGTCGAGAGGGGTCCGCGTCGTGCAGTGACGGGTCGTCGTCGTCCCTCCGCTCGCTGCATGGCACGCAGCGGGCGCCGAAGAGCGGCGCGAGCCACGCAACCGCGACCGGGAGCACCATCAGCGCGAGGAGCGCAAAGGCCTCGCTGGGCGTGACCTCAGACTGGCAGGCGCTGGGAGAGATGTCGCAGAGGGAGATGGGGCAGCGGGACGAGTTCATGAACAGAGTTCGTATTGTCCACCGAGCCAGCAGGGAGCAAGACCGAGGCCCTCGGTGTTCACAGCCTTCTCTCGAGGTTCTCGAGGTGGATATCCTTTGGCCGCGTTGGGTAGCGAGGATTGGTGTAACCCGAGCCACGGAGGCGTGTTTTCTGACGGCCGACCGTCAGTGCACGGAGTTGCCACTTCTCCGACTGCCCCGGCTAGTTCACGAGTTTCGCGGGAGTGACCCCATGCGTCAAACAAACCCGAGACCTAGCGCGGGTGGGTTGGAGGGGGCTCGCCCCGTTCCTCCCCATCGGGCCGCATGTGCGGCCACGCCTCGCAGATTCGTTTCTCGCGCCTGGGTCAGGCGCGCGGGGCATCCCCCGGGTCGCTCGACCAGCGTGCAGCGATCCGAAGAGTGGCCGCTATGCGAGGGAAAGAGCGGGGCCCACGGGGTACGCCTCCGTCCGGCCCCCTCACAGCCTTGTTATTGAGAAGAAAATACGTCCTATGCCGCTGTGCGCTGGTCTGTGAGAGGTTGAGGTGCGAGCCCTAGAGGCCCTGGGAATGGGGGGAGACTACCCGCGGGCCTATAGAAGGCCCGCGCGCAGGGGGGTGGGGCATTGACACCGGTCATGAATGAGTGCGCGACACGCATGTTGCGAGCAGCGTTGTTGATGTTTTGCGCGTCGCCACAGACGGCGGCGCGCGAGAGCTGTTGCGAGTGGTGCTGGACAAAGCCCCGGGCGCTGCCGGAGGCTGGGACCCCGCCGATCTCGCACATGTCGGTGACGTGCCCCTCGTTGAGATGAAAAGTCGTCTGAGGGTTCGCCTTGTCACCGTAAGGGATGAGGGGAATGTGTCAGTGTGAGGGGTGCACCAACCGCAGAGCGTTGTGTTTTGCCTTGGCTCCGGCTCAGGTCGTGGGGCATAGCTCGGGTGTAAACGGGGTCTGGGCAGCGGCCCGCCGCAGGCGCCGCCGGAGGCTGGCCCGCCGCAGGCGCCGATTTTTTTTGGCGTTTTTTGCTCAAAATTGAGATATTTCTCATCAAATTCTCATCAAAATCGAGCTCGCTACGTCCCGCTACGAGCTCTCTAACTGCACAGCACTCCTCGTTGAGCCTAGCGGCGCCCGTATCGCCCACGCCAACATTCTTCTTCTTCTTCTTGCCCTTCTTGCCCTTGGGCCCTTGCTGCACTTAGCCGCTCAACCTCCGCCAGCAGCAGCTCCTTGGCATGCCGCGCCGCCTCCATCTGCTTTGCTTCCCACGCTGCCGCTTTCTCTAAAGCAGCGCCGCCACTAAGCGGCGCAACCAAGTTCTCGCATTGTTTGCATGAGCACGTGTCCTGCTTGGCGCGGCGCACAATCCGCGCGCGGCGAGTGAGGTGCGTGAGAGCAGAAGACTGACAGCAGGAGCTGCAGGAGCTGCAGGAGCTGCGCGGGTCGGATGGGCGGTGACGCCGTCGAGCGACGGCGCAAAGGTCAATCGCTGCTGCTGCGCCAACGAGAGCGGCGACACGAGGCTGCTGGCAGCTGGCAGAGCGAATCGCGATTCCGGCGGCCGCCGTCAGCCCGCCGACACCGACGGCCTGGCTGAGGTCAAACTCCTCCACACGTCGGACCAGCCATGCGTCGGCCACGGCGACGAGACGTCTGTATGCAGACAGCCCGACACCCGGGCGATAGAACATGCCAGCTGGGCTCTTCCACAGGGCTCTCGTGGCCCGTGGCGCGAAACCCAGGTGAATAGGGCGGGCTGCGGCGGGCGCAATAACTATTCACAGCTTATGAAAACCGGAAACACTAGAGTCTGCAGAAGAGTTCGAGTGGTCTTCGTGCTCAGAAGGATTGAGAGAGCTCTATTCACACCCTTTGTGCGTTGAAGACCACAGGCAATGCCCGTTTACACCCAACCGACGAGTCGCTGGGCCCTCTCTGACCTGAGCCGGAGCCCTTTAAGACTTGAACAGTTTTTTTGGTCTTTAAAGCAAAAGGGGCCGGTAACCCGTATCAAGGTTTACCACACACAAGACACACACACACACACACACACACACACACACACACACACAGAGAGAGAGAGAGAGAGAGAGAGAGAGGGGGGGGGGGGAGGGAGGGAGGGAGGGAGGGAGGGAGAGAGAGAGAGGGAGGGAGGGAGAGAGAGAGAGAGAGAGAGACAGAGAGAGGGAGAGAGAGAGAGAGAGAGAGAGAGAGAGAGAGAGAGAGAGAGAGAGAGAGAGAGAGAGAGAGAGAGAGAGAGAGAGAGAGAGAGAGAGAGAGAGAGAGAGAGAGAGAGAGGATCAGACAGACACGAACCAGTGATAACGCCGCGCAGTTGAATGGAGCCCTCCCTCAGTTTCGCTCCCTCAGCGTCTCCGCCTCCTTCGCCTTGGGCCCCGTCGACGTCATGGGCGGAGCCGGGACGCGCCGCGCCGCCAGCGATCCGCCCGCCGCCTCTTCGCCATCTGTAGCCACCACGCCGCCGCTGGGCGCCGCCTCGCCGCAAGCGCCGCCTCGTGGCCGCTGCCGGAGCCAGATGTTCATGCCCCACCTACGGGAAGGTTCCTAGAAGGTTCCTAGAAGGTTCCTAGAGGACGAGCCAGAGTTCATGCCCCACTTGCTTCCGCGTTCGACCGGCTCGCCCGCGTGCAGCGTCCGCGCGTCGAGCAACCCGCGCCTGCTGGCAGCTTCCTTTCTGTGGCAGCGGTCCGCTCGCTGCGCCCTCGCGGCATCGCGCCGAGGCGGGCGCTTGAAAGTGTGCCACAGGAGCTCGCCACGTCTCTGCTAATCCTCTGGCTAGATCTCTGCTCCATCTCGGCTACATCTCTGCACTTGTCGATGTTGTGCCAGAGCAGCGCGCTGCCGCAGACCGGAGGCACCCGCAGCCCCTCGCGGCCGGCGAGCGGGAAGTGGGTCTGCCCGCCCGCGCCGGCGCAGCTGTTCAGGTAGACAAAGACCGAGACGAGGCGGTTGCCTGCGCCGAGCCCGCAAGAGTGGCCGACTCGGAGGGATCGGGATGGCGCGAGATCGCAATCTCGTGAGCGAGATCGCAATCTCGTGAGCGAGATCCCAATCTCGTGAGCGAGATCCCAATCTCGTGAGCGAGATGGGACAACCTCTCTGCCGACCTCGCTCACTCGTCACGCCGGGGACGCGCCTCCGCCGGGCACGCAGCCTACTCCTGCTGCTCCTGCTGCTCCTACCGCTCCTACTGCTACTGCTCCTACTGCTACTGCTGCTGCTACTACTTCCTGCTGCTGCTACGACTGCCACGCGCCTCCGCCAGGCAGCAGCTCGCGCGCGGACTTGACGTCGCGGCTGGTGAAATGGTCGAGGTGGTGGCCGTACTGCTGCCCCGCCTACACGGACATGTCTCGGACATGTCGTGGACGTGCCGCGGGGAGGGCGTAGAGGCCGACTGCAGCCCCGCCGTATAGTGCACCACTTGCACCTCCTCTGCATGCGCCGCCGTCAGCCCGGTCAGCCAGCAAGCGCGCTCCACCTGTCCGCAGGAGTGGGTGTGACGAGACGCCGTCAGCCGCACGCAGCCCTCAAGTGCTCTCTTTGTCTCCACCGCCGCGGCCAGCACGGCGTGCTCGCTGCCGACGCAGCACCAGCGGTTCGAGCGGCCAGAGACGCGCCTGCGAATCAAGAAAGCCGCAACCATGCGGCAGGAAGGCTTGGGAGCGCGGTTCGAGCGGCCAGAGACGCGCCGCGTCTCGTCCGCCGGCGGCGCCTCCCCCTCCTCCGCGTCGGCGCCGTCGGCCGCCTCGGTCTCGTCCTCGACTGTGTCTTCGTGGCGGTACTCGCCTCCGCCGCTGCTGCGGAGCCAGGTCCGGCCGCTGCGCCGCGCGAGGGCGACGACCGCCGCCGCCTCGGCGGGCGAGAGGAAGTTGCGCACGAGCACGATCCTCGGGTCCTCGTGGAGCAGCGATCTCGGGTCAGCTCGTGCGATCTCGTGCGATCTCGTGCGGTCTCTCGTGCGGTCTCGTGCAGTCGTGCGGTCTCGTGCGGTCTCGTCTGACCTTGTGCAGCAGCGAGAGGTGCATCGGATGGCCCCGTGCGAGCGCGACGCATGAGGCCATCGGCGAGCCGCGGCCGAGGTGCATGAAGAGCGGCTCGGAGCGGCGAGACGCAAGGCGGTTGGCGAGGCGGCGCCAGCGCTCGTCCCCGTCGTCCGCGTCGGGAATGTCCGCAGGGCGTGTCCGGCTGGCGGTGGCGGCGGCGGCCATAGCGGAAGAGGCCGGCGACTGCAGCGATAGCGCTGGCGGAGGCTCCAGCCCGAGGCTGCGACCACGCTCAATGAGCTCCTGTGGGATCGAGCCTTGCAGCATGCACAGCGGCACTCCAAGCTCGAGCGCCTCTCCCGCAGTGACGGAGCCGACTCGCGTGTCGTGCGCCGCGAGCGCTTCCGGGGTGAGCGCGCCGAGGCTCACCGTGACGGCCTCCGCCATCGCGTGACACGTGACACACACAGCGGCTCGTCGAGCTTTTGCGGGCGATCAGATTGAAGAAAAACCTAGGCGAGCGCAGGAATGAAAATGCGAGGGTGACTAAGGGCTCTGTCCGCAAGGCGCCCGCGTCGCGGAACCATTGACAATCCGAATATTGATGAGTAGGTAGGAAGGCGAGTGAGTGAGTGTGAGTCCGCTCTCTCTCTCTCTCTCACACACACACACACACACACACACACACACACACACACACACACACACACACACACACACACACACACACACACACACAACAAACGTGCACGGCGACAAGGAGAAACCAGAGCTCACCCCGGCAGTACAACGAGGGGTACGAGGTCGACCTCGGTCCTCGCGGAACCCCACGCTGGCCCGGGAGGATGCGATGAGGTGAATGAAGTCAAGCTCTGGACGTCCCTCCTCAAGACCTCCTCGGCGGGCGTCGGCAACGCCCAACGCCTCGAGCGGCGGCACGCCCGCCTCCGTTGGCCACTCCTACGCCTTCGGCAACACCGAAGAGAAGGCCCGCCGCCTAAACATGGGCTGCAAGGCGCGCGGGCAGCCCGGCCAACCCTTCGACCACAAGACCGCGGCCACGGCTACGTCAAGGCGCATCGCGGTTTCTACCACGACGCGATCTTTGTCAAGCGCAACAACTTCAACCTGCTGCTCCTACCACGAGACGTTCGGCGGCGGCTTCTCGCCCACCGCCGTTCTCAAGCTGCGCCGCCTCGCGCGCAAAGTCGCGCGCGGCAGCGTCGACCGCACGGCCTACTCGCCCAAGTACTCGCTCTCTTTTATGTCCCACCATGCAGAGCGCATCTCTCTCTCTGTTGTGCGAGGCGTGAACCGCGCCATTCGCTCTCACCTGGCAACCCTGTCTGCACGTCTCGCGCGCGCGTAAACAGGGCAAAGTGAATGAAATCAAGCTCTGGACGCCCCTCCTCAAGACCTCCTCGCCGGGCGTTGGCAACGCCTCGAGTGGCGGCACGCCCGCCTCCGTTGGCCACTCCTACGCCTTTGGCAACATCCGAAGAGAAGGCCCGCCGCCTAAACATGGGCTGCAAGGCGCGCGGGCAGCCCGGCCAACCCTTCGACCACAAGAACGGCCACGGCTACGTCAAGGCGCATCGCGGTTTCTACCACGACGCGATCTTTGTCAAGCGCAACAACTTCAACCTGCTGCTCCACGAGACGTTCGGCGGCGGCTTCTCGCCCACCGCCGTTCTCAAGCTGCGCCGCCTCGCGCGCAAAGTCGCGCGCGGCAGCGTTGACCGCGCAGCCTACTCGCCCAAGTACTCGCTCTCTTTTATGTCCCACCATGCAGAGCGCATCTCTCTCTCTGTTGTGCGAGGCGTGAACCGCGCCATTCGCTCTCACCTGGCAACCCTGTCTGCACGTCTCGCGCGCGCGTGAACAGGGCGTACGACATGTCTCGTGTAGACTCCTCCTGGGTCATGGTACTTCAACTTCACTCTCTCGCATTACAAGAAAAAGAAATCGGAACACGAGCGGCACCGATGGCCTCCCACCGCATCGGCGCCCGCCTGTCTGGCCTCTCGCCAGAGCAGCTCGTCGCCTTCGTCGACGAGCAGGCGCCTCTCTGGAGCGCCGCCGCGCTGCGCGTGGCGGAGCCCGCGCAGCACCGCCGCTGGGGACGACACGCTGCGGAATCGGATCGAGCCCATGCACGGGCAAAGAAGGACGCTGCATAAGCGGTTGGAGAGGCAGCCGGCGTCTGCCGTCACAACGAGTCCCAGCGCTGGTTGGTCGGCTCGCCCGAGGACTGCTGTCGCGGACCCTCCCGTCGTGACGCAGCCTCCGACGAGCTCTGCAACCGAGGAGAGTGAGGGTGCGCCTCCCCTCACTGCTGGCCTGGCTGCGCACCGCCCCACAAAGCACCCCCTCGAGCATCTCTACAAGTACAAGTACAAGGGCGACCTTCTCCAAGTCGTCAACACTCCCGGCGGCTCCGACAAGACTTTAGCCTTGGCCACCCTCCTTGCGGAGCAGGAGGAGATCCGCTCTCGGTCGGCAACGTGGCAGCTAGTCGAGAGACTCGGTAGTTGTGACCCCCCTCTGTGCTCTGAGTGAGGACAGGAGAGAGAGAGCTTTTGTGTGGTGTTGGTGTACGCAATAACGGGACAGGGTAGTCGTTCTCTCTAGCTCCCCTTCTAGCTCTTAGCATGAGCTGCGCCCTGTGTCCGACCCCTTTTGCGCAGCAACACCTTAAACTTTTAGGCCCTCCAAATTCGGGTCGGAGCGTAGCGGAGTGGGCCCCGAGTTTGAAAAGGGCGACGGACGCTTGCGTCCTACCTAGCCTCCAACAACGCCTCCCCGGCGCAGAGGGGCCCCCGGAGGGATGCTCAACCGCTCCACGCCACGCCGCTTGCGGCGGTCCTATTCCCAGCTCCGCTGAGGGCCCTTGCGTTATTTATTTTTTAAAACTCGGCCGTCCACGGTGATCATTATTTCTTTTCCCGCAGGCTGACAGCAGAGACGTCTCGCGGGCTGCCATCCCCGCCAACACCACCAACCACTGCTCGAGGCTATCCGCCTGCGATTCTCATGTCCATCGCCTCCTTCTTCAAGCGCGCCGAGTCGAGCGGCTCCAAGCGGCCGCGCGAGGAGGACGACGCCGCTCCCGCCGCTCCCAAGCCGCACGTCCGCACGCTCGCCGCGTGGAACGCCAACTCGCTCATCCAGCGCATCCAGTGCAATCGCCCGGACCTCGATCGCTTCCTTCGCGAGCACTCGCCGGACGTCGTCTTCATCAGCGAGGTTCGCTCGCCGGCGCTCGGCCCGGCCGGCTGCAAGAAGGGCGACGGCCAGCGCCGGCAGCAGGACAAGCTCTCGCGGGCGTCGCACTCGCTCGCGAGCGAGGCGGACGCCATCGCACGCTTTGTGCGCGAGCACGGCTACCGCGCGTACTGGAGCCTCGCCGAGTACAAGTACGCGGGCACCGGCCTCCTCGTCAAGGCGGCCTGCGAACAGCCGCACGCGTTGCGGCACTCGCTCGACCCCGACGCGGCCGCCGCCACGCACCAGACGGAGGGGCGCGTGATCCTCGCCTCGTTCGAGCGCTTCGACCTGCTCGGGACGTACACACCAAACAACGGCGGCAGCGAGGACGCGCACGCGCGCCGGCGCCGCTGGGACGAGGCGTGCGCGGCGCTGCTGCAGCGGAGGGGAGGAGCCGCCGCCGCGCGGCCGCTCGTCTGGCAAGGGCGACCTAGATGGGGAATACGGACCCGCGTTCAACCCTGGGGGAGCGGATTCCGCTGCGTTCCCCGCCGTACTCAGCCGTACTCGGCTGCACTCGCCCTGACTCTGGTGTCTCCACACCGCAGGCTGGGAGACCTGAATGTGGCGGCCGAGTGGGGGGATGTGGGGCCCGACCCTGGCTGGTTCCGAGACAAGAACGGGCAGGGCGCGGCGCACGCCGACGGCCGAGACCACCCGAGATCGCCCGAGATCACCCGAGATTTCCCGAGGCTAGGCGCGGCGCATGCCGACGACCGCGGCCAGCCCGGCTTCACGCCCAACGAGCAGGCCCGCTTCCGCAGCCTGCTGGCCGCCGGGGGGCTGGTGCGCACCTCGCCTCCTCCCCCTCCTCGCCTCCTCCGCCGCCTCGCCTCCTCCGCCGCCTCCTCCCTGGCCTCGCCTCCTCCGCCGCGTCACCCCAACCCTGACCCTGACCCTGACCCTGGCCCTGACCCTGACCCTGACCCTTACCCTGACCCTGACCCTGACCCTGGCCCTGGCCCTGACCCTGGCCCTGACCCTGACCCTGACCCTGACCCTCCCCAGGTGGACGCCTATCGCACGCTCCACCCGGTCGCCAACTGGGCGACGGACGTGACGTGGCGCGGCTGCGCCGGCAAGGACGGCCCCCCCGCCGCAGGCCGCTACTACGCAAAGGGGATGCGAATCGACTACGTGCTCGTCGACAGGAGGCTCGCGGGCAGCGTCGTGCGCGCCGAGGTGCTTGGCGGCGGGGCGGAGAGGCGCGGGTTTCTAGGGAGCGACCACTGCCCTCTTCTCGTGGAGCTGGCAGCGGGGGAGGAGGCGAAGGAGGGCGACGGAAGCCGCGCGGCGGAGGCGGGCCACGCGAGAGCAGCCTCTGCCACGGGGAGCGCCCCACATGACGCCCGGCCCCTGGCGGACGGCGATGGTCTTGGTGCCGGTGCGCGGTGGCCAGTCGGTTCTTCGTCGAGCTGACGAGACGTGAGACTGTTGAGAGATGAGCCGAGAGCCGCGCGCGGTGCACAACATGATCAATGTTACCCCTTAAAATTAGTGAGTATTATTTACCAGTCGCGGCAGTCTCGAGTAAACGAGCAGTAAACACAACGCTTTGCGGTTGGTGCACCCCTCACACTGACACATTCCCCTCATCCCTTACCCTTGGCTGAGCACATCTACCTGCGAGCTAGTCTCTCCGCATTCTCTCCCCTAGTCATCCGCCCGCGCCGCGCGCCATCTAATCATAGTAATGGGCGTCTAGTGCAGCCACTGACAGAGCTATTCCAAAGGAGCGGTCGATGCCTCGCCTAGAGTTCGGGTGGACTTGCGCACTGCTTAGCCCTGAGGGGGGAGTGTGTGTGAGGTGGCCCTTTAAAGACCCCGTGGTGCGTGGACCAACACCAATGCTTCACCAAGCTAGACTCGCGAGTCGACAGGTGCTGGCTTGCTGCCCACCTCTGTGACTGTGCTGCTACGACGGTGTACGGACTACGGTACCCGTCGTGCCGTCGATAGGAGTCTGACGGACACTGTGAGAGGATCGCTGAGACGATGTCTGAATGAGAGTGGTGAGGCACAGACCACAGTACTCTTGCGCAAAAAGCGGCTAGTAGTGAGTCGCCCGTATCCGCGATTTTTCGAGGTCATGCACTTGGAGCACTTCTCTTGGAGTGCAGTCATCAACCGCACATCCAGGGCCGGGGAGCTGAGAAGCGCACCCAGCGGGCCGGATGATTGGTATCGTTCATGTATCTTTTATTCTGGCGTTCGGCGCGAAACCGTCGGCGCGAAACCGTCATATTTACTGGGTTCGCCTGAACGCGGCGGGGGTTCTCCCAGATCAATGAGCGACAAGCCAACCTCGCCACCCCCGTCGAAGGAGTTCGTGGACGGTCGGCGTGCGGCGTGCGGCAAGCTGGGTGGACCACCCATCTCGCTCATCGATCTGTGGCAGCCGTGGCCCAACTCGCCCATCTTCGACTTCAAGGTTGTGAGGCCGGACGGTAGCGCCCTCGCACACCAAGAAGCGCTCCTGCTCAATACACTCAGCATGTCGCGGGTGGTGCGCTTCCGGCAACAGCTCGAAGGCGCCGATTGGAGGTCGCTGTCCGGATGTAAGGGCTGGCTCGCCAACAACCTCTACAAGTTGGTGATGACCGACGCGGAGAATACCATCCCGCCAGTCTACTGCGTGGGCGTGTGCGGCGGCGACGGCATCTGCTGCAAGGGCCGAGACCGCACGGCGTCGGTGCGGCAAGGAGACCCGAAGGTGCTGCCGCTGGTCATCCGGCATGTCGTCTGCTGCCTGCGGGCGCCGATGTGCCTCCGACACGATCAGTTCGTGGTGCCCGACACGGAACTGGTCACGAGCCAGAAGCTGCCTCCCACCCTGGTCGGCACCGGGCACGTGGCGCCCTGGTGCACGTTGTGCATCGCCGGCACCTGGGAATCGACCTACCGCCAGACGCTCACGCTTGCAGCCGACCAGGGCGTGGAGGCTCCCGCCAACCAGCGCATCGGGCGGGCCGACGCCGCGTAAGGCCGCACGGCTTCAAGAATCGGAAATTTGTTTTGGACTACTCGGCCGCTGTAGCGTCGCTAGCGCACTAATATCGATTTTGTTTTTTGCGTGTAAACCAGCCCTTGGGCGACGTTCGCCTTCGCGGGCGAACTGGTGAACTGGTTCATGAACTGGTTCGCGGTGAACTCGCGGTTCGTTCGGTTTCGGAGTTCGCTGTGGACGGCATCCCCTTGGTTCGCTGCATCGGTTCGGTCGTTCGCCGCCTTGGGCGCCGAGCCCTCGAACTAGAGTTCGTGAACCGCCGAGCCTTTTCCGTTTTCTCCTCCCCCCCGACCCTCTTCATACCCGCAGGCCAAGGAATACCAGGGAAGTTCGTCTGAACTGCGAACGAACCGCGAACGAACCGCAATATTCAAATCTATTTTTAGCCCCCCGCTACCCAGTTGCACTCGTGCGACGTAGCGGGGGGCCACGACTACGTTTACGAAAACATAAGTAGTCCCGCGAGGATTCTTTTTCCGGCCCCGAACCCCATTTTCCACTGGGGGGACTTTTTCGAAGCAGATTTCACGGGCGTTCGAAGCGACTTGCTCAAACCCGTCATGCTTCCTTCGGTCTCGACTTGAGTGCCGCTCGACTGGCGATGAAGAGCGACCCGTAACGCGCACTTGTCGTCCTCCCTCCTCGCCACATGACGGCCGCCCCCCGACACCAACAGTCGCGCTCCGCACGCCTTCAAGGTCAGCTGCGGCCAAGCGACGATCGGCTCGCTCCGATCGCTGGGCGCGGTCACTCTCCGACCCATCACCCGCCTGCCGATCACCTGTCCGCCTCGCCGCGCGCGGGCCGCTCGCCTGCTCGCCACTGCCGCCGCGCGTCCCCGCGCCGCCACGCTTCCCTGTGCACCTGACCGCGCTCGAGCTGCGCAGACGGCGCGCGCTCTGGCAGACAGAGCAGCGGCCGCCCAGGCGGTCGCTGCTCCGCCCCGTCCGAATCCGTCCGCCCGCGCGTGCCGCTGCCGCCGCCGCCGCCGCCGCCACCGCCGCCGCCGCCGCCGCCGCATGTGTATGTCGTATATGTGTGTGCAGTGTGGACTTGTGTCACACTTGAGCCTCTATCTATGATTAGTAGACCGGTACTCGGGTTTGGATGGTAGCGGGGGGCCCCGCCGGAGGCTGGTTACTGATTTTGGCTCTGCAGCCAGGCCTGCCACCCTGTAGAGGCTGTAGTCCCTGGTTGCCTACTAGAGGCCTAGTAAGTACGCCTGGACGCCTCGGGGAGCCCCCGCCCCCCAGTCTACTCGCCATTCAGAACGCACGGCGCCCAGGCACCACAGGGCGGCCCTGCCTGCTCACAGCGCAGCCGGCACCATCGGGACCCTAGAGCCTAGTCCTCGGAGCGGCCCAGCTGCGGGAACCGCTCTGGGGCGGGTCGATGCCGACCTTGAGCAGGTAACGGCCGGAGCCGCCGTGGGCCGAGCTCGGCTCCGACAGAACGAACCCGAGCACTGATTTCTTTTTCCTAAGTTCGAACGGAGTTCACGAACCTCGCAGTTCGTTTTCGCAGTTCGCGAAATCCGCCCCTTCCCTCCTTCTCGTCCCGGACGACTGGCACCGGCGAAATACCCCCCCCCGACCCCTCTCGCAGGCGACACATCCCCTAAAGCGGCACTTTTTCGGTGCTGGTAGCCCCCCCAAAACAGGCGCGCGCAGCGCGCCCAGGGGCGCCGCAGGCGCCCCAAGCGGCGCGGAGCGCCGCCGCAGGCGGCGGACAGCAGGTGCGCGAAATTAAACGCCATTTTCGGCTCCGCGGTTTTGCCACTAACATTGAAATCCGGTACAAAACGACTTAGCCGAAACAACAGACAGACAGACAGAGAGCACACACGTTCGAGACGGGGGTGCGCCGACCACCGTCGCGGACCCAGTAGAGCTAGATGGTCCCACATGATGCGCCCTTAGCCTCTGAGCTCGTCCTAGACGTTTTAGGGAAGCGTGGGCAGACCAGAACGCGGCCACGGCGACGCTCCGAGGCTATCAGCAGCGCTGGCGGCGATCGTGGCGACGGCGCCTCGCCGCTGCAGCGGCACAGAATCGAGGAAGTGGCGTTGGTGGCAGCATCAATGAGATATGAAGGCGGCCGTAATGCTGGTGGCGCCTTCGAGGGCGGCGGGGAGGGCGGTAGCAGCGACGGCGGTCGAGTCATGTGGCAGGGGTGGCAAGATGCAGCAGGGAGGCTTGAGTTAGCGACGCGGGGCGGTGGCGTGCCAGCAGGTAAGCGGCGGCGGCGGAGAGCAGGTGCGCGAAATAAAGGCCAATCTTGAGATATCCATTTTGCACCACCTTTGGATTTCTGGTACAAATTGACTTGTGGATCTTGAAGGCACGCGCAAGAGCGCACCAGGCAAGTTGACTCAACCTCGGATCTCGCTGCCGCTAAGCGTGGCGTCGATTATCAAACGAGCGGTGACAGTAGCGGTGGCAGCGGCGGCAGCGTCGACAGGAGCACCTACTGCAGTGTCAAATGTGAGCTGGGAGGCGGGAGGCAGATGCAATAGGAGCGGGAGAGTGAGATCGTCAGCCAGCAAGGCAGACCTTTACGGCGCGGCTGCGGGCGCGTTTGCAGTGACATGCGATCCATGTGGCAGCAAAGGCACGGCGGGAGTAGCGCGTATGCAGGCTGGTGAGCGAGGGTGGCGCGTCGCGAGTGGCGGTGCAGCCAGTCGGTGGCGGGTGCTGGCGACCGGCAGAGAGATGCAGACGGCGCGAGAGATGACCCTGCGGAGAGGCGAGGTGACGGGCGATCCGCGACGGTGGGAGAGGGCTGAGCATCGCCATGTCTCGCTCCGGCACCATCTTGCCGAAGCGCAGGCCCGGGAAGGCGGTGTTTTTGATGTAGCGGAGCCGCGCCGTGTCGTGCTTGTTGTACCGCCCTTGGCGGCCGGCGTAGCGCTGGTGCACACCGTGCAAGATCGACTGCAGCTCGAGCTGGTGGCTGACGATGTCCTCGCCGCTCTGCAGCGCCGGCGACAGGCACATGGCGCCAGCAGAGGAGATCTGCGAACAGGGCGAGTCGACGCTGGCAGGTCAAGCAGCGTCGACTCGCTACCAGCAACGAATGGGTACCCTCCCCAAAGCCGACGTTTCCCTACCCGACTGGCACCTCGTCCGCGTGCAACTACCCGCGGCCAAGGCTGCGCGACGGTCAAACGCCCCTCGGGGGCGCGAACGCGGCCGGGCGATTGAGCGCATTGAGCAGTCGAGAGGCAGAGGCAGAATGCAGCCGCACGGTGGCCCAACCGAGCAGTCGAGTGGCGCGAGGCGAGTTAGGCAGCGAGTTCCATCCCCCAACTCTGTCTCGGCCATCCAGGACGAGCTGACTGAATTGCGATGCTCGCTGCCGGAGCCGTCCACCCCCATCCCATCGACGCCGCCGAGGAAAAAGCCATGTGGCCACCAGCCAGTGAGGTCCTCGCCTCTGCGGCCGCAGAGTGTGGCGGTGCTGGCTGAGGAGACGTGGGGCCGGCGCCTCCGAGCCTGTGCAGATGGCACGGTGGCGGAGGCGCTCTTTGCCGTAGGCCTCGCCACAGAGGGGACTCCGTCGGATCGAGTGCGGCGCCTGGCGCTCATCTTCCGGCTCGGCGAGCCGGCAAGTTTGCTGGAGCGGTGGCCGACCTCGACACTGCGAGCCGTGGCGGGCGAGGTGTCGGAGGCGTCCGCCGACAGGCAAGGAGTTGTGGCTGCTCTGTTGGAGCGCTTCTTCCCACAAAACTCGAGCCCCCCTCGGCAAGGCTGACGAGCCGAGGGCGACCGGGCCGCAGGCGACGAGTCGCTCTCGCCATTCGCACTGTCGTGCAACCATCCTGGCGCTGACGGAACTGCTCTCACTGAGGCGACGAGTCGCTCTCGCCATCCCCGCCGCCGCGCTTTTGGTGCTGACGGAACGGTCTCTATTTTCCCGCCCAAGCTGCACGCCTGCCAGAGCGCAGAGGGCCTGCCTGGGTGCCTGCGCGCCCGCCGCGGCGAGCCATGTAACATCTTTTTGAGACCATTTGTACTTTTGCCTTGAGCGTGTGGTACGTCTCGTAATCCATCACCACTTCCTTGTTGCACTGCATCTCAGATGCAACCAGAAACACATGCCAAATCGGACGCGCGGACTCGCGCCGCGCGCAAGGCCATTCCACAACGAAAACACACTCTCAACAAGTCAACAGCCACATCAGACAACAGGGCCCCGCTTCCAAGCCAGAGCAGAGACACGGACGCCACCGCCAGTAGTGAGCTGACAATGCATGCCGTGCATGCCGTGCATGCAGTGCAGACTGCATGGTCCATGTGCGGCGGGAGGACGACACGTCGCCGAGCGGCTCAACAGCGTGTCGACTCGCCAACCTCGGCTCACTAGCTCTCTCACCATGAGGACAAGTCATGGGTGAGCATCATGACCGAGCCTGGCGAATCCACCAGCGTACGCCCGCCCAGCACAGTTCCAATCGATGCGTTGAAGGTGGAGGCGAGCGTGTACGTGCACTTGAGCAACTCGCTCTGCCAAAGCGCGCACACGGGCGCAAGTCAGTAAGAGGGCGGCTAGGTGGGAGAGCATGTCGCCACGGCCGTCTGTGCTGTAGTGGGCAGCAGGAGGGCGTGCGCGCGCCAGGTCGACGTCGCAAAGTCGCGCCAGTTCTTCAGTATGGCACGTCTCCGCCTCGAGGTCGCTGAGAAAGTGCCACGTCGCCATGATGGAGGCGGCGGCCACTGTGAGAGGGCGATGCTCGAGCGGGTGCGCCTGTGAGAACAGCCGACCGGTCGGAAGGTGAAGAAGCTATGCCGCCGTTCACCGAGTTGCCTGGCGCTGGCTGGTGCCGCGCCGTGCGAACTGCGGACCTCGCCGTGGGACTGGCGGCGGCGGATCTTGTGTGGTGGGGAGGGAGGGCGGAGAGGCACCTCGTAGGATTCCAGGATCATCTCTTCGGCTATCCTCTGCGTCTGCCCGGTGGCGCTGACGAGCTCTAGCAGCGGTGGGAGCAGCGCGTGCGGCGTGATCACGTTCATGTCCCACCCAAGGGATTCGGCGATGTGCCGCTCCGCCGCCTTGACCGTTTGCTTGGCGCAGCCCTGCGCAGGGCGAAGGTGGTGCGATTGGAAGGCGGTGGGACTGAGCGGCTCGGAGCCCCCCCCCCCCCCCCCCTCTCGGATGGGTCTCGGAAGACTCTCTCGGAACTGGCTGTCGACCTTGGGCCCGCCGACCTCAAACAGCTCGCAGAGCTCGTCGAGCTGCGGGCAGCAAACGTCGCAAAACTTCGTCGCCAGCAGCAGGCACACCGCCGCGGTCAGGTTGACGTTAGAGAGCGAGGCCTGTCGGGAGCAAGGGAGCGTCCCGAGGTGAGTGGGTGGTGGCGAGAGGAGATACCGACCAGACGTGCTGGGGTGATGGGAGGCGGTGATGGGAGGCGTCAGCGGTGTGTGGCGGCGAAACTGTGGCTGACGCCGGCGACCAGACTTGCGGCGGCGACGGTGGCTGCGGCGGTGGCGCCGGCGAGGATGGGTGTGCGACGGGGCAGGTGGCACCTGCGTGGCGACGTAGCGGTCCAGGTAGGCTGCGGCATGGCCCACCACGAATGGCTGCAGCGGGCGCCGATCAGACTCATCCGTGCCCGACCTAAACTCGTCGCACGCCTGGAGGCCGGCGCACGCGGACGCGAGGTGAGCGTGGGTGAGGAGTGGCGACGGGTGAAGGCGAGGGGCAGCGGCGGCGGCGCGGGTGGGTGGCGACGTCACGGCGGACCTCCCGCATTCTCCGGATGAGCTCCTTCCTCACTGGAGCAGTCAGGAGGCTGGAGGATCGAGGCCGCTTCGGCTGGGTCGCCAGGTCGCGCTTCAGCTCGGCGAGCACCGAGTGCGCGGCGCGCTTCGTTGATGGCATCGCCCGCGAGAGCTAATCGTGCCCACGGGCACACTTGTGCTTCCGTGTTGGTCGAAACCACCTCGTGGGGGGGTCGGGGAATTGATGAGCTAAGTTTGGTCGCGCCGAGGTTGAACCCGCGCATCCCGCAAGGCGCGCGATACCCCTCATACCACTTCCTTTTAAGCTTTCGCCCGTGTCTTTCCTCCCGTCCCGCGTCCACCCATAGCGCGCCAGTGTCCGAGCCTGAGTGCCTGCCTCTAGGCGGGCGCCGCGCCCGGGGTGCGTGCCCTCCGCACGCGCAAGCCCCCGGCGCTGCACGACACGTACAAGTACGCCGCACGGCGTGGCGCACCGACCCCACCGCAGCGGGCCGTGGGGGAGGGAGCAGACACGGATGGTGGTCTTCCCTCAGACAAGGGAGATCGCTACGTCGCCCTGGACGGCACGTCCCACAGGCCCGAGAGGCGGGCGGACCACACCGAGCTCGCAGAGATGCCAGCGGAGTTCGAGCGCACCCGCGCGCAGGTCCGAGCACTGCGGGACAAGGCATGGGCACGAGCCCTCGAGCAGAGGGCAAGCGACCTCTTCGACGAGATGGAGAGCGACACCGAGCACCACGAGCTCTCCGTCATCGCCGCCGCGCTGGCGGCGGCGGCGGCCCGCCAGCGGGCCGCCGCCGGGGACGTTGGGGACCCCGCCGCAAACCCCGTGCACCACCCTTCCAGCGGGCGAGTCACCTGGCCCCGCGCGGCCGAGCAATCAGCGCCTTTGAGCGCGGCCGCGCGCACCGCCAGCAGGGAGACCGGCGGGCCGCTCTACGGCGCGGCGACCCCCGGTGGCGGCGGCCGACCTCACCCTCACCCCGAGGCCGGCCCCCGCCGTGCGCCTCCCGCACCCCTCGGGCCTCAGTGCCACCATTCCGGCAACCCGCCCCGCGACAGTGGACCACACGGCTCTGGACAAGCTGCACCCCGATTTCTGATCACCCGAATGCCACGTTCGGATCGCTCCTCATCGCAAACCCCGTCAGCAGTTCACCCTCGGGTAGTTCGTAAGATCCACACACCCTGAAATCTCCAGCCGTAATTTGGAGCTCGGTTTCTCAAATCTCAAGCCCTAATTTGGCTGCAACGGATCCCTTCATCGAACACAAAAGGTGCCTGCTCGCGCACACAGCTCCCTCCGCTCGCCTGAACCCGCCCCGCCCCGGCCTCGCCCCGCCTCGCCCCGCCTCTCCTCCGCCACACCCGCGTCGCCCTCCGCCGAACTCGTCCGGCTGACCGCGCCCGCTCTTCCCCGCGCCGCAGAACAACATGATCTCCACTGTCGCCCTCGCTGTCCTCGACTCGGCCCAGGCCTTCTCCGCGCCCGCGATGCGCGCGCCGGCCCGCTCGTCCGCCGTCACCATGTTCTCCGAGGGCGACATCGGCGTCCTCCCGCCGCTCGGCGTGTACGACCCGCTCGGCCTCATCGAGACGCGCGACATGCGCCGCTACGAGGTGCGCCCCGCACCGCCCCTGCGCCGCCCCGCCCCTTCCTCCTCCGCCGTCGCCGCCTCCCCCTCCCTTCCCTCGCTCCCCATCCGCCTCGCGCGCCCTCACGCCTGCCCCGCCCCGCCCCGCCGCAGATCATGGAGGTCAAGCACGGCCGCGCCGCCATGCTCGGCTTCCTCCACGTCATCGCGCTCAAGGCGGGCGTCGTCCTCCCGGGCGCGCTCACCCTGTCGGGCACCAAGTTCTCCGACATCCCGACCAGCTGCTTCGGCTCGCTCGAGGCGGTCCCCACCTTCGGCTGGCTGCAGATCATGCTCTTCTGCCTCTTCCAGGAGACGGGCTACGGCCTCGGCCTGGCCAAGGGCCAGACCGGCGGCTACGCCTCCAACCCGGACAACAACGAGGACGACGGCGAGGTGGGCGACATCGCGGGCATCCCGTGGGTGCGGTACGACGACCCCGAGACCAAGACCTTCAAGCTGAACGCCGAGCGCCAGAACGGCCGCGCCGCGATGCTCGGCATCACCGGCTGCCTCGTGCACGAGATCCTCGGCGTCGACGCGCTCTACCCGACCGGCGGCCTGGGCGGCGCCGCGCCCCCAGCCATCTTCTGAGCCTGTCTCGAGTCTGCTCCGCCGCGCGCGCGCTCACGACGCCACCTATTAGGCGCGTGAGCGCCTGTGGTCTGTGTGCGCCGTCTGTGTTTGTGCAGTGTGGAGTTTTGGCGCTCCTCTGTAGTACAAAAGTCGAGAGACAATGCCTGCGTCCTCATCGCTCATCCACTCGTTTCTATGAGTCGAACTCGACGAACCGAACCGTCGTCCGTCCTCCACACTCACCCGTCACCGCTCACCGCTCACGCCACACGCGACCGCGGCGGGCGCGCGGGCCCGGGCGCCGCGCGGCGCGCGCGCCGCCTGCGGCGGCGCGGGGGGCGCACCCAGACGTCAGACCACAGTGATCAGTGTTCCAGTCAGAGTCACCACGCGAAAGCCGAAGCGAAAACAGACGTGGTGTCGCGTCACGTACACGCGCTCGTGGCGGCTGACGTACAACCACAAGCACTGGCACCGGCGGGGCGGCGGCTCCGCTGCGGCTCCTTCGGGGCCCGCACCCACCGGCGCGGCACAACCACAGGGCCGTGCAGTCCGTGGGACGGCATCGGAAGCGTTGCGATGCAGCCGCGGTGCCAAACCACTATACTCCGCGGCCGCTTGCGCGCGCCCGTCCCGCAATCGCCGCCACTGCCTCCGCCTCCGCAGTCGCCATTGCCGCCGCAGCTGCCGCCGCCGTCGATGTCGCCGCGACTGGCACCGCTGCCGCCTTCGCCCGCCGCGACAGCAGCGGCGGCGGCAGCCTCGTCTGCCCCCTCCAACGTCCCCAGCGCCTCCCACCCCTCTGCCTCCGCCTCCGCCTCCGCCTCCGCCTCCGCCTCCGCCTCCGCCTCCGCGTCCGCCGCCTCCGCGTCCGAACCCCCCGCGTCCGCGTCCGCGTCCGCCTCCCCGGACCCCCCCTCTACCGAAAGCGCCTCGCCGCCGCCCCACCACGGCGGCGGCTGCTCGACCCTCCACCGCCGCCCGCCCCGCCCGAAGGCGGCTGCGGCGAGGGACTGCAGCTGGCGCAGCGAGGCGGCGGCGAGGAGCGCCTGCCGCAGCGCGTGCGGGTCCCAGTGCGAGTGCTTGTATGCGAGTCGCGCGCCCGCCCCGCTGCGGCCGAGCATGTAGCCCAAGTGCGCTCGCGCGTAGTCGAGGCTGGGAGGCGGGTGAGCGGTCGCCAGATCGAGGTACTCGAGGGCGAGGCCCCTCCGGTCGGACGTGCCACACCGCCGCCCCGTCGCCTCGCGCGCGAAGAGGGCGGGGTCTGCGAGCAGCGCCTCCGCAACCATCACGCCCGCCGCGCCGGTGGCGGCGGCCGCGGCGGCCACGTCGGCAGCGGCGCGGACGTTTCCGTTTGTGAGGGTGGGGATGCGGAGCGAGGCGGCCAGCGCGGCCACCGCCGCGAGGTCCGCGGGGCCGGATCGGCGGCGGGTGGCCGAGCCGCGCAGGCGGCCGTGGCAGGCGACAAGCTTGCATCCCGCCCGCTGCAGGCCAGCCGCAAAGGCGAGCGTCTGGTCGAGCGAGTCACAGAGCCGCACCTTGCAGGTGACCGGGACGGAGAGGGCGGCCGCGAGCGCGTCGACGATGGCAAAGACGCGCGGCCAGTGGTGATCGTCGAGGAGGTACGCGCCGTACACGCCCTCCTTGGCCCTCGCCTGCGGGCAGCCGAGGTTCAGGTCGACCGCGTCCACGTGCGTTTCGACCAGCCGCGCCGCCGCAACCAGCTCGTCCGGCTCGTTGCCGCAGAACTGCGCCACGAGCGGACGGTCGGCGGCGCCGCCAAGCTGGCTCCAGAAGAGGCTGCTCGCGTACTCGGGCTCGCCAACAAAGCGCCTCGCGTCGAGCATCTCGGTATAGGCGCAGTCCGCGCCGTGGCGCCGGCACAGCAGCCGGAAGGCGAGGTCGGAGGCGCCGACCATCGGCGCGACGACGCGCGAATGGCGGAAGGGTACGTGGGGAGTCTCCGCCATATACAGCGCGCGCGGCGGCGGACCACTGGCAGGCCCCGGGCAGCCTAGGGAAATGAAGAATTCTTGAACCGCAAGCCTCTCTCACAGCACACTGGCTATCCCTCCCTTGGGTTGTGTGTTTTCTTTCTTTCTTTTAGCACACTGGCTAGACTGAGATGAGACCGCCAGTGGATGTGGGAGTCCACCGCGCACCGCGCTGCGAGCCTGTCGTGTCCCTTGTCAGGAGCAGGAGAGCCCCACCTGTCCCCCTGATCGTCCTTCCTTCCAAAATCCTGCTCGTGCAGGTGGGGACCCTGTCCTCGTCCCATCCCTCGTTGGCGTGTCTGTTTTCTTTCTTTCTTTTAGCACACTGGCACGACAAGGGCGCGGACTGGCGCGGACTGGCACACACACCGGCTCACCACCGGAGCCGCCTAAGCGACTCCGTTAAGAACGGCAATGCACTCCGCACCATGCACAATGCCGCTCTCCCCGCACGCTAGCTCGTTCACCGTCTGCCACGCCACGGCGGTGTGGAGGACGACAGACAAACGCTGCATCTGCAGCCCGTGCCAGTTCTTGGTGGTCCATGTGACCGCACCAGGTGCTGAGCGTGCGAAAGTTTGTTGCTCAGCTGGTTCGCCGCCTCGGCCTCAGGGTGCTGCGGACCTCCTTTCCAAGGCCTCCGAAAGCCTCAAAATCAAACAAACGTAGATCGCAATCCTGCTCAAAGGAAGAATTAAGTCCGCAAAATGCTGAATTTTGTTTGTTTTTCTTTACGGGACTGGGGCGCACTGCCACTGGCAGAGTCCGGACTCCGGTGCCCAGTGTTGTGAAAATAAGAAAACAAATCCACCTCGGCCGCTCCCCCCTCGCGGCCATTCGAGGCCATGCGCCAACAGCCGCAGATCCAGATGTGAAAGGTCGGAGGTCAGAGGCTGAGCAGCTGGCTCCCGCCGAGCTTCTCCTTTGCAAGCGCGAGGTTGCGCCGGTTGAGGCCGCCGCGCGCAGTCAGCACGGGCAGCAGGTCGTAGTAGCTCTCCGCCTCCACGCCGTGCCACAGGTTGACCCTCCTCCACGCGCCGCCGCCGAGCCGCCGCAGCTTGAAGCCGAGCCCACCCGCCTGCCGCCCCGCGACCCCAAAGCCAAGCACGGTCTCCGCCGTCGCTGCCTCGCGCAGCCGCGCGTCAAACTGGAAGACGATCCGCAGACGGAGGAGCCGTCCCAGCCGCAGCACGCGGATCAGTGCGCGGCCGCTGAGGCCCGGGCTCGAGAAGGGGAAGGTGGTCGGCGCGAACGGGGTCCCGGTGTAGTCAAGGCTGTCTGCGACCGCGTGGAAGAAGCCGGGCGCCCACGTCGGGCACGAGACGACCTGCTCCGCTGCGTCCCAGTCGCAGTAGCTCGTGTCGGCCAGCAGCGGTGGGTTGAGGCCGCGGAACAGGTAGACGCCGTGGATCGGCGATGCAGCGGTGGCAGCCCCCGGGCCAAGCAGGGCCCAGTCGAGGATGTGGTCGAGGTCGTGCGGCGTCCCGGGGCTAAAGAGGTCGAAGAGGAAGAGGTGCGCGGCGAACGAGAGGAGAAAGACGCCCCACCGCATTTCGCTGAGAGACACCTCCCCGCCTCGTGTAACTCCCCAAAAAAGAATTTGACCAAACTGGCACGACATTGGTGCGGACAGGAGCGGACAGGCTTCGGAAAAAAGAAAACATCCGGCCCAAGTCGGCTCAGCTGTCGGAGCTCACTAGCGACGAGGCTGTCGCTCTGTGTCTTGTGCGCCACCCTCGCGGGGCGATGACCAAGATCTTGCTCATGCTCGCACTCGCGCTGGGCGCCGCCGGCCTGCGCTGGCCCGCTGCCGTTCCGCAGCGCCGCGCGACGTCGGGCCGCGCTGCCGGGGCGCGGCTCGAGCGCGCTGTTGGGCCTGTTGCAGTGGCGCCAGTGGAGGCGCCGAGCGTGTCCAGGTCGAGCGAGTCGGCGGTCGACGCGATGCGCGGCGCGGCGGAGGCGCCTTCGCCCTTCAAAAAGCTCATGGCCGCCAACCGCGCGGAGATTGCGGTGCGGATCATGCGCGCTGCGACAGAGCTCAACGTCGCCACGGTGGCCATCTACGGGTACGAGGACCGGTTCTCGCAGCACCGGTGGGGCGCGGACCAGTCCTTTCAGCTCGAGAAGAAGGATCCCGCCGACGCCGCCGTCCGCGCCTACCTCGACATTGAGCAGATTGTGGCGCTCGCGAAGCGGGAGGGTGCGCCAGCTCCTCTCTCCTCTCCTCTCTGTCTCTCCCCCCACATGGCCGCACTCGCCCCCTGCCATGCTTCTCTCCCCTGCCGCACCCCTCTCTTCCCTGCCGCGCCCCCGCTTCACTGCTCCGCTCACTGCTCGCCCGCTAGCCTGTCGCCGCCCTCGCCGCCGCCCGTCTATGCCCTCGTCCATGCCCTCGCCGCCCCCACCGCCCTCGCCGCCCCCACCGCCCTCGCCGCCCCTTCCCCGCCCTCGCCGCCGTCGCCGCCTCCCTCGCCCTGACCGCCGCCGCCTCCCCGTGCGGCACAGGCGTCGACGCAATTCATCCCGGCTACGGCTTCCTCTCCGAGTCGCCCGAGTTTGCGCAGGCCCGCCACTTAAATTGCTGGATACAACTCTAGAGCCATCTTACCATACTGTTCGCAACTTCACGAAGAACATCACAGAACCTCGTCTGCCATCACTGGCTCAAGAGTAGTTATCCCGACGCAAGGGCGCTGCAGAAAGAGCTTCCGGGAGCCGTCCAGGAGCCGTCCGAGACGGCTTCCTTGTAGGCGTGCTCCGACGCGGGCATCACCTTTGTCGGACCGACGGTCGCCAACCTGAAGACCTTCTCCGACAAGACCACCGCGCGGGTGGCTGCTATCGCGGCGGACGTGCCGGTGTGCAGCACACGCCAGCACACGCCAGCACACGCCGGCACTCTATCACGCCGCTGCGGTAGCACGCGTCCTTGCAGCACGTCCGCCTCGCCTTCCTGCACACAAGACCGCGACACGTCCACAACATATCCACAACATCACCACGACACGCCCACGCCATGACACCCTCCGCGACACTTCCGCGACGCGCCCACGAACATGCACATGCACATGCACATGCACATGCACATGTGCTTGTCCAGGTGGTCCCGGGCACGGACGAGCCCGTGACAACCGAGGCGGGGGCGCGCGCCTTCGTGGAGGAGTACGGCCTGCCCGTCATCATCAAGGCGGCCATGGGCGGTGGAGGAAAGGGGATGCGGCTCGTGCGCGACATGGAGGAGCTCGGCGCCTCCTTCGCCTCAGCGTCGACCGAGGCGGAGGCCGCCTTCGGGGACGGCTCCGTCTTCCTCGAGCGGTGCATCGAGTCGCCGCGCCACATCGGGGACATGTCCAGGACACGTCCGTGACATGTCCGAGACTTGTCCACAGGTACATCGAGTCGCCGCGCCACATCGAAGTGCAAATCATCGGCGACGGCAAGGTGGTCTCTCCCCCCCTCTCCCTCCCCCTGTGCGGGAGAGGCTTGGCGCGTCCCCCCTTCAACCCCCGGCCGGTGCGGGCAGGTGACGCCGTCCTCCAAGGTCGTCGGCGACCTGGCGCAGCTCATGGTCGCGCAGAAGTTGGAGCCCGACCAGCTGATCGAGCAGGCCGAGTCGCTCGCCTTCCCCGACTCGGTCGTCTCCTACTTCCAGGGCGGGATCGGCCTGCCGCCCGGCGGCTTCCCCGAGCCGCTCCGCTCAAAGGTGCTCAAGGGGCGGTCGCTCGAGGACGGGCGCGCCGCGTACGACGGCCGGCCGGGCGCGACGATGAAGCCGTACGACTTTGACAAGGAGCTCGGCCTGCTGCAGGCCTCGTACCCGAGCAACAAGGGCGAGCGCGACGCGCTCTCGTACGCGCTCTACCCGCAGGTCTTCCGCGACTGGCAGGAGCACCGCGCCGTGTACGGCGAGGTGGAGGCGCTGCCGACCGAGGCCTTCCTCCACCCGATGGCGGTCGGCGACGAGGTCGAGTTTGCCACCGAGCCGGGCCGCTCGTGGATCGTCAAGCTGGTCTCGGTGCCCAAGCCCGACGAGAACGGCCAGACGCAGGTCATCATGGAGCTCAACGGCGAGCGCTGGTTCGTGCCCGTCACCGACAACTCGGTGCAGAGCGCGACGGCGCGCGAGAAGGCGGGCGGCTCGCCGGGCTCGGTCGGCTCGCCGATGCCGGGCGTCGTCGTGGACGTCAAGGTTGTTTTTCTTTTTCTCCTGTCTCGGTCGCGTCCGCCGGCTCGTCGCTCATGCACCAAACCCTAACCCTAGGTCAAGCCGGGCGACACGATCCGCGAGGGAGAGCCGCTCGTCGTGCTCTCGGCGATGAAGATGGAGACGGCGATCCCGGCGCCCGCCTCCGGCGTCGTCGAGCGGCTGCTCGTCTCGGCGGGCGACAAGGTCGTATCTCCCCCTAACCTCCCCCCTATCTCCCCCTGTCTCCCCTATCTCGGCGGGCGCCCTGGGATCCCCCCCCCCCCCCCTGAGCCGCTCGCCGCTTGGTCATAGGTGGAGGGGGACGACCTGCTCGCACAGATCGGGGAGGGTGCGCCCAAGGAGGAGGGCGGCAGCTCCGCCAAGGGCGGCCTCTTCTCGTCGCTTTTCAAGGGCAGCGGAGAGTAGGCGAGGAGGGTAGCAGCACACCGAGAGAGGAGGGGCCCCTTGAGGGGTCGCTGTTGCGACGTATATTCGCTGGACGCGCGGCGAGCGAGAGGGAGGCAAGGTGGCGGCGCCGCCGCGCGGGGCGCGACGGTCGCGCGCCGCGCGCAAGGAAAAGTAGAGGGCAGGTGAGAGAGTCGTTGCTGCTTGCATGTATGTTGATTGTGTCCCACGATGGGTTTTGGAGAAAAGGCTTATAGGCCAGAACAAAGGTGAACACTCTCTTACAGAAAACTTACACCAGACAACGAGATCTCTCATATGACAAACGGGATATCTGCCATCGTGCATCGACCGCGATCGAGCAGGGCGTGCGTCACGGAGAGTGTTACGTACAGTGGACCGCCAAGCGGCCCGCCTACGACACCAACCGCAGCACGCAGGGACAATGATCGCCTTGTTGTCAGCCTAATTCCTCCTCACACGCCCACATCCACCAAGGAGGGATGCCCGTGCTCCTGCAGCTTCACGAAGGCCGTCGAGAAGTCGGCATGGAAACGCGCCGCGTCCTTTGCGTAGAGCTCGGTCGTCTGTCGGAATGTAGGGTCGGTGATCAAGGCCACATCCGTGTTGAGCATCATCAGCTCGGGCTCGGAAGGGCAGGCCATCTGCGGCAGCCCGGTGCTCGCCTCAGACGGCTCCCACTCGCACTCGAGGAGCAGCTCGAAGTACCGCGTGTCGAAGCGAAGCGGTGTCTCGGTCCAAGGTCCTTCGAAGCCCGATCGGTCGGCGCGGCACTTGCCTAGGGTGTGAGCTCCACTCAGAGCGACAATCTCGGGGTCGGTGAAGCCCATTCGGTAGAAGATTGTTCGGATATGCTTGGCGCCCCTGTCGCCGTCTGGGAGGCGGCCTTCTGCAACGCACGAGGCCGCCGTGCGAATGTCCGTCCGCCCAGCGCGGTACGGGATTACTGGCCCGCCCGCCCACTCGATTGCAGTGACCGCCGCCAAGGCCCAGAGGTCCGCATACCCAACCTGCGGGTGCCTTTCCTTGTACGGCTGGAGAATCCCTCTGGCGACATCGAGGCCGGCATTCGCGGCGTGTTGCGATTCGCCATCAGGGAACCTTTGCGCTCCTCGAGAGCCACCCGATCCGTCAGAGGCCTGGTAGGTACCAGAGTCATGCCAAGACAGCCGCACCAAAATCGGAGCACACCCGCAGGTGCTCACGAGCTCCTTGAGGTCGGCTTTCAGCGCGGCCCAATCCACCTTCTCAACGTCGTACCTGGCGTCGGTGATACACTCATCGGGGCCTGTCCAAAAAGGTGGGAGGAAGTCGTAGAGAAATCCTTGCCACTTTTCTGCGCTCGGCAGCGCACGGAGGAGGCCGCGAGCATATTAACAACCTCCGACCTCGACGGAGTAGACGACATCGTTGAGCTCGAATTCGCACCCACGAGGGATTTTGTGCCAAGATGGATGAATGCGAGCGCGGGTCGGCGCCGCAGCGAGGGGGGCGGCCTCAGCCCAGGACAGCCGCAGGTCGTTGTGCCTCAAACCGACAGCCACGGCGGCGGCATCGCCTCCGATGCGGCCACGGCCCTGGACCTCTTTGGACCGCCGCCCTCGTCCACAGAGGCGGAGCGCAGGGGCGCTCAACCCGACCTGGACGAGGCCTTCTTGCTGGAGGGCGCGGCGCTGGCTGGGGCGCGGCGGCCGAGGGACCAGGAGGGCTTGGGGCGAGCGGCTGCGGTGCCCACAGCCAGCGCCGTGCCCGAGGTTGGGGATGTGTCCAAGCAGCCAATGACGGCACCGCCTGCAGCGGGGGTGGCAGGGTCGGCGGAGCCGGCGGAGCTGGCGGAGTCAGCAGGGGCGGCAGGTGTCGAGTCAGTGGACCCCGCCCCAGATCTTGGCTCGGGGAGTGGCGCGCAAGGGCAAGGGGGCAAGGCGGCCAGCAAGAATGGGGGCAAGCGTGCTGCCAAGAGAGCCAAGGCCCGGGCCACGGGCGCGGGGGATGCCGGCGGGAGGTCGTCCACTGAGGCGGAGGCGCAACCGGGCAAGAGGCCACCGGCAGAGCCGCCCGTCGACAAGCAGCTGCTGCAGTTGTGGCGATCCACGAAGGGCGCGGCGCGGTGGCTGGAGCGGGCCGCGTGCAAGGACGATGCTGCAGGCGTGAGGATGTGGCTGGATACACCGGAGGCGCGGCGCCTCCAACAGGCCGTCCTGGCAGCCCGGGGCTCGGACGGTTTCACGGCGCTGCACTTTGCCTGTCGGCACGGGGCGGCGGAGGTGGCGGCACTGCTGGTGGGTGCAGGCGCGGACGCCTTTGCCAAGGACTCGTACGGCAAGCTGCCGCATCACTATGCGACACTTTATCAACACACTGCGGTCCTGCAAGCATTGCCAGCTGCGCCAAGGCCAGACAACGCGGATGCATCCGAGACAAGTGCTTCTGGCAGTTCTGCCAAGGATGCCAGTGCTAGTGCGCGTGTTGCTTCTGACGAAGAGGACGAGCCACTGTATACATTCGACATGTTTGAATGACATGGTCATTGAATCGAGCCATCGGATGCCGATGATTACATGTACCCTTTTCTCGAATCCCAGACTAGCGACCTAGACGGCTAGACACCTAGACCCTCTAGGCGGTGTAGCGCACCGCGACCTGCCGCGTTACTACAGTGAAAGCTGTAAACTCTAGTGCTACTACAGTATAAATTAAATGAATTATTGCTTACGAATCGAGCGCACTGAGATCCGATAGCTACTAGGATAGAGATATGCTATTTCCTTGCGAGGTGTGCGAGGCGCTGCGAGAATTGTAAGTGGCCTGCGGGCGGCCTGCGAGGGACTGCGAGGGACTGCGAGAAACTGCGAGAACCTGCGAGGGGCTGCGAGAATTGCGCCTTGGCGATCCTTGCGCCCCTTGGTGCGATTCTTGCGGCCGCCGGTGCGATCCTTGCGGCCGTTGGTGCGATCCTTGCGGCCCAAGCGTGTGCGATCCTTGCGGGTCGGTGCGAGGTTTGTTTGCCGGTGCGCCGGCCGGTGGGCTTGTAGCCCCGTCATGCATTGGCCATGCTGCGGCAACAGGAGTCCTATTGGCGCGCTGGAAGTAGTGGGCACCGGGGAGCTTTCGCCTTGGTAGCAGCTTGGTTAATAATTCACATTGATTCAAAACACTCTTTTATTATACATGGCAAAAGTGTGCAAGTCACCGCCGTGCGTGCGACTCAAGTGCTCATACCAGGTCGCTCAGAAACTCAACTCGACGAGGCCCTTGCGGGTCCCAACACAGCTTTGGTGATTGATGCTCTGGAGTCAAAGTTGCCTGTTAAGCGACCATCCTCCAGGTTGACCGATGGAAAAGCTGGTGCGGATGGCGACGTGATGGACGGCGTCAAGGCCTGCCCGAATATTGCGCATGGAGCCGAGGAGGCCGCGAACATATTAACAACCTCCGACCTCGACGGAGCAGACGACATCGTTGAGCTCGAATTCGCACCCACGAGGGATTTTGTGCCAAGATGGATGAATGCGAGCGCGGGTCCGCGGCGCCAGTCGGCGCCAGTTACTAGAGGCGCGCCAGTCCAGGGGGGCAACAGGCCCCATAGCATTGTTAGCCAGGAGCGTTTCGTAGTATCAACAGAGGCGGAGCTAGAGAAAAGCGCGCGCGTAAGGGTTACCCACATGCGCAATGGAAGGCGCTTTTGTGCGTTACGTTGGGATTAAGAATTGGTTCTCAACTACGGTCCAGACAGTACCTAGGAATATGCTACATTTGAAGTCGGCGAGAGTGATCACCGAAACAATACACGGGTGACATTGGGGGGCGGAGGCTTTGAGCGCGAGCGTGCTGTTAGCGTGGCTTCCCTCGACGAGCAGTTGCGCGAGGGGGGGTGAGCCTTGCGCAGCGCTAGCCTGCCTCCCGCTGCAGCCCCTGATTCGCTTTCGCGAGGGTGCCGCTAAAGGCATGCATTCCAAAGAAGTGAAATCAGAGGGGGGGGGGGGGGGGCTTTTGAATATTGAAAGCTCGGTGTGTGTCTGTGTGTCTCGTGTCTCGCCCGCTTCTCGCGGCCTTCGGCTTCGCCCTTCGGGCGGGGGGGGTCAAGCGATCCTCTTCCAGTTCTTTTTTCAGGCGGTGGCAAAGCGCAAGAGACCCACGCGCACCGGGCCTTGCACTTTAAATGCCGTGGGGCTCCTGTCGTTAGACGTGGAGACGCGAGGGTCGCCCCCCCTTGCCCCACCACCTCGTGTGTGTGGAGACGTTTACCTTACCTTACCTTACCTTAAGCGCAAGAGGCAAGACGCAAGTGAGAAAGAGCTAGTATGTAAAGGGGAAGGACCCTGAGTTCGACAGGGGTTGTGCGCCAAAGCCCTCCTGCTCGGCTCCAGCCCCTGTTGATAGGTCCAGGTGATAGTCCTGGATGGGCAATGCATACGCCTCACTGGGCCTTAGATCGCCCGACCGCGTCCCGGTGCTCTGCCGTCGGATTTGTGACTCCGCCGCACCGCGCCGCGGCCGGGGGCCCTCCGGAGGCCGAGGATGGCCGTGTCGGACCGGGACGAGCTCTGGGAGGTTCGGTGTCAGTGTATATATTGTAGAGACCAACCATGTCCACAATATCTTGACTGAGAGCTAAGCCTGGGAAGGCGATGCCGGGGCCGTACAGCAGCTTGATTCATGCCACACCGAAGCGCTGTCGAGGTTCGCCGAGCGCGGCGAAATCGAGGGACACCGTCACCGACGAGCGCGTTGGAAAGTATTCACTCCGGACAAAGAGGCTACACGCACACGAGCCGCGGTCGTGTAGCCGTCATAGCGGCGAGGCGCGGGACCGTCTGTGGCGAAGTGGGTCGCGTCCCTCGATAGTCGATTTCGTTCAACTCACGGTCCTTCCCCCGTAGTAAGACAAAACCTCACGCCCCGTAATGCGGATCGGGCATGCCGCTACCGCACTCCGCTCGACAACACGTGTTTGAAACAGCCTGTTTGCCACTCACCGCCCCCCAGCCTCTCTCCCGCATACTTTATGCTCACACCCCGGCCCGCCTCGTCGGCGCTTCCCTCCTCTAGCGCGCCCCTCCCTCCCCCCGCTGGCCTCGCCGCGCTCGAAGCGCGCGACGAAGAAGCCGTTGGTCTGCACCTCCGGCCCAGCGCGCAGCAGCATCTCGGCGCCCTCCACAAGCGGCAGCCCGCGGCACGGCCACGCTGGAAGGGCCGGAGCGAGGCGCCAGCCGGCGGCGCGGACGGACGGCGCGCGCAGGGCCGCGGCGACGACGAGCTCGTTCTCGATTGGGTGGATGGAGCAGGTCGAGTAGACCTGCGTCAGACCGTCCGGAACGGTGCTGATAGAGAGGGAGAGGGAGGGACAGGGAGAGAGTAAGAGAGAGAGAGGGGGCGAGCGAGCGAGCGAGCGAGCGAGAGAGAGAGGGAGAGAGAGAGGGAGGGAGAGAGAGAGAGAGAGAGAGAGAGAGAGAGAGAGAGAGAGAGAGAGAGAGAGACAGTCAGCTGGGTGGCTGGCGTGGCTGGCGTGGCGAGGGCGTGAGAGCGCACCACCACCCGCGCGGCGGGGAAGGAGAGCGCGTGGGTGAGCAGCTCCAGCTGCGTCGCGGCGATTGCGTGCAGCTTCGCGCCGCCGCCGCCCGCGCCGCCCTCCTCCTCCTCCGCGCCGCCGAGCTGGTACGAGGCGCGCTCGACCATGCCGGAACCGGAGCAGGTCGGGTCGAGCTGCACCGCCGTCACGTCAGCGTACGGCGGCGCCCGCGGGTCGACCGCCATAAAGTCGGTCTGGACAACGCGCACGCTCGCGCCCGCCGCGTCGGCCGCCCGCCTGCGCAGCACGCCCGCGCGCCTCGCGTCCCTCTCGCAGGCGATCACGAGGCCGCCTCCTCCGGACAGGGCGGCGAGCTGCGTCGTCTTGTTGCCGGGCGCGGCGCAGCAGTCGATCACGGCCTCGCCCGCCCGCGGCTGCAGCGCGGCCGGCGCGAGGCAAGACGCCTTGTCCTGCAGGTAAGGTGAGGCCAGGTGAGCTTCTCCACCAGACAGACACGCAAGGTGGTGGGGCAAGGGCCAGGCGGCCCTCGCGACTCCACACCCGGACACGGGCAGGAGCCCCACGGCATTCAAAGTGCCAGGCCCGGTGCGCGTGGTGAGCGGTGCGTGCGTGCGTGCGTGCGTGCGTGCGTGCGTGCGTGCGTGCGTGCGTGCGTGCGTGCGTGCGTGCGTGCGTGCGTGCGTGCGTGCGTGCGTGCGTGCGTGCGTGCGTGCGTGCGTGCGTGCGTGCGTGCGTGCGTGCGTGCGTGCGTGCGTGCGTGCGTGTGAGTGAGTGTGTGAGTGCGTGCGTGTGTGTGTGTGTGAGTGTGTGTGTGTGTGTGTGTGTGTGAGTGTGTGTGTGTGTGTGTGTGTGTGTGTATGTGACTGTGTGTCTCCTGCAAGATGAGCGCGTGGCTGGCGACGAGCGCGTGCTGGTGCAGCTCGGTGAGCGGCGGCAGGACGAGCAGGGCGGGCACGTGCGGGTCGAGCCAGAAGCAGCCCGCCGGCGGCGGGCGCGCCGGAATCGCCCGCCGCCCTGCAGCCGCGCCGAGGCCGGCGGGCGGGTCGAGCTGTCTCCAGCCCTCGGCGCACAGACTCGCCGCAACCTCCTCGGCCGTCGCCTTGAGCGTGTTGACGCGGGCGTACCGCGGCAGCCGCTTCGACAGACCGCCGTGCAGCTCCTCCTCCTCCTCCTCCTCCTCCTCCCGCGCCGCCCCCGCCCCCGCCGCCGCCGCCGCAGCGGCAGCAGAACCAACAGCGCCACCCACGCCCTCCGCTGCTCCGGTCGCGTCCGTGCGCCCCTCTCGCGCCCTCGCGCGGGACGCCTTGACCGCGTCCGCCTGCCAGCGGCGAAGCCGGTCCACCGCCTCGGCGAGGGCCGCGTGGCTCGCCCGCCGCCGGAGCGCCGGCTGGTGCAGCCCGCGTCCGAAGAGCGCCTCGTGCGCCATGAGCAGGCGCAGCTCCGCCGCGTGCGCCTCGGCGTCGCACCCCCACGGGCCGCAGGCCGTCACGAGCCGCTCGAGCACGTCGCGCCGCTTGAGCGTCTCGGTCACGAGTGCGTTGATCGGCCGGGCCTGCTCAGACCGCATCGGCGCCAGGATCGACTTGAGCGAGCCGTTGCGCAGCACCCGCGCGAGAACCGACGCGGCGGTGATCCAGAGATCGTGCGGGCCCGTCCAGGGGCCGCCCATGGAGCGGGAGCCGCTATACCGAGGTGACTTTAGTTTGTGGTTGGAGGCCTCTCGACCCGGGGCGCGGCCATGCAACTCAATTTCTTTTTTGAGGAAACTGCGCCAGCAACCGCTAGGGCGTGTGTGTGTGTGTGTGTACACACACACTCACTCACTCACTCACTCACACGCTCGGGCGTGCCGTCATCATCTGTCCAGCGTCCACCCATACCGCGTTGGTGTCCAGTCCGAGCCTGGCTGTTCTTCACCTTCCTACATACATACATACAACCGCGAGTAGGGAACGCATCGCATTATGCGGCGTGCCATCCAAACCCGGGAAACGAAAATCCTAGCCAGTAACGACACTAGGGGGTTGTATCAGGGGGGGGGGGGGGCAAGGCGGCCCAAATCTGCTCGTCTCAAAGGGTACCCTCTGTCTGTGCCAAGAGAGGCCATTTTCGAGCGGCTCAGAGGGTGCCTGGGCCGACCCTCTGAAGGCCTGTGCCGCCAAGCCAGCCTCTCTCGGCGCAGCCTCTGAGGCTACGGGCGGGGACCCTCTGTGCTCTGAGACGCCAAGGCAAGCCCCGCGAGGCCGCTCCTCAGAGGGGGTTTTCAGCGGTATCGTCAAGTCTGTCGTGATCCCCCACCAAGCAGAGAGAACCCCCCCCTACGCCCCAGTTTCCATTTTTCGGATACCTCAAGTTCGAGTTCACGCGGACGCCGTGGCGCCTCATGGCCACAAGCTGGAGCAGGGGACGGACGTGGAGATCACTACCTTCTCCTCGGGCGGCCGCTCCGGTTGACGGGTCGGCGCCGCGGGCCGCGCGAAGCTGTCGCGCAGGGCTCGGCGCGGGCGCTGTGAGCCTGCAGCAGCAGTAAGCGTGTGTGGTGCCACGCTCGAGCATAGACAGCGTAGCGCCTTGGTCATGCTCGCTGCTTAAAGTCATAATGGTTAGAATTGCAACGATCCGTCGCGGCTGTTCTCGCCGCCGTCCGGCCCGGCTTCGGCGAGGAGCATCTCGAGCCGTGCACCGGCTACTCGCTCGATTACATTTGGCGCTTCCCTCCTCACGCATCGCGATCGAGGTTGACGGCCCGTCTCACTTCCTGCGGCCTGACAGCCAAGGTGTGCGCGCGCCCAGCGGCACAACGATGCTCAAGCGGCGGCTCCTCGCGGCAGCTGGCTGGCGGGTGATCAGCGTTCCCTTCTTCGACTGGGATGGCTTGGAGACGGCCGATGAGCGTCAAGCTTACTTGGAGCGAGCGGTCGCCCCTCTCGGTGCGATAGCGCCACAGGCATCGTCGGGAGGATGTACCTCGCTCCCCAGCTGCAGCAGCCCCTTGCCGGCCCGATCCAGTAGTCCGAACGCCGGCCGCGGGCAAGGGCGGCACTCTTTCTCTTTACGGACGCCTCGTCCATCCACACGCGCGAGTGCGACAAGCCTGTAGATCTATCTCCTGTGTCTGTAAGTCCCCCGTCTGTTCCCAGCCTGACAGAACAGAAGAAACGCGAGAAAGCGAGCTCCAGGGACGCCTTCGCGTGTCAAGTCAATCGAACTCGGTCGTGTGTGTGTGTGCGCGCCGCGCGCGCGCGCGCGTGTGTGTGTGCGTGTGTGTGTTCGCTTTGAAAAACGGCGGACGGCGGCAGAGAGGGGTATCGCTTTTGGGCTGTCCTGCCATGCTGAAGGCTGCCTCGCTTCTGTTCGTCGCTCTGCCGGCGTCTGGCCTGCCGGTGCGTCGCTCCGCCCAGCCGCAGTTACTCACAGGCAGGCTGAGCCTACACGCATCACACGAGTGCGCAGGCAGAAACCGTCGACGTCAAAACCGCTCGCAGCCTCGCCTTTGCGCCCGAGCCCCGTCCGCCCGTGCCCGACGTGGGGAACGACCCCGCCTGGCTGATCGCAACCTCCGGCTTCTGCTCGAACCTCAACGTCGTGATGAAGGAGCGCGACATCGCGGCGAGCGAAACGGAGGACGATACCGCGGCCCACTTCATCGCCGACATCTCCTTCAACTTCTACCCGCAGACGGCGGTCAAGTTCACCGACTTTCCTCACCACCTCGCGAAGATTATTGAGGGCGACGCGGCAGAGGCGGAAGCGCTGGTCTCGAGCGCGTGGGACCACAAGAACATCGCGCTGCTCGAGCCGACAACCACGTGCGGCACGGAGCAGGGCGATCAGGCTTGGGGCATCTCCGTCTTCAAGGTGGAGGAGCACCGGCACTGCAACGATAACGAGACGGCGTGGGAGGGACACCCCTGCATCCACTACTCCGGCTACGTGTCGGCGGAGACGTCGAACTTTGTCAACGTGAACGAGGGCCGGTTCGTCTGCCAGCTGTTCGTTGACCGCTCAGATGCTACCTCGCGCTGCATGTCTGAGTGCAGCATATACTGGGGGCTTTGGTTCACAGCCAAATATTGCGCGTTGGAGTGTGAAGCCGAGGAAGCAGGGGTGGTATGAGAATGAACGTAGCGATTCAATGAGCCAGGACAGACAGAAGCACAGAAACAAGGGCACAACGACGCAACAGACGACAGGAAGTAACGTGTGAGACTAGAGTAGGCTTGCTCCGTCTCTAGCAATCTCGTCGCGGGGCAAGGCAAGGAACACTTGGAGCACTTGAGTGCAGTCATCAACCGCCGCGCCGTTTTCTTTTTCTTTTTTGGGCAAGGCGTCTATTCGGTGCTCTGCACGTTAGAGCGTGCGGCAGGGGCGTGCGGCAGGCACCTGCCGGACATCAAATGGGGCCGCCTGGTGGCCTCCGAGCGCCAGCCGAAGCAACCCTCGTCGTGCCCCGACACCCCCCCGACTCATGATGTGCCGCTCTTGCCTGTGTGGCCGCTGACGGCGGGACCCCGTGCGCGGCTGCGCCGCAATCTCGTCACTGCCGTCGTCACACCTGTCCACAGATGCGACGGGTGCCTGTCCGACTGCGACAAACAGGCCTCGTTGCGGATCGCCAGCCCGCCCGTTGCCTCCGCAGACGCCCAGCTAGCCGAATCGTCGTTACCTTCCGCAGACCGACTTCGCGAGCGAGCGGGCGCGTTCTAGATGACGGTCACGCCCAACTCACCGGCCTTGTGGCCTGAAACCGATTCTGAGCCCTGCCTCCCCCGAGCGGGTATGGCCGCTGCCCGGCGGCCCGCGGTACGATTCGGTCCCGCCACCTCCCCGCCGTCCCGGTTCCCGCAGGTGAATTAATGCGAGTTCGCCACCCTCCTCGCCGCCCTCTCCGCCACTGTCGCCTCCGCGCTCTCCTCCGCCGTCGCCGCCGCCCTCGCCTCCACCGCCCTCTCCGCCACCCTCCCCGCGGCCTTCTCCACCGCCCTCTCCGCCGCTCTCTCCTCCGCCGTCGCCGCCGCCCTCGCCGCTGCCGCCGTCGGTCTCGCCGTCGCCGCTGCCTTCCTCCGTCTCGCCCTCCCCGCAGCAAGCTCGCTTGCCGTCGCCGTCGCAGCCATCGGTCTCGCTTTCGCCGCCTCCGTCCGTGTCGCCGTCGCCGCCTCCGTCCGTGTCGCCGTCGCCGCTGCCTTCCTCCGTCTCGCCATCCCCGCCGCCGATCTCACCTTTGCCGCCTCAATCCATGTCGCCGTCGCCGTCGCCGCCGTCGGTCTCGCTTTCGCCGCCTCTGTCCTTGTCGCCGTCGCCGCCGCCGCCGTTGGAATCGCTCTCCCCGCCGCCGTCGGTCGTGTCGACTTCGCCGCCTCCGTCCGTGTCGCCTTCGCCGCCTCCGTCCGTGTCGCCGTCGCCGCTGCCTTCCTCCGTCTCGCCCTCCCCGCAGCAAGCTCGCTTGCCGTCGCCGTCGCAGCCATCGGTCTCGCTTTCGCCGCCTCCGTCCGTGTCGCCGTCGCCGCCTCCGTCCGTGTCGCCGTCGCCGCCTCCGTCCGTGTCGCCTTCGCCGCCTCCGTCCGTGTCGCCGTCGCCGCTGCCTTCCTCCGTCTCGCCCTCCCCGCAGCAAGCTCGCTTGCCGTCGCCGTCGCAGCCATCGGTCTCGCTTTCGCCGCCTCCGTCCGTGTCGCCGTCGCCGCCTCCGTCCGTGTCGCCGTCGCCGCCTCCGTCCGTGTCGCCGTCGCCGCCTCCGTCCGTGTCGCCGTCGCCGCTGCCTTCCTCCGTCTCGCCCTCCCCGCAGCAAGCTCGCTTGCCGTCGCCGTCGCCGCCATCGGTCTCGCTTTCGCCGCCTCCGTCCGTGTCGCCGTCGCCGCCTCCGCCGTCGGATTCGCCTTTGTCGCCTGCTCCGTCCGTGTCGCCTTCGCCGCCGTCACAATTCGGCATACACACAGTTTGCACATGTGCAAGTTCTTCTTGATGCACACGGCGGTGCAGCCCCCGGCCATAGCGGGCAACTCAAGGCATCGACGCTCTCGCCGAAGCCCCTGTGCACTGTCCGGCACTTGCCGCCGTTTTATTCGGCGCAATGGCCGGCGTTGAAGCTCCGAACCCAGGCGCAGCCGAGCCCATTTCTTTCAGAGACAATACCAACAACCTCTTTCACTCATTCTTAAAACAGTACCGGCCGGGATTTCGAAGATAGTGCTAAAATGGATACCTGGAGAATGGCATTTAATTTCGCGGACCGGCTCTTAACAATCAGGTCATGTCACCGCTTAATGTGCATGTGCGTGGCCTACGTCAGAGACCAAGTGACCAGCCGTCCCGGGCAATTTGTGACCCGTCTACGCCCTCGCGCCTCGGGCGCGGCCGGCCGGGCGCCCGGCCGGCTGCCCCGTTGACTTCCCCGCCGCGCGCTACGCGTTCGTGCTACGCGTTCGTTCGCAGTAATCTGGCTTAGTTCAGAGAGGTCGGGTCGTCTCTATGCGTATCACAGCGCGGCGCTGGCCTGCGCAAAGGCGGGCATGTAGTCGAATCAATCAATCATCCCGACATTTGATGTTAGTGGCAAAACCGCGGAACCGAAAATGGCGTTTAATTTTGCGCACCTGCTGTCCGCCGCCTGCGGCGGCGCTGCGCGCCGCCTACGCGCGCTGCGCGCGCGTTTTTTCTCTCTTTTTCTGTCTTTTTCACAGTGTAATTTTACCGAAAAAATGCCCTTTTTTGTCCCTCACGCCAGCCCGCGCGGAACGACGTCGAGGTGCGGAGGGTCGCCGTTTCGGCTCCGCTTCATGCTGGCAGCAGCGGCCGTGGTCACGTGGACGCCGTCGTCGCGTGCTGGCCCAGTGCTGCGGCCATCAAGGACGGGCGCCACCGCCGTCCTACTCCTCGACGACGACGCTGACCGGAGGTCACGCCTCGCGACTGGACCAAAGGAGGGAGCGGACGACGCCGGCGCCGGTCGGGAGCCGCCCGCGGGGTTCAAGGACAGGGACCCCGGGCTGGGCTTCTGGGCGGGCACGTACCTGCTTCCGGCGGGCGCCTCCGCCCTCGCAGCCGCCGCCTACCTGGCCGTCTCTGCCCTTTCCTCCTCGCCGCCGCCGCCGCCGGTGGTCGCCGACTCGCTGGCCGCAGAGAGGGCCGCGGAGAAGGCCGAGGCGGCGGCCAGGGCGGGGGAGACGGCCGCGCTCGAGAAGGCCAGGGCGCAGGCGGCGGCCGTGGCGGACGCTGCGATGGCGGCGGAGAGGGCGGCGGCGGCAAAGGAGGCGGAGTCCAAGGCGCTGGCCGACGAGGTCGCGGCGAGCCGCGTGCTGTCCGAGGCGAAGGCAGCGGAGGTGCTGGCGGCGGCGGAGGCGAGCGCCAAGGCGAAGGCCGAGGAGGCCGCCGCCGCCACGGCCAAGGCGGCCGACCAGGCTCTTGCTGGTGCGGACGGGGCGGCGGCGGCGGCGCCCGGCAAACAGCGCGAGGTAGTGGTCGACGTGAGGGCGGCGGAGACGGCCGCGGCGGCAGCCGCGGAGGCGGAGGCGAGGGCGGCCGAGGAGGCGGCGGCGGCGGCGGCGAACGCAGACGCGGCCAGGGCAACGGAGGAGAGGGCGGCGGCGGCGGCGGCGGCGGCGCGCAAGGCGGCGGCGCAGGCGAGGCTCAGCGTCAAGAAGGCGACGGCCGACGCGAGGAAGGCGGAGGCAAGGGCGGCCTCTGCTCGGGCGGCGGAGGAGGAGGCCGAGGCGGCGGCGGCAGCGATGGAGGCGACTGCGGCGAGCGAGCGGGCGGAGGCGAAGGCCGCCGCCGCCCGGGCGTCAGAGGAGGCGGCGGCCGCGGCGAGGGCGGCGGAGAGAGCCGCCGCCGAGGCGGCGGCCGTCGAGTAGAATAGAGAGCGAGGCCGCGGCCATCGAGTAGAGCTAGTAGGGCGGGCAATAAGCACATGCGCCAGGTCACATGCCCGGTGCGGCCGCATACAGTGTGTCAGACCTGGTTGACGTGTAGGGTTAGAGCCGTAGGGAGCGCGGCTCGAAATGCGGCATGCCACCGTAAATGGGAAATAACGCGTGGTGCACATATAAGCCTGCGACCGGCTGCGGCTCCGACAACGGACTGCACGCTCGCCGTCCTCCGTCGGGCGCGCACAATCCGCATGCAACATATGCTCTGGGCCCCAAGAGCCAAGTGTGGGTTCGGGACGTATATCGTATTCACACCAGTGAGCAGTGTGTGCTCGGGTCCCCACATATGCGAGAGGTCTGAGCGAGTACCAGACCCGGTGGCTGACGTGCTATCCAAGTGCGGCTCTGCTGGATCCCCGCGCGGCGCCTACGCCTTCGGGTCAAAGAGCTCGTTTGAGGTCGTTCCGTAGGGGCCGTCGCCGTAGCCAGCGCCTACACGACGGCAGGCAGGCGGGCGCCGTCGTTCGGGGTGAGCGCACGTGGGGGTGCGCGGGTGAGCGCCAAGGACGCGCCGCAGAGAGAGAAGAGAAGAGAGAGAAGAGAGGGGAGGGGGAGGAGGAGGAGGAGAGAGGCGCGGCGCGCGCCGAGGAAGTGGGTGAACATGGCGTTATTGAAGGCCCAGCTGGTGTACATCGGAGACTTGAAGTAGGTCGCGAGCTCGGGCAGCGCCTGCGGCGGAGACGGAGGACGCTCCCACAGCCCCCCGGTCTCGGCACTCCCACAGCCCCCCGGTCTCGGCACTCCCACAGCCCCCCGGTCTCGGCACTCCCACAGCCCCCCGGTCTCGGCACTCCCACAGCCCCCCGGTCTCGGCACTCCCACAGCCCCCCGGTCTCGGCACTCCCACAGCCCCCCGGTCTCGGCACTCCCACAGCCCCCCGGCAGCTCCCAGAGCCCCCCGGCTGCTCCCAGAGCCGCCCCGGGGCGAGGCGGCTGGAGGGAAGGTGGGGGAGGGGGAGCGCGCCTTCATGGCGGCGTGCAGCGCGGCGAGCTTGGGGAAGGCTGCAAAGTCGAAGTCGACGCCGTCGGTCTGGTCGACCATGGCCAGGTGCTGGTCGACCTGTGCGTCACATTGAATACACCAAGATCACGGGGGGGGGGGGGGGAGACGGCATTGTGCCGTGCATTCGGGGCACCGCGTGAGTACGAGGGCTACAGCGGAATACGTGTCCTCTTGAGCGCTGCTTGGAAGAAGACAAGAACACGTGTTCTAGCTGTCTGGTATAGCCCCAGCCGACTCCGCGTGAGCTCTCGAGGGATCTCGAGTTGCTCCCTGCTGCTCGGTGTACGAACTCTGTTCACACCGAGCAGCTGTGAACTCTCGAGGGATCTCGAGTTGCTGTCGGTGTACGAACTCTGTTCACACCGAGCAGCTGTGAACTCTCGAGGGATCTCGAGTTGCTGTCGGTGTACGAACTCTGTTCACACCGAGCAGCTGTGAACTCTCGAGGGATCTCGAGTTGCTGTCGGTGTACGAACTCTGTTCACACCGAGCAGCTGTGAACTCTCGAGGGATCTCGAGTTGCTGTCGGTGTACGACTCTGTTCACACCGAGCAGCTGTGAACTCTCGAGGGATCTCGAGTTGCTGTCGGTGTACGAACTCTATTCACACCGAGCAGCTGGGAGTGGCGGCGGCTATAGCAGGCAGGTATTCTAGGCTGGCCGGCCATCTCGAAGAGGTGGAAGTCAGCGCTCTGCGGCGCGGCGCCGCAGAGGAAGGGGCCGCGCACGCCCTGTTCGAGCTTGCCAAAGTGGCCCGCCGCGCCTGGAACAGAGGAGAGGGCGGGCGGGCGCGGGGCGGTGGCGCAGGGCGGCGTGGCGAGTGGCGGCGGAGGGGCGGCGGAGGGGCGGCGGGCGGACCCTTGAGGTGCCTCTCTAGCGCCGCAGGGAAGTCGGCCTTGTCCTTGCACACGCCCGAGAATGGGTACACGATCTGAGGCGCCGGCCGAGCGCGCATCAGCGCAGAGGCAGTGTGCGAGGGCAGAGTCGGTCGGGCCCGAGGTGCGGGCCTTCATTAGGTCGTTGCGCAGGTCCATGCACTGGTCAAGCGCCTGCAGGTGAGACGGCTGTGTGGAGAGGAGGCCGGGGAGAGAAATAACGTGGCGCAGCCCGCCTGGTGGTTGGCGAAGAAGTCCGCGTCCTTGTCGATGGCGAGCTTTCTGCCGAGGTAGAGGAGGACAGAGTTGCTCTGCGTGACGACCGTGTCGCCGTCGATCACGTACGGGAGGTTTATGTAGGAGTTGCGAGCCACGAGCGCCGGCTTGTCCTTTGCAAACCACTCCTCCTTCAAGTCGCCGGCATAAGCCTTGTTGTAGAAGGGCTCGCCACTGAAGCAGAGCAGCATCCGGCACGGAGCGCCGAGGCCACGTATCTTGTGGTAGCCCAGCGTGCATGGCTCCGTCATGGTTGCCAAGGCGAAGAGTAGTGCACGATGGCAGCGATGAGTAGGGCTGCTTAGCGAGACCTCGAGAGAACGACGCACGTCGAAAACAAAAAGCCTTAATCTGACCTTTTATCGGCTCTCGGCTGCAGCCCGCCAAAGAGCTGCTGCACGGACTCCTGGCCGGGGATTCTCCTGGAGCGCAAGAAACGATGCTATGAGCATGACTGACTCGGCTGCGGCTGAGGGCGCAACCCGCACCTCGACGTATCCTCCCGAGCGTGTGACCCTCGGTTGCTGAAGGAGGCGACCAGAACAACCCGCTCACCGGCCTAAGAGCGAACGCGGATGGGCTCCGGCGGCGCGGTGGAGGCGCGCGCCGCGTGGCTGGGCGGCGGTGTGGCTCGCCACGACTTCCTGCGGGCGCTCGGGGAGAGACGGCGGCGCTGGAGGCGCAAGCGACAGGAAGCATGTCTGCGCTTGAGAGGGTCGGTTTCCGGTCAATTCAACAGCAAAGGCGAGTGAGTGGATACTCGAGCTGCTCGCCCAGCCTTGCCCTCGTGCCGCCGAGTGCATATCCTATGCGAGAGAGATCCCCTGTGCCCTGTGCCCAGCCCTCTCCGCGCGGCGATGCGCCCTCCCCCCTCGCTTTTGCAAAATCCTGCAAAGGTGGGGACGTGTCTGTCCTCGACCCAGCCCTAGCTTGGGATGTCCGTTGTATTTATTTATTTATCTCTAGCCCGTAGCCCGATACCGACCATCCGGCCCGCTGTGGGTGCGCTTCTTAGCTCCTCGGCCCTGGATGTGAGGTTACCGACTGCACCTCAAGTGCTCCAAGGGCGTGGCGGTGTTCCGAGTTGTGCCGCTGGCATGCCGGGCGTGGGGTCCGGGCGTGGTCTGCTCCGTTCCCAGGGTGGGAGGATTGGGTGAGGGAGGGGCGGCTGCTCCTCTGGGAGAGGACCTGGAGGAGTTGCGGAGCGGTGCTGGCGGGGGAGGGGGCGGGAAGTCCCGCCACGAACGCCGGCGGGGGGCGCGGCGGGAGCGACGGGGGGGGGAGGGGATGGAGTCGGAAGATGATGGGGATGGTCCTCTCGGCGAGCACCACGGTGGTCGGTGCTCGCGGATTCGACCATCCGCCTTCTACTCCCTTAATGTAGGTAAACCATAAAAGTAGGTTTGAATTCGTCCACGTAAGGCTTGGTGAGTGGTTGGGGTGGCCTCAGGCATCCCCAAGGGAGCCGCTGCGGTGCCACATAAGCAGCTTAGTGATTGTCGAGACTTTAAAGTATTCGTGTGAAGAAACGCAAACAGGACAGACGCTACTATGGTCACCAGTAAACCATAATTCGACTTTGAGGGATCATATCTCAAAAAGCCGGGAGACAGCATAGCCTTATTGTTGCATATTATGCCACATAAGGTCAAACTTGACCCCACAAGCATCAAGAACCCGATGCTCCGGCTCGACTGTGCCGGCACACTGCCTCCTCGCGCCGGCTGCCAGCAGGCCGTCGCGGCCCGTGGTGCACCAGAGAGAGAGGTCGATACGTTGCCCCCGCCGGCGACCCCGCGCGGCTCAGGCCGGCCAGAAGGTGTGTGGTGGCGGCACCGTGGCAGGATTGCGGAGAAGAGCTCGCCGAACGCGAGCAGCAGATGGCCAAAGTGTACCAGCGCGAGAGCCTCGCGAGCGGGCGCAGAAGAAGCTCGCCGTGACACGATGCCGGGCGGTGGTGATGCTCTGGCGGCTGTGCACAGTGGGCAAAGTCAGGCTGCAGCAGGGCAGCACGATGGTAGTGCCCTGCTGCAGCCTGGCCTGACATGCACAGGGCGAACAGAGACACTACTATCGTCCGGCGCTCGTCGTCGAATCTGGGCCAACTTCGACCGCCGCCACAGCTCGCCACGAGCACGCAGCGACAAAATGTTGACTGTATGGAAGTTGAGGCTGGTCGAGAGGAAGAGGCTGCCGTGCGAGCCGGCAGCAGGCCGGCTCGGCGTGGACTGCCGCGGCGACTTTTATGGGTTTCTGTTCATAGTAGCGTGCACGCTACTATGGTTTACCCACATTAAGGGAGTAACTGCGAATCTGTCACAGAGGAGGGTTTTTGGACAGTCCTCGGCCGTGGTGACTTGGGGAGAGGCGCATGTAACGACCCCCGGGGGTCCCGATAATCGAATTGAGGAGGACGGGCGGTCCCATTGTGTGTAACGAACTCTCTGAACGCCGCACGAGAGTCGTGTGAGAGCCTCAGAGCGAGGCCCTGTCGTTCAGTCTCGGGCCGCCAACAGGCTCCTGACTTCAATCCGTGAGTGCGACAGGGTGTCGTATTCACCGTAGCCTAGTGTGACGCCCAGCGAGGGGCGTGCCTCTCCATGATCGAATGCGCGAGTGCGCATTCACACACTCCAACTCCGAGATATTACGTCACGTAAAAGCAACTCGATTGCTTTTACGTGATTGGAGCACTATAGCCCCCCCCTTGAGTAAGCGTAAGCGTAAGACCCGTCGCGTGAGCGGCAGCACTTCTCAGCAACACCGGGCTTGGACGCCACCGCGTCTACGCCCACCCTCCCCTTCGAGCGCATAGCCCGGCCGCAAGGCCGACGCAGCATCGATGGGCAAGCAGCAAGATCGGAGCTCCACCCCGCCGGCCGATGGGCCACCGCCCCTCGGCGGGCATAACGGGGTGGAGCCCAATGCACCCTGGAGCACGCAGGCAACGCCCACTAACGCGGGCATGCCTTCACCCTCCGGGAGGGGCGCGGACCCCGGCACGGCGGCCCATCTCGTGGGGGTCGCCGGCTATCTGGCCGACCCGCGCCCACCCCCAGGCTCACTGCTCAACGGAGGCGCCGGCGGACACCGCCCGGCGCCTTGGCAGAGGGCTGATGACCTCCCCCGCGACAGAATCCGACGGCGGCTTCTGCGAGGACGACGGCTTCTATTAGAAGCCGTCGTCCGCGCTTTGCCTGTTGTGTGAATCGTGCGTGTGCAAAAAAAGAATTTTCCAAGCCCCCACGACACTGGGCACGGGACTGGCGCGCACTGGCACTAACACAGGTACACCAGTGTCGTGCAAACAAGAATTTTGCAGGGGTGCGCCCCAGTCGCGTGCCCACGCCAAACGAGGGATGGGACGAGGACAGGGTCCCCACCTGCACGAGCAGGATTTTGGAAGAACGATCAGGGGGACAGGTGGGGCTCTCCTGCTCCTGACAAGGGACACGACATGCTCGCAGCGCGGTGCGCGGTGGACTCCCACATCCACTGGCGGTCTCATCTCAGTCTAGCGACCTGCCTCCAGCTTGTCGCTGGCAGTCTCTCCTACCACAGGCACACTGACACAGGGGTGGCAGGGGCGGCGGCACGAGTCTCCCACATACTATGCGGGCCTCACTAGAGGTGCGGCCTGTGCGTGTCCTCGCCCTTGAGGGGGGAGGGGAAGGGGCTGTGTGTCTGTGCATGTGTGTGTGTGTGTGTGTGTGTGTGTGTGTGTGTGTGTGTGTGTGTGTGTGTGTGTGTGTGTGTGTGTGTGTGCGCGCGCGCCAGTCCCGTAAAAGAAAGACAGAAAACAGACAACCCAAGGGAGGGATGGGAGGACGGCACGCCGCCACCACACACAGGGATTTTAAGGAGAGGTGTGTGGTGCGCTATCCGTCGCCCACCCTAGGGAGTCTGCCTCTTCCTATCTCTCTTCGCAGTCTCTCGCCGATTCTCGCTGCAACCTTCATGCCACCTCGCGGTCGTCCCACCCTCGTCGTTCTCTCCCTTGTCACTTCCTCCTCTGCCAGTCCCGTGCCCAGTGTTGTGCGTAGATTCTTTTTGCGGCGCTCTCACCGCCGTGCGTCGCCTCGCTGAGTCCTCGCTGAGTCGCAGACGACACAACATGCACCGCGCCGCCGCCGCCGCCCGCCCCGCCGCCGCCACCGCCCTGCGCTCGTGCAGGCGCGTCGCAGCAGGAGCGGAGGCGCTCTCAGCCTCGGCCCGGCGCTCTTCGACCGCCGCTCTCTCGACAAGACCGTACGACGCGGTCGTGGTTGGCGCCGGCATCGTGGGCGTGACGACGGCGCACGCGCTCTGTGCGGCCGGCCTCCGCGTCTGCGTGATCGACCGCCACTCGCACGTGGCCGCCGAGACGTCATGGGTCTCCTCGGGCCAGCTGGAGCCGGTGCGGGTGGACCACATGCGGGCGTACTCCGACCCGGCAGCACTCGGCGTGCGCGGCCTCTTCCGCATCGCCACCGGCTTCCCGCGCTGGACGATCAACTACCTGCTCTACGCGCTCCGCTGCCGCCTCGTCGACGGCGCAGCCGACCAGATGACAGAGGACATCAGGGCGATGGGGCGCGCGTCGATCGCGGCGGCACACGAGTTCGAGAGGGCGATGCCGGGCCGCTCAGGCTTCCGCTTCGGCCGCTCGACCATCACGAGCGAGTGCTCCTTCCCGCTCGACCCCACCGACCCCGCGATGCTCGCGCGCACGCGGAGCGGCTCCGCCGAGCCCGCCGTCACCTTCCGGGCACACGAGGTTGCGACCGGATCCCCGTCCGACCTGTGCGAGGCGCTCGAGGCGGACCACCGCGCCGAGGTACGCACATGTCCTGGACGTGGCATGGGCATGCCCTTGTAGGCGCTCGAGGCGGACTGCCGCGCCCGAGGCGCCGACTTCCGGTACGGCTGCGAGTACTTGGGGCCGGCTGGGCCGGCGGCCGAGCCGGGCGGCGGCGGCGGCGGCGGCGGTTCGGTGCTGACCAGCCAGGGCGAGATCGAGGCGGAGGCGGCCGTCTTTTGCACCGGCATCGCCTCGGACCGCTTCTTCCCCTGCCTGCCAATGTGGGGTGCAATCTCCCCCGCAAACTCGCTGCAGTCTCCCCCGCAGTCTGAAACTTTGCCCTGCAACCTCGCCTGCAAGGCCTGATCCGAGAGTACTGCTTCGACAAGAGTGGCTCGCGCGGTCTCTTCGGCTCGGAGGACATCCTCGTCAGCACGCTGCCGGCGCCCAAGCCGGGCCAGCAGAGCTACGTCGTCGTGCTTGAGCACAGGGCGAGGCGGGTGCTGCGGCTGGGCGGCGGCGCGGAGGTATCGGCGACGCCGCCGCCGCTGGAGGCGTTCAGCGCCATCCTCGACCGAGTGGGCGGGCTCGGCCAGCCGCTGCGCGACTGGATCGGCTGCAGGGCGGTGTCGCCGGACGGCTGTCCGGTGGTTGGGCGGCTGCCTGGCTCGAGCCACAGCTATATCAACTCCGGCCAGTCCTTCTGGGGCTACACCCTCTCCTTCGCCAGCGCGCGCTTGCTCGCGGACCACATCGCATATGGAGCGCCCATCCCCCGCACCTTTGACCCCTCCCGCTTTGTGCTGGCGAGGAGCGGAGCGGGCTCTGGAGCGAGCGAGCGCTCAACTTAGCCCCCGCACGGAGCCGGGCTCAGACTTAGACGCTGTATGGTCGGGGGCCATGAACTTAGACGACACAAGGCCAATACTCCGGGTAAAACCCGGGTATACCTGCTGAAAAAACAGAAAAGCCCGCCACGCGCCAGAGGTTTTTTTTACCCGAAATCGAAAAATACGTGACCACGCCTGCCGTAGGGGGGGAATGGTGATCGTTTTGAATGAACGCCTCGCGCAAAACCACCGCTACCATGCCACAGAAGACCCTTGTGGGCTATCCAGAACACCTAAGATCATGCTATAGAACACCAAGATCATGCGCTCTAAAGTGGGCCCGAGATACGGCCAGCTAAACCCCTCGCCCTCGCCCTCCTCACCAGAGTAGCCGAGAGATGGCCGAGACCAGAGATGGCGGCGGCGGAGGGCGATCGGCTGCCACGCTTGCTCGCGCCGGGGCATCTCGGGGCATCTCGGATGCCCGCCGATGCCCAGCCGCCTCAGCCGCGACGACAGCCGCCCCGCAAGGAGCGGCCGCAGCGCCGCCAGCCCCGCGTCGCCCACCTCGTTAAACTCGAGGGCGAGGTCCGTCAGCTCCGGCATCGCGCCCGCCTCAAGCGCCGCGACGAGGGGCGGCGCCGCCGCATCGGTCAGCCGGTTGTAGGGGAGGAAAAGGCCGTCCGCCGCCGTCGCCGCACCCGCGTCGCGCGCAAACTCGAGCGCCGCCACGAGCTGCACCACCTCGTCGTCCCCCCAAACGCAACTGTCGAAGCCCAGCATCCCGCCCGCGCCCAGGAGCCGCAAGAAGCCCCCGCGGTACTGCGGGATGCAGATGTGCATGCTACATGCACATGCACATGCCACATGCACATGCACATGCTCAAGCACAAGACCATGCTGTCCAGGTCAATGCTGAGCCGCACCCCTGTCCATGTGCATGTGCTCGTGCACGTACTTGTTCGGCACTGCTGATTCGCGCTCTGCAAGTCTAAACGGCATCTAACTCCACGTCTCTGCTGCGGGCTGAAGAAGGACGCAGCTTCAGGGTGTTAGGCAGTGCTGCCGCGTTGGACATGACCCATGCGATTGCTGCAAGGAGCTGCAGAATGTCGCCAGCCTCAAAGCCCCCGTACACAAAGACGCTAGAGATCCAGAAAAGGGAGGCGAGCGTTTGGAAGAACCACACCACGACCTCATACGTTGTGGTTCTTTCAAACGCAAAGGTTTGGGAAACGGCCGCATCGGCTCGTGCGGAGAACCTCGAGAGATAAAGAAATCGGCTCGTGCGCTGCTCGGGAGGCGCACGGAACCTCATCTCAGGAGCCAGGAACGACTCCGACGCTCTGCCAGCAAGTCGCATGGCGGCGGCCGGCGCGCGCGAGCGATTTCTTTATCTCTCGAGGTTCTCGAGGATATCCTTTGGCCGCCGTTGGGTAGCGAGGATTGGTGTAACCCGAGCCACGCAGGCGTGTTTTCTGACGGCCGACCGTCAGTGCACGGAGTTGCCCCTTCTCCGACTGCCGGACTGCCCCGGCTACTCGAGTAGTTCCCGAGGTCGTCGGGAGTGACCCCTGCGTCCGCCGTCCCCCGAGACCTAGCGCGGGTGGGTTGGAGGGGGGCTCGCTGCAGGGAAGGGCTGTGTCTGAGCCCTGGTGTCGAGGTGTCGAGGCCCGGTGTGGAGGGTGTCGAGCTGCTGTCGAGGGGTAGAGGTGGAGGGTCGCTCTACACTTAGCCTCTGCAGCGAGCAAGCGCTCAACTTAGCCCCCGCACGGAGCCGGGCTCGGACTTAGACGCTGTATGGTCGGGGGCCATGAACTTAGACGGCACAAGGCCAAATCCGGGTAAAACCCGGGTATACCTGCAAAAGTCCAGGTTTACCCGAAAAATACCTGGACGCGTCCCGACCAACGTATGCCGCGCACGACGCCATATCGCCTTGTCCCAGGGCCAGTGCGCTACTTGCGGCGCGCAACTCCTGCTCAAGTACGCGCACCGTACCATGTGCTGCCGCTATGCGTGCCTTAAGGCGGCTGCGGCGAAGCGGCGGGCGCGGCATGCCGATGGCAGTGCGGACGATGCGGTTGCGATGTGTTCTGCTTCAAGATCGTGGCGGTGCTTGGCATGCACTTGTGCGATCCCAATCAGCTCATCGCAACGCGAAGCAGCGCAACAAGCTGGCTGCTGCCAACAAGGCCCTATGCTAGATCTACCTCACGCGCGGATCGTTCAAAGAGGACCAGCATACACAGGCTTCTCTGACATGCGTTTGTTTGAGCTTGAGGCTATTTATGTGAGAAATGTTTGGCTAGAGATTGCGCTCAAGAAGAGCAACGAGAATCGGAAGAGGAGGATGCTGAGGCGGCGATTGCTGAGGCATGAGGAGGATCGATCCGGATTAGAAGGCGCCCGCCGCAGGCGAAGAAAATTTGGGGGCTAGCGCCGTATCGTTGATCACGGTGGGAGCCTCTTGGCCCCAGGCTGTGCCACGGCCGACTTAGCCGATGTAAGAGGCTCTCGCTGATCTTAGACCGCGTAAGCACCCCAGCGTGACTAGTCACACTTAGACCCGCTCAGCCTCGAGGCTCAGAACTTAGACTACTACCCAACCAGTGCGCCTTGTGCTGCTGCTCGCTCTGCTCGGGGATTTCGCGGAGATTTTTTTACGCGATTCCGTGCACCGTGGCGGGGAGGTCGTGAGGACTGAGGCACCTCAGAGAGAGAGAGATTTTTAACAATATCATTCATTACCTCGGTCCTCGCGTACACTCTCTCAGATCTCATGCAAACGCCCGCGTCTCGGCCTGGCAAAAGCACTAAGCAGGCTGCCAGCCTGGCTCCCCCCTGGCTGCGCGCGGCGCTCCACTCACTGAGCAACCAAGCCGCAACGGCTCTCACAACGGCTGCAGCTCTCATCACGCGGACTCATCCCTCATCGCACACCCTGCCCCCCCTCGCTGCTCCTCCTTGCGCTCGCTCTGCCCCCCGCCCCCTCCCCTCGCCCCCCCGTGCCTTCCTGCGCCACGCAGCCCGCTCCCGACATGCGGCAACGGACAGTGTGCATGAAAGTGTGCATCCTCTACGCCACTCCCGGCGTCCGCGGCGACCAGCGCCCGCCGCGCCCGCCTGGTCCGTCTCACGCCTTGCGCGCCCCTGCCTCGGCGGCGCCGGGCCGTGCGACGGTCTGCGCTATGGTGATTGGGACGCCGCGCGTCGCCTGCGGGGGGGTTGACTGGGTAGGGAGTCGGGCAGGCCGAGTGGCTTAGAGGTGGAGGGGTGGTCGGGCTGAGGGAGAGGGAGGGAGAGGGAGGGAGAGGGAG